TAAACTGTGGGAGCAATTATTAGGAAATGGAAGACATACAAGACCACTGATAATCTCCCTCGATCTGGGGCTCCACGCAAGATCTCACCCCGTGGGGTCAAAATGATCACAAGAACGGTGAGCAAAAATACCAGAACCACACGGGGGGACCTAGTGAATGACCTGCAGAGAGCTGGGACCAAAGTAACAAAGCCTACCATCAGTAACACACTACGCCGCCAGGGACTCAAATCCTGCAGTGCCAGACGTGTCCCCCTGCTTAAGCCAGTACATGTCCAGGCCCGTCTGAAGTTTGCTAGAGTGCATTTGGATGATCCAGAAGAGGATTGGGAGAATGTCATATGGTCAGATGAAACCAAAATATAACTTTTTGGTAAAAACTCAACTCGTCGTGTTTGGAGGACAAAGAATGCTGAGTTGCATCCAAAGAACACCATACCTACGGTGAAGCATGGGGGTGGAAACATCATGCTTTGGGGCTGTTTTTCTGCAAAGGGACCAGGACGACTGATCCGTGTAAAGGAAAGAATGAATGGGGCCATGTATCGTGAGATTTTGAGTGAAAATCTCCTTCCATCAGCAAGGGCATTGAAGATGAAATGTGGCTGGGTCTTTCAGCATGACAATGATCCCAAACACACCGCCCGGGCAACGAAGGAGTGGCTTCGTAAGAAGCATTTCAAGGTCCTGGAGTGGCCTAGCCAGTCTCCAGATCTCAACCCCATAGAAAATCTTTGGAGGGAGTTGAAAGTCTGTGTTGCCCAGCGACAGCCCCAAAACATCACTGCTCTAGAGGAGATCTGCATGGAGGAATGGGCCAAAATACCAGCAACAGTGTGTGAAAACCTTGTGAAGACTTACAGAAAACGTTTGACCTGTGTCATTGCCAACAAAGGGTATATAACAAAGTATTGGGAAACTTTTGTTATTGACCAAATACTTATTTTCCACCATAATTTGCAAATAAATTCATTAAAAATCCTACAATGTGATTTTCAGGATTTTTTTCCCTCATTTTGTCTGTCATAGTTGACGTGTACCTATGATGAAAATTACAGGCCTCTCTCATCTTTTTAAGTGGGAGAACTTGCACAATTGGTGGCTGACTAAATACTTTTTTTCCCCACTGTAGGTAATGGAGCTCCGCCGGGTCTTTTTAAAAATAGTGAAGGGGGAAGCGAAGCCTACTGATCGATAGTGAAAGGGGAAGATACAGTATGTCATGTGGGGAAACTGCTTTTTTCACACGATTTGTCTAACTTATCACCTCTAAAATGTCAATAAAACACTATAAAGAGTTTATATAATGTCTTATTACATACCTATTTGAAGGTTTGTGTCGAATCTGAAGAGGGGTGTTTGGGGTTTTAGGGCGGCGCTAACGTTAGCTTCACAAGTAAACTGCGGTTGTCACGGCTTTTGAGAGTCATGAGTAATTAACTTTACACTCACCATTGATAATGTCTTGATAAATAAATGAATAAATACAGTTAAATATATAAGTTACACAAAGTAGGGAACTTTATTTTCAGAGAGGATGGATGTGATTCTGTTCAAAGAGAGAGATGAAGGAACATGTTACTTTATATAATGTTGATGAACAAAGCATGAGAATGATTAGGGTTAATATTATAACTTCCAATAGCACAAGATAAATAATTGTATAAACTACTTAACGTTAGTCAATTACTGTATAAAGCAACAATATTAATATTAATTAAATAAATACATGTTTTAATATAACTAGCAACAGTTGTAACACCAACTCACCTCTGTCCTCTCACTCCATCATATACAATGAGTGTACAAAAAGTTATAAACACCTGCTCTTTCCATGACATATGCAATAACATTATGTTGGATTATATGGAAATTATATCCAAATATGTGAGTCCATTGCCTTGGAACTATCTTAATAAATGATGTTGCATGAACACAAAAAAAACCCATTTCATTTGATTTTGACAGTAAATGTCCAGTGGCGGTTCTAGACCATTTCAACTGGAGGGGCCAGGCTGGGGCCAGTTGTACTGTTAGAGGGGCCAGTTACATTAGACATTATTGTTGTCATATCGTTTTCTTCACTGCATTGCAGGCATTAATAGGGAAAAGCCCATGTTTATAATCATTCAACAATTTATTTGCATTTACATTACATTTTTACATTTGCATTACATATTCAGTATCAGTTACATCAACTGTATTCTACGGTTTTTGTGGTTTCTTACAAAAAGATCAGCAAATTCATCTAGATTCAAGGCCTTTGCCATCCTTGACTCAATACTTAATGCACCTAAATTGCTTAATCTCTCATCTGACATTGTGGACCTAAGATACGTTTTCACCAGCTTTAGTGCAGAAAAACTCAGTTCACAAGAAGCGGTACTAACAGGGATTGAAACAGCTATTTTGCACAGTTTAAAGAGCTCAAAGAAAACGTATTTATAAGGCTCAATGAATAATGCTAGCTCTACTACACTGGAGGGTCTCTGCATGCCACTTTGTATTTTCTTTTGTAAAATTCTTCTGAACTGATTGTAGTTCATGCCCCAAGTCCTCAATATTTGATTCATACGTTCTAGCAAATGGAAACAGGGACTTCTCTTTGAGAAATGCATCACTTTTGGGGTTTAGAGTTTGGATGCCATTTATTATGTCACATTGTTTGCTAGAGAACCGTCTGTTAAGCTCATTGAGCATCTGATCTAAGACAGGGTAGAAAAAGGTTGTACGAAAACGGTCTATTTCTGAATCTGACCTACTGTACTGAGTACACAGTCTCCATTAAATTGAGAGCTTTTTTGGTGGTTTTGCAGGGGGCTGTATTGCAGTATCACATTCCTCAGCAGTGTTCAACACTTCATTCCATAGGTCATCAAAAAATGACTCATCCCTGTAGTCATTCAAAGTTTGAACTAAGGCTTCAACTAAATCAACAGCCTTTGACAGGTCAAGTGATGAAGACTGTAGCATATCTGATATAAATGTTGCTTCTCCAAAAACGTTATGGAGTGTAACAAGGCACGCAATGAATTGTAAATCTATCTGTGCAAGCAGACCTCGTGCCTCAACAGATCTGTCACCGTTGTGTTCTTGGACTATGTCTTGCAGGACTCGCTTAATGGCACGCAATCTATCCATAATAGTATGTAGAGCCATATATCGACATGCCCAGAGAGTTTCACTTAGTCTCTGAAGCTATCTAGGTGCACCTGGGTACATCTCTCTTCATACGCTAAGCCATTTTTTATGCACATATGACCCAGATGTGAAGACATACAGTCTTTCTAGTAAGGAGAACTTACTTCAGGGACAGCTTTGACTGTATCCACTAAAACTAAGTTTAGACAGTGTGCACTGCAGTGGATGTAAAAGGCATGCTTTGCTTGTTCTTTAAGCTTATTAATTAATTTACTGAAAATAACTGACTTGCTAGGTAGCTAGCTTTCATGTTTAACCTTTTAACATTACAATGCGTTTACTAAGTGTGGTTTAAGTAAAAGCGCTCAGCACTCTTCTTCTTCAATGAGGTTTAACAGCAGTTGGCATCGCATTTGTTGCATTACCGCCACCTACTAGACTGGAGTACAACTCCCTTATATTTTGCTTGAAAATTAAATAAAATAAAGTAAAACCCTACCATCTAACATTACACTCACAAATTCAAAAATATTATTAATAATTAACACCACCTTTCTCCACTATTTAAAAATATTCATTCCTACCTCATGCCCTCAACCTGAAATGATGGGATGTCACCACTTAACACTCCCTGTAACTCTACATTTACATAATTTAGCAGACGCTCTTGTCCAGAGCGATTTACAAATTGGTGCATTCACTCTTCTGATGTCAAGTCTCGCACACACAAATACCTCTCTGCAGCTGCCACCACAACCTCAATTTTCTTCAAATTACGTTCCATCCCTACAGTACAATTAATAACCATTGCTATAAACGCTAAAAATCCAATCTTACTGAAACATATATCCCTTGATGGCCTATCCCTCTGTACTGGTACATATCTACTACTCTCACCACTCCTCCCCCCCTACCTCAACCTGCTTCTCTCGCACGGGACATTTTTGATCCCCAGCCCCATGGCAACCCCTACAATTAACACATACCACTACTTTCCCCAATGCTACAATTCCTTTGTCTCATGCCTTTCTGCACACTTCTCACACCTTGGAACCTCCCTCCTACATACTGCTGCCACACCGATTTTCTTTCAACTTCTGAAAAGAAAAAAACTTGCAGATCCATGTGGTACGATACTGGTGTGTTCCGCCTAAAGGAGTCCCACTAGAAAATGTGTTGGGTTACTTTAGTGTTCCGCTTTGCCACTGTCTAATAACGGATGTAAAAATAAACATGATCGCAAAAATTAATTATGTGATAATTATTTCAGACTCCGCATTTGTTACAACACCCGTTCTGCCAGTCACATTCTGTTAAAGGTCGCCAAAGCACACACATCCCTGGGTCGCTCCTCTTTTCAGTTCGCTGCAGCTAGCGCCTGGAACGAGCTGCAAAAAAACACTCAGACTGGACAGTTTTATCTCCATCTCTTCATTCAAAGACTCAATCATGGACATTCTTACTGACCATTGTAGCTGCTTCGCGTGATGTATTGTTGTCTCTACCTTCTTGCCTTTGTGCTGTTGTCTGTGCCCAATAATGGTTGTACCATGCTGTTGTCATGCGTTGCTGCCATGCTATGTTGTAGTCTTAGATCTCTCTTTATGTAGTGTTGTCTCATGTCGTGATGTGTGTTTTGTCCTATATTTTCTATTTTTAATCCCAACCCAGGAGGAATTTTGGTAGGCCGTCATTGTAAATAAGAATTTGTTCTTAACTGACTTGCCTAGTTAAATAACGTTTATTTATATTTATTTTTGTTATGTTTCATTTGTTCGCATTTGAAACGACGGGCTATGGTCTATCTTGGTTTAGTTATAAAAAAATATTTGACAATACTTTGCGCACTTCCGCTGGCCGCCATATTGATTTTTTTTTGTCAATGTTGAAAACACACGTTCTTAAATCGTTGTTCAATTGTATGTCCAACTTTTCGTATCATTGTTTTATATTGTGGTATCTGGTTATTTCTTTATAGTTACTACCTGAAGAATAGCAACACACAACAGCCAAGATGCCGCGTATCATGATCAAGGGGGGTGTATGGCGAAACACTGAGGTAAGTTGGCGTAGCTAACGCTAGTACGTCTGCTGCTAACTAGCTTCCAACTAATATTCAAACAGTTTTAGTTAGCTAAATCAACTCCAGGTTAATTAACTACCATGTAAATGTCTTTACTGAATTAGCTACTCAACAGCTTGTAATTCACTGGATCACTTTAGCTAACATTAGCTGGCTAGTCAGCTTGCTGGCTAACAACATTAGCCGTAATAGCTAACTAGCTGAACTTCAATGTAACGTGAGCTAGTTGACACTAGCTAGCTAGTAATAGCTACTAGTTAACACTGTCTTTACATTGTTTGTCTGCAGTTGAAACTGAATTTTACTCGGGGATCAGTGAACAATGAATTCATCAATAAAATAATACCTCCTCCCTCTTTCTCCCAGGATGAGATCCTGAAGGCAGCGGTGATGAAATATGGGAAGAACCAGTGGTCTCGTATTGCCTCCCTGCTGCACCGCAAGTCTGCCAAACAGTGCAAGGCCCGCTGGTCAGTGTGTGTGGTGTGTGTGTCATAGACATTAAAACCGGTGTGTGTGGCATGCGTGATAAGCTGAGCCCCAACACCAAAGAAGACTGAGTGGTTTCTGTGTGTGTGGATAGAGTTTTGTGTATTTAATGTGTTTGTGTGGATAAAGTTCTGTGTGTATCCAATGTGGTGTTTTTGTGTGTAGGTATGAGTGGCTGGATCCCAGCATTAAGAAAACTGAGTGGTCCAGAGAAGAAGAGGAGAAGCTACTCCATCTGGCCAAGCTTATGCCCACCCAGTGGAGGACCATTGCTCCTATCATAGGACGCACCGCTGCCCAGTGTCTGGAGCACTACGAGTTTCTACTGTAAGACCCACGCAAAAACACTTTCTCTCAGTGTTCAGAGAAGACCTCTTGGCGTGCATGTTCTTATGCATTTTCTTGATGTGTGTGTGTATAGAGACAAAGCAGCCCAGAGGGACAATGAGGAGGATACAGCTGATGATCCCAGGAAACTGAAGCCTGGAGAGATCGACCCCAACCCTGAAACCAAGCCCGCTAGGCCTGACCCTGTGGACATGGACGAAGGTACACAAATTGCAACTCTTCCTCGGCTCATTGCTGTTCAGTCAACTTGCATGGTTTATTACAATTAAATAAATAAGACCACACCAGCCATTCCTGACTCGGTGTGTTTCTGTTTGTGTGTGTATAGATGAGCTGGAGATGCTGTCTGAGGCCAGGGCTCGTCTGGCCAACACTCAGGGGAAGAAAGCCAAGAGGAAAGCCAGAGAGAAACAACTGGAGGAGGCCAGGTATACGCACACCCACACCTTTTACACACCAGCACACATCAGTGTTTCAAATAAGAGCTGTGTCATATAAATATAACAAATGCAGGATTTGTCATTTGTGAACTGCATAACTTTCAGACAGACATTTCTGAATTTGCTGTCATAGTGAGGGTACTCGATTAAGCTGGCCAGGGTGCCCAGTGTGCGTGGTTTGCACCAGGTGAAAGGTGATTGCATTAATTTTGGAACTGGGCTGCCTCCAGGCGTGAGCCCCGTTCTGGCCGACGGCGACGTCGTCTCAAAACAAAAGTGACGTAGGTTAAGCACGTGGAGTAATGAGTAGGATTCTGTTTTCACATGCAAAAGTGATTTATTTTTATAAAAAATATTTTGCCTTCCCAATGAAAACTAGCTTGAAAATTCAAACATATATATTTTATGGAAAACAGATGTATGTTTCTAAACGATGCAGCATTCTGCCTTGTTGACAACATGACCGAGTGACGCAGATTACTGTTCAATTTGAGCAGGGCGTGCCTCCCTCACCGGTTTCGCACGTTCATGTGACGGGCCATAGCCCGGTGCAACCCGGTCCATCTTAATCGAATCCCCTCAATGCCTACCACCAAATCAAGAAAACGTTCAACCCTGACAAACATGCACGCCCTCTCTTTCTCCTCACTCCCAGACGACTGGCAGCTCTACAGAAGCGCAGGGAGTTGAGGGCAGCAGGCATCGATGCTCAGAAGAAGAGGAAGAAGAAGAGAGGAGTGGACTACAATGCTGAGATCCCCTTTGAGAAGAAACCTTCTCAGGTAACACATTACACACACATACATCAACGTGTGTGTGATGTGTGTATTATTAGGGCTAAATGTTTATTATGATTCTAGGGTTTCTATGACACTAGCATGGAGCTCTACGACGGTCTGGAACCAAACTTCAAACGCTTGCGACAACAACACCTGGACGGAGAGCTACGCAAGTCAGTCGCACACACATTCACTATAACTCAACTTGACGAATGCTACATGTATGATCTGATTGGGCTGTGTATAGATGGGATATTTTGACAGTTTGAATGTGTGGAGGAGAGAGCTGTGTGTGTCTGACTATGTGTGTGTCCTCAGTGAGAAGGAGGAGAGGGAGAGGAAGAGGGATAGACAGAAGATCAAGAAGAAGAAGGAAAGTGATCTTCCGTCAGCCATCCTGCAGACCAGCGGAGTAGCGGAGTTCACCAAGAAACGCAGCAAACTGGTGCTGCCCGCACCACAGGTAACATCGCTATGACTGTGTGTGTGTGCGCGCAAATCTCTGATGCATAGCTACAGGAAATAGTGCCAGTGAAGTTTGACTGTGTATGTCTGATGTTGTGTGCGTGTCTGACGCTGTGTGTGTTTGTCTTGACGTTGTCTGGCTGACGTGTGTGTGTAGATCTCTGATGCGGAGCTGGAGGAGGTGGTGAAGCTGGGTCAGGCTAGTGAAGTGGCTCGTCAGACCGCTGAGGAATCTGGGATCACTAACTCCGCCTCCTCAGCCCTACTGTCAGAATACAGCCTTTCCAACAGCGCAATGGCAACTGGGCTACGCACCCCCAAGACCCCTGCCGCGCAGGACAAGATACTACAGGTACACACATTCACTCTCCCCTTTTCTCTTTCTCAGGGTATGATATCAAGCAAGCTGTCTATGGTACATATCACCATACAATGTGAATCATAACATCAATTGAATGCTAATACAATACCTCTGACAACATATCTCTCTCTCCAGGAGGCCCAGAACCTGATGGCTCTAACTAACGTAGATACTCCTCTGAAAGGAGGTCTGAACACTCCTCTCCACCAGAGTGACTTCTCAGGAGTCACACCCCAAAGACAGGCAGTACAGACACCGAATACTGTACTGACCACACCTTTCAGGTACACACGCAAGCCGTTCGCACACACGCCAGCAGCATACCACCTTGCATCCCACTGCTGGCTTGCTTCTGAAGCTAAGCAGGTTTGGTCCTGGTCGGTCCCTGGATGTTGGAGGGTCAGTAGGAGGCACTCTTTCTTCTGGCCTAAAAATAATATCTCAATTCCCCAGGGCAGTGATTGGGGACATTGCCTAGTGTAGGGTGCCGTCTTTCGGATGGGACGTTAAATGGGTGTCCTGACTCTGTGGTCACTAAAGAGCCCATGGCACTTATCGTAAGAGTAGGGGTGTTAACCCCGGTGTCCTGGCTAAATTCCCAATCTGGCCCTCATACCATCATGGCCACCTAATCATCCCCAGCTTCCAATTGGCTCATTCATCCCCCCCTCCTCTCCCCTGTAACTATTCCCCAGGTCGTTGCTGTTAATGAGAATGTGTTCTCAGTCAATTTACCTGGTAAAATAAAAAATACATTAAAAAACACGCAAGCCATTCACACACACACACACACAGTAATTCTGTACTGACTAGTGACAAACACTGTTGCTGTTGTAGAACCCCGGGTCTGGGATCTGAGGGCAGTATGACCCCCCAGGGAGGGTTAACCCCTAAAGGACCGGGTACTGTGACCCCTGGAGTAACCCCTGGGCGCACCCCTCTACGAGACAAACTCAACATCAATACTGAGGAACAACTAGCAGACCCTGCCTACGCTAGACTTCTGGTAACACAAACTACCATTGAAATGGCTACTGTTTTCAGTTAGTTTTTCTGTGTGTGTGTAACTTTCTTTTCTGTGTGCGCGTAGCAACGAGAGTCGAGGGAGCAGCTGAAGCTGGGTCTGATGTCGCTGCCGATCCCCAAGAACGACTTTGAGATCGTTCTACCAGAAAACGCAGAGACTGAACTGGAGGAAATGGACACAGAGACCGGATACATAGAGGACGCCTCAGAGATAGAGCTACGCAAACAGGTAACACTCATACAGTCACACAGACCCACATGCATACAACTCATATAAAGCTCTGCTCTTGACTATCCCCTTTTGTAACTGTGTTTGTTTGTGTGTTGCAGGCTGCTCGGGATGCAGAGCAGGAGAAAGAGCTGAAGCTGAGACACACTGCTGTACAGAGGACTCTACCCAGACCATCAGAGGTAAGCACACACACAGTGTGACTCTCTCACACACAGCGTTCTAGTGCTGCATCACCTTCTCCCGGCCCCAACATTAGCGACAAAACTAATGCATAATTGTGTGTGTAGGTGAATGAGTCTATCCTGCGTCCGATGGGAACAGATCCTCTGTCAGAGCTGCAGCAGGCTGAGGAGATGATCAAGAAGGAGATGATCACCATGCTGCACTTTGACTGTCTACACCACCCACCAGCCAACCAACAGGTACGTGTATACAGTGCATTCGGAAAGTATTCAGACCCCTTGACGTTTTCCACATTTTGTTACGTTACAGCCTTATTCTAAATTGGATTAAGTTGTTTTTCCCCTCATCAATCTACACACAATGCCCCATAATAACGAAGCTAAAACAGGTTTTTAGAAAGTTTTGCAAAAAAATAAATAATAAACTGAAATATTGCATTTACGTAAGTATTCAGGCCCTTTGCTCAGTACTTTGTTGAAGCACCTTTGGCAGCGATTACAGCCTCGAGTCTTCTTGGGTATGACGCTACAAGCTTGGCACACCTGTATTTTGGGGAGTTTCTCCCATTTATTCTCTGCAGATCCTCTCAAGCTCTGTCAGGTTGGATGGGGTGTCACTGCACATCTATTTTCAGGTCTCTCTAGAGATGTTCGATCGGGTTCAAGTCCGTGCTCTGCCTGGGCCACTCAATGACATTCAGAGACTTGTCCCGAAGCCACTCCTGCTTTGTCTTGGCTGTGTGCTTAGGGTTTTTGTCCTGTTGGAAGGTGAACCTTCGCCGCAGTCTGAGGTCCTGAGCGCTCTGGAGCAGGTTTTCATCAAGGTTCTCTCTTTACTTTGCTCCGTTCATCTTTCCCTAGATCCTGACTAGTCTCCCAGTCCCTGCTGCTGAAAATATCCCCACAGCATGATGCTGTCACCACCATGCTTCACCGTAGGGATAGTGCCAGGCTTCCTCCAGACGTAACGCTTGGCATTCAGGCCAGAGTTCAATCTTGGTTTCATCAGACCAGAGAATCTTGTTTCTCATGGTCTGAGAGTCCTTTAGGTGCCTTTTGGCAAACTCCAAGCGGGCTGTCATGTGCCTTTTACTGAGGAGTGGCTTCCGTCTGGCCACTCTAACATAAAGGCCTGATTGGTGGAGTTCTGCAGAGATGGTTGTCCTTCTGGAAGATTCTCCCATCTCCACAGAGGAACACTAGAGCTCTGTCAGAGTGACCATTTGGTTCTTGGTCACCTCCCTGACCAAGGACCTTCTCTCCCAATTGCTCAGTTTGGCCGGGCGGCCAGCCCTAGGAAGAGTATTGGTGGTTCCAAACTTCTTCTATTTAAGAATGATGGAGGCCACTGTGTTCTTGGGGACCTTCAATGATGCAGACATTTTTTGGTACCCTTCCCTAGATCTGTTCCTCGACACAATCCTGTCTCGGAGCTCTACGGACAATTCCTTTGACCTCATGGCTTGGTTTTTGCTCTGACATACACTGTCAACTGTGGGACCTTATACAGACAGGTGTGTGCCTTTCCAAATCATGTCCAATCAATTGCATTTACCACAGGTGGACTCCGAGTTGTAGAAACGGCTCACAGATGATCAATGGAAACAGGATCCACCTGAGCTCAATTTCGAGTCTCATAGCAAAGGGTTTGAATACTTATTTACGTTTTTAGGTATTTAAGTTTTTTATTTTTAAGATATTTGCTAAAATGTCAACCTATTTTTGCTTGGTTATTATGGGGTATTGTGTGTAGATTGATGAGGTGGGAATAGTATTTAATCCATTTTAGAATAAGGCTGTAACGTAACAATGTGTAAAAAGTCAAGGGGTCTGAATACTTTCCGAATGCACTGTGTACACACACACACACACAGGGCTGCGTTTGGAGCGGAACTGAAGTACTTTGTTTATTCCCCCACAGCGCAGCAAACAACGAGGCCCCGCCTCCACCTCCAATAACGCAGAACACATCGCCCACCTGGACAGACACCCCTACAAGCCAATCAGCAATGAGGAGCTGGCACAGGTAAAACAAACACAAACCCCTACTAGCCAGTGTTTCCTAAGATCTAATGTAGATCAGTGTTTCCCAACCTGTTTCCCCTTCAATGTCAATGGTCTCCATCTGCTGTGTTTTAGTCTATTCTAGTATGTCGCAATCCTAAAATGAATAGGAAAGATGGACACTGTCTAGATGGAGTACTAGGGATGGGTACGGTTAATCGAATATCCGAACGGACGTTAGTATTCGTTTGAGTTCATTTAGGTATTTTTTTTTTAGGTCTTTTAAACAACTAAATAGCTTTGTCTAAATTACATTTTAAATTATCCTTGTGACATTGTTACCTACAAGGATATACCATGACATTTGAAATTCTTAATTTAATGAAAAAACAAACTTGAATGTATACTGAACAAAAATATAAACGCAACAATTTCAAAGATACAGTTCATATAAGGAAATCAGTCAATTGAAATACATTCATTAGGCCCTAATCTATGGATTTCACATGACTGGGAATACAGATATGCATCTGTTGGTCACAGATACCTTTAAAAAAAAAAATATATATATATATATATATATATATATATATATATATATATATATATATATATATATATATATACACAGTGGGGGGAAAAAAGTATTTAGTCAGCCACCAATTGTGCAAGATCTCCCACTTAAAAAGATGAGAGAGGCCTGTAATTTTCATCATAGGTACACGTCAACTATGACAGACAAATTGAGAGAAAAAATTCCAGAAAATCACATTGTAGGATTTTTTATGAATTTATTTGCAAATTATTGTGGAAAATAAGTATTTGGTCACCTACAAACAAGCAAGATTTCTGGCTCTCACAGACCTGTAACTTCTTCTTTAAGAGGCTCCTCTGTCCTCCACTCGTTACCTGTATTAATGGCACCTGTTTGAACTTGTTATCAGTATAAAAAGACACCTGTCCACAACCTCAAACAGTCACATTCCAAACTCCACTATGGCCAAGACCAAAGAGCTGTCAAAGGACACCAGAAACAAAATTGTAGACCTGCACCAGGCTGGGAAGACTGAATCTGCAATAGGTAAGCAGCTTGGTTTGAAGAAATCAACTGTGGGAGAAATTATTAGGAAATGGAAGACATACAAGACCACTGATAATCTCCCTCGATCTGGGGCTCCACGCAAGATCTCACCCCGTGGGGTCAAAATGATCACAAGAACGGTGAGCAAAAATCCCAGAACCACACGGGGGGACCTAGTGAATGACCTGCAGAGAGCTGGGACCAAAGTAACAAAGCCTACCATCAGTAACACACTACGCCGCCAGGGACTCAAATCCTGCAGTGCCAGACGTGTCCCCCTGCTTAAGCCAGTACATGTCCAGGCCCGTCTGAAGTTTGCTAGAGTGCATTTGGATGATCCAGAAGAGGATTGGGAGAATGTCATATGGTCAGATGAAACCAAAATAGAACTTTTTGGTAAAAACTCAACTCGTCGTGTTTGGAGGACAAAGAATGCTGAGTTGCATCCAAAGAACACCATACCTACTGTGAAGCATGGGGGTGGAAACATCATGCTTTGGGGCTGTTTTTCTGCAAAGGGATCAGGACGACTGATCCGTGTAAAGGAAAGAATGAATGGTGCCATGTATCGTGAGATTTTGAGTGAAAACCTCCTTCCATCAGCAAGGGCATTGAAGATGAAACGTGGCTGGGTCTTTCAGCATGACAATGATCCCAAACACACCGCCTGGGCAACGAAGGAGTGGCTTCGTAAGAAGCATTTCAAGGTCCTGGAGTGGCCTAGCCAGTCTCCAGATCTCAACCCCATAGAAAATCTTTGGAGGGAGTTGAAAGTCCGTGTTGCCCAGCGACAGCCCCAAAACATCACTGCTCTAGAGGAGATCTGCATGGAGGAATGGGCCAAAATACCAGCAACAGCGTGTGAAAACCTTGTGAAGACTTACAGAAAACGTTTGACCTGTGTCATTGCCAACAAAGGGTATATAACAAAGTATTGAGAAACTTTTGTTATTGACCAAATACTTATTTTCCACCATAATTTGCAAATAAATTCATAAAAAATCCTACAATGTGATTTTCTGGATTTTTTTTCTTCTCATTTTGTCTGTCATATTTGATGTGTACCTATGATGAAAAGTACAGGACTCTCTCGTCTTTTTAAGTGGGAGAACTTGCACAATTGGTGGCTGACTAAATACTTTTTTCCCCCACTGTATGGGCGTGTATCAGAAAACAGTCAGTATCTGGTGTAACCACCATTTGCCTCATGCAGCGCGACACATCTCCTTCGCATAGAGTTGATCAGGCTGTTGATTGTGGCCTGTGGAATGTTGTCCCACTCCTTTCAAAGGCTGTGGGGAGTTGCTGGATATTGGCGGGAACTAGAACGTGCTGTCATACACGTCTATCCAGAGCATCCCAAACGTGCTCAATGGATGACATGTCTGGTGAGTATGCAGGCCATGGAAGAACTGGGACATTTTCAGCTTCCAGGAATTGTATACAGATCCTTGCGACATGGGGCCATGCATTATCATGCTGAAACATGAGGTGATGGGGGCGGATGAATGGCACGACAATGGGCCTCAGGATCTCGTCACGGGTTTCGCTGTGCATTCAAATTGCCATCGATAAAATGCAGTTGTGTTCGTAGCTTATTCCTGCTCATACCATAACCTTATCGCCACCATGGGGCACTCTGTTCACAACGTTGACATCAACAAACCGCTCGCCCACACGATGCCATACACATGGTCTGCGCATGTGAGGCCGGTTGGAAGTACCGCCAAATTCTCTAAAACAACGTTGGAGGCAGCTTATGGTAGAGAAATGAACATTCAATTATTTGGCAACAGCTCTGGTGGACATTCCTGCAGTCAGAATGCCAATTGCACACTCCCTCAAAACTTGAGACATCTGTGGCATTGTGTTTTGTGGCAAAACTGCACATTTTAGTGGCCTTTATTGTCCCCAGCACAAGGTGCACCTGTGTAATGATCATCCTTAATCAGCTTCTTGATATGCCACCCCTGTCAGGTGGATGGATTATCTTGGCAAAGGAGAAATGCTCACTAACAGGGATGTAAACAAATGTGTGCACAACATTTTAGAGAAATAAGCTTTTTGTGCGTATGGAACATTTCTGGGATCTTTTATTTCTGCTCATGAAACCAACACTTTACATGTTGCATTTATATTTTTGTTCAGTGTATTTTTTATAATGGTGCATTGAGCTACAGCTGGCCATTTGGTCCTCCAGTCTGCCCTGACATTATTATGCTGTTTTCCCCACTTCAAATGGCAATTACACGCGTACACATAATGTAGTTTCCACAAGACCTGAGATCAATGCAAAATACTCACCAGAAAATATTTTTGGATCAGAATCAGTTTTAAAATGGTGAAAATCATACTTTTCTTTCACTATTGCTATTAGCCAAACCTACAGAGAAAAGCACTTTGTCTGCAGTTTACCTCTGCCATGTTAATTTTTTGTCATTTTGATTGGTCAAGAGCGTAAAAATAAATAAATAGCATTTCCACTATCGTCCGTGCTATATGGGATCCTTAAGGATGGGTTTAGAGTAGGGCCTCCCAAGGATCCCGGATAGCATTGACTTTTTTACTATCCAGATATCCGAAAAAATTTAATGATTTTATTTTATGAGCATCCCTATAGAGTAGAGTAAATTTATTGTCCACGCAATGTGGACGTTAGTGTGAAATGCGTAAATAATCAAGTGTGTGTGACTTCTCCCATCAGGCCAGTGAGTTGCTGAGCCAGGAGATGGAGGTGGTGAGGGCAGGTATGGGTCACGGGGACCTGTCCATGGAGGCCTACAGCCAGGTGTGGGAGGAATGTTACGGCCAGGTGCTCTACCTTTCTGCCCAGAGCCGCTACACCAGGGCCAACCTGGCCTCCAAGAAGGACCGCATAGACTCCCTGGAGAAGAAACTAGAGGTGAGACTACATGCACATGCTATCATGTCCTTTTTACACTAGAAGCTGCTGAGCCATAGGTAACTCATGATGTAGCTGTTAAGTGTGTGTGTGTGTTTATCTGTGTATTCCTAGATCAACCGAGGCCACATGACGTGTGAGGCCCGTCGTGCTGCTCGTCTGGAGCGCCGTCTCAAGGTGAATATATACACTGAGTATGAAAATGTATGCACTCACTAACTGTAAGTCGCTCTGGATAAGAGCGTCTGCTAAATGACCAAAAAAAACCAAAAAAAAAAAGTACTCTTTCTGTATGTCTCTCTCTAAAGGTGTTTCTAGACGGTACCATTGCTGTGCTGTAGGCCTGCTGAAGCAGCATGGTGAACTGTGGGAGCAGTTATATGACGTGTGTGTGTATATATAATGTGTGTAGGTGTTACTAGGAGGATACCAGTCCCGTGCTGTAGGCTTGCTGAAGCAGCATGGTGAACTGTGGGAGCAGGTTGAGCAGGCAGCTACGGAGCTCCACACCTTCACTGTGCTGAAGAAACAAGAAGACACAGCGATACCCCGCAGACAAGCGGTACACACACTCACACACCCCGCCATATCACACAAACACCAGACATCTACACACACTGCAGCCTGTGAAGTTGCTTATTGGACTTCATTTTCTCTTTCTAGGCTCTTAGGGAGGACGTGGAGAGACAACAGGAGAGAGAAAAGGAGCTTCAGCAGAGATATGGAGACTTGCTGCTGGAGAAAGAAGCTCTGCTGTCTGTTAAATACTAACACACACACGCTTACTAGACACCCCATACATGCTTTCTATACACACATAAATCACTAACACATATTATAAAAACATGTTAAGCAAATGCACACATACTGGAGAAAGTGTCTGCTCAAACACAGGATCAAAGCAACCCTCCTCTCCCCCTCTAATTCTGTGACTTGGTAAAAAGATGTACAAGTGAATGATCTATTGTAGCTCCGTCTCTGTTCTCATGTCATAGTGATGTCATGGCCCAGTGCTTAGAGCATGCCCAGTAGTTGCCTAGTGTCGGTCTGTCCTCTGGTGATCAGTGTCTTTTCATTGGAATAAAGGATCAATACAAATCAGATTTCTCTAAGACCTGTTTGCTGTATGTGGTGTTTGTCTGTCCCATGCTTACGGATTGATGTTCCCTACAATTCCTGAGTGACTGTGTTTACTCTTATCCATGACTGTTAGCAAGGTGTTGAAAACATGGTCTGAACCTCTTGGTGTACTGTTAAAATATGCATATTTCCCCACCAGTGGTGTGTTTCCTCCAAATGGACTTGTTGGGGATAAAAAGCAGTGCGTGATGAAATAGTGCACACAATGTACTTTTACGTTTAAGTTTTCATGTACGGAATAAAAAGCTAAAGTTCAATTTGGGCTCCTGAGTGGGGCAGCGTTCTAAGACACTGCATCTCAGTGCTAGAGGCGTCACTACAGACCCTGGTTCAACTCCAGGCTGTATCACAATCCATCCGTGATTGGGAGTCCCATAGGGCGGCGCACAATTTGGCCCAGCGTTGGCCGGGGTAGGCCGTCATTGTAAATAAGCATTTGTCCTTACCTGACTTGCCTAGTTAAATAAAGGTTATATAAGAATGTTTCCATTGCATTTTCAACTCTTCTGATAGTTTTGTCACAAACTTGCGTTAAATAGCAAATGTGCCTACTCTGTTCTTGGCACGTGGACTTTAGCCAACAGCTGGCAGATACAGTACGGGTAGGCTAGTCTACATGATGAGATTATTATGGATAAGAGCGAGAATATTTTTTTGTGAAGTGGCAGTCAGGCATCGTCACCACAATAAGACCCTAGATATTTATTGGAAAGGACCATCAAGATCACTGCACTTTCACCACCCTGTGAAGTTCATAACTTATTTCATCTGTAGCCTAATAAACTGCATGCTTTCCCGAGTCTTAGTGGGAGGACCACACCCTATCATCACGTGACTCCCAAGTTTACTCCGATATGGTTTTTATATACATTTTTGCCACCACCATATCTCGCATAAATCATTTTACCTACACAAAAAGATCCCACCATGTCGAACGAACAAATTATGTCGGCATTTATAAAATTGTACCTGAACTTCCTATTTCCATCACAGCTGTCATGATTATTTTTTTAAATTCAGTATGACTTTACTCACAAACTGTGGATGGAAACGTGGTTAGTGTTGAATAACTGAGTCAGTTAGTCTAATCAAATAGCTTTATTGAAGACACCAACTTTTTATATATCAATGATGATAGAAACCAATTACGTATAATCAATGTGAGTGAATGTGAACAAAAAAAATGAACCAGAGACACTAAGGCTGCGTTTACAAAGGCAGCCCAATTCAGAATTTTTTTCTCACTAATTGGTCTTTTGACCAACCAGATCAGCTCTGAAAAAGATCTGATGTGAAAGGATCTGATATGATTGGTCAAGAGACAAATTAGTGGAAAAAATATCAGAATTGGGCTGCCTGTGTAAACACAGACTAAGTGACATCACACCATGTCATGACAGGAAGTTGTCTGGGCTTCAACATAAATAGATAACTGCCTGTGTCTTTATGGTAAATCAATCTCAAATCATAAAAAAACAACAGCCTGTCGAACCACTCTTCTCATTCTTCTGTTTTTAGCAGGCCAGGAACGACATCCCATTCCCCCTATTAGCACTCTGGAAGAGGAAAGTGGGACAGTGTTTATTGTGTTACATTGATTTCTTCCAACCAGTTGTTTTGTGAGAGGACAGTCCTAGAGTACATATAGGAGGGGGGGGGGGGGGGGGGGGAGAGAGGAATGGAAGTGAGATGAGTGTACCGTGTGTCTGTAACTGTAGCGTCTGATGGCCTCTCTGATGTGGCAGGGCTGAATGGCTCCACTGGGAGGCTCCACACCACTCACTGCTGAGCTCTGAAACACACACACTTTAACACATGGTATACACACACACACAAGCTGTGCAACACAAAAAAACTATCTTAACAGACCTTCTTGCGTTTCCTTTGCCTGTTCTTACTGTCCAATCCCAAGCCTCCATTCGAGGGCTTAGAGGAGTGGGATGAGCAAGGAGTGGAGGGGGGCGTGGTCTCTGGAGATTCTGGATCTCTCTTTACCTGAGAGAGAGTCAGAGAGGTGGGGAAGGGAGCGGGAGGGTGGGTGGAGAGAACATGTTTTAAATGAGCGGCCAGTAGGAATAGCAAGTTAGCTAGCTGCTACTCCTGTTAGATGGCTAACAGAGGAGTGTGTGTGTTAACTTACCTCTGTATTGCTGTGGTAGTGTATGAAGCTGGCAGACACAGCATGGCTGAAGGGGTCTGTCTTTGGAGTCATATCCTGTTTCACTAACAGAGACAGATCTACCAGCTAGAGAGAGAGAACAAGGGAGTGAATCTTGTAATCCAAACAGAGCAACAATACAACCCACATAAAAAAAATAATACAGTTTACTATAGAACACTATAGTACCTACTATAGAATTCTGTAGTATACTGTAGAATCCGTCGATCGTGTAGTGCTTACTATAGACTTGTATTATACTGGAGAAAACTATACTACACACTACTATCCCTTGATCATGTGTAGTACTTACTTTAGAGTGTTCTAGTATACTGTACAATACTATACATTGTAGTATCCCTTGATTGTGTAGTGCTTACTATAGAATTGTGTAGTATACTGGAGAATTCTATATTACACATTGTAGTATCCTTCGCTCGTGTGCAGTGGTTACTTTAATATTTTGCATTATACTGTAGAATACTTTACTACACACTGTAGTATCAAATACAATTGTATTTGTCACATGCGCCAAATACAACAGGTGTATACCTTACCGTGAAATACTTACTTACAGGCCCTTAACCAACAATGCAGAGTAACACAATTATTGCTAAATAAACTAAAGTCAAAAAAGTAACACAATACAATAACGAGGCTATATTCAGGGGGTAAATAAACTAAAGTAAAAAAAGTTACACAATAAAATAACAATAATGAGGCAATATACAGGGGGTACCGAGTCAATGTGCGGGGGTACGGGTTAGTCGAGGTAATTGAGGTAATATGTACATGTAGGTAGGGGTAAAGTGACTATGCATAGATAATAAACAGCGAGTAGCAGCAGCGTAAAAATGAGGGTCAATGCATATAGTCCAAATAGCCATTACTTAGGTTTGCCTTAACAAAGGGGTTGAATACTTATTGATTCAAGACATTTCAGATTTTCATGTTTTAATTAATGTGTAAAAATGTATAAAAACATCCACTTTGACATTATGAGATATTGTGTGTTGGCCAGTGACAACAAAATGTGGAAAAAGTCAACGGGTGTGAATACTTTCTGAAGGCACTGTGGGACTCCAGACAGTCACAGATTATAAAGGGAAAGCCAGCCACGTCGCGGACACCGACGCCTCGCTTCCGGACAAGCTAAACACTTTCTTCGCCTGCTTCGAGGAAAACACAGAGCCGCCGAGGCGGGCCTCCGCCGCTCACAAGGACTGTGAGCTATCGTTCTCCGTGGCCGACGTGAGTAAGACATTTAAGCGTTAAACCTCGGAAGGCTGCCAGCCCAGACGGCATCCCAAACCACGTCCTTAGGGCATGTGCAGACCAGCTGGCTGGAGTGTTTATGGACATATTCAATCTCTCCCTATCCCAGTCTGCTGTTCGCACTTGCTACAAGATGTCCATCATTGTTCCTGTACCCAAGAATGTGAAGGGAACTGAACTAAATTACTATCGCCCCATAGCACTCACTTCTGTCATCATGAAGTGCTTTGAGAGGCTAGTTAAGGATCATGTCACCTCCACCTTACCCGAAACCCTAGACCCACTACAATTTGCATACCGCCCCAACAGATCCACGGATGACGCAATCGCCATCGCACTGCCCTATCCTATCTGGACAAGAGGAATACCCATGTAAAAATGCTGTTCATCGACTACAGCTCAGCCTTCAACACCATAGTCCCCTCAGGTTAATCTCTAAGCTTGGGGCCTTGGGTCTGAACCCCGCCCTGTTCAACTGGGTCCTGGACTTCCTGGCGGGCCGACCCCAGGTGGTGAAGGGGCAACAACACCTCCGCTATGCTGATCCTCAACACGGGGGACCCACAACGGTGCATGCTCAGCCCCCTCCTGTACTCCCTGTTCACTCCCTATACAACTCAATCATCAAGTTCTGATGACACAACAATGGTAGGCCTGATTACCAACAACGACGAGACAGCATACAGGGAGGCGGTGAGGTCCCTGGCTGAGTGGTGCCAGGAAAATAACTCTCCCTCAAATTCAACAAAATGAAGGAGCTGATCGTGGACTTCAGGAGACGGCAGAGAGAGCACCCCCCCCCCCCCCCCCCCCCCCCCCACCCCCATCCTCTTAGACGGGGCCGCAGTGTAGATGGTGAGACAACCTGAAATGGTCTATCCACACAGACAGTGTGGTGAAGAAGGTGCAATACAGCCTCTTCAATCACAAGAAGCTGAAGAAATTCGGTTTGGCCCCTAAGACCCTCACAAACTTCTACAGATGCACCATTGAGAGCATTCTCTCGGGCTGTATCACCGCCTGGTACGGCAATTGCACTGTCCTCAAACGCAGGGCTCTCCAGAGGGTGGTGGGGTCAGCCCAAAGCATCACCGGAGGCACACTGCCTCCCCTCCAGGACATCTACAGCACCCGGTGTCACAGGAAGGCCAAGAAGATTATCAAGAACCTCAGCCACCTGAACCACGGCCTGTTCACCCTGCTACCATCTAGAAGCCGGAGACAGTACAGGTGCATCAAAGCTGGGACCGAGAGACTGAAAAACAGCTTCTATCTCCAGGCCATCAGACTGTTAAATAGTCACCACTAGCCGGCCTCCGCTCAGTACCCTGCCCTGAACTTAGTCCCTGTTACTAGCTGGCTACCGCCCGGTACTCAACCCTGCACCTTAGGGACTGCTGCTCTATGTACTGTACATAGTCATTGAACACTGGTCACTTTAATAATGTTTCATACCGTTTTACCCACTTCACAAGTGCCTTCAGAAAATATTCATACCCCTTGACTTATTCCACATTTTGTTGTGTTACAGCCCAAATTCAAAATTGATTAAATTGATTTTTTGTCTGCAAAAACACTATAGTGAATACTTCAGTAAAGTCTGCAGAAACACTACAGTGAATACTATAGTATACTACAGTCATGTCCGCAAAAGAAACACTACAGTGAAAACTATAGTATATACTTCAGTCATGTCTGTAAAAACACTACAGTAAATAATATAGCATACTACAGTCATGTCGGCAAAAACAATACAGTGAATACTATAGTAAAGTCTGCAGTATTTTTTTATTGTGGGAGGCTTTTAGTTCTTTAAGCTCCTCTGTAGCTCAGCTGGTAGCACGGCGCTTGTAACGCCAAGGTAGTGGGTTCGACCCCCGGGACCACCCATACACAAAAATGTATGCACACATGACTGTAAGTCGCTTTGGATAAAAGCGTCTGCTAAATGGCATTATATTATTATTATTTAACTAACAGTAGTCTGGTAGACACCCACACACACCTGAGCGGTGGTCTCATAAGCCAGGTAGGACAGGATCTCCATGGCGACAGTGTTGGGCTTCACCTCCAGACTGCTGCAGTCCAGCCAGTCACGGAACTTAGACGCCTTCTTAGCTACACACACACACACATAACACCTATTAGAGACTGGGTTAGGGGATAAATGTTGGGAGAAGAAGTGTTACTCACCAAAGCTGAGCTGCCGACTCTCACAGAACTCACTGTACTGAGCACTATCCATCCCCCTGGTCTGTCTTTCCAACCTCTACAGAGAGGAGGGGTAATGAGAGAGAGAGAGTGTGGAGAGAGGAGTTTATAATAACTGAGGGGAGCTGCTACCCAGACACCACTTTAACACACTGTGTATGTGTGTCTGTTTGTGTATTCTGACCTCCAGTCGTTCCAGTTTGATGTCATCTACTTCCTGGTTGTCAGATAGGGACAGGAACTCTCCTGTCTGGTCCACCCAGGACAAGAAGTCCCCTGCCAGCCGCTGGCGCTTGTTACTCCCGGCAACAACCCACCTGTCTAGCAGTGTATGTGTGTGTGTGTGAGTGAGAGAGAAAGGTGACCATGTTAGCCCTCTAAGCAAAAGTCTAGGCACTCTCTGGGAGTACTGGAAGCTAACAAGTCTTCAGGCAGGGTTAAAGTTCTCAGTCACTGCGACGGATTTCCAACATATGGATTCTGAAGAGGTCGTTTTTTAGATCAAAATCTCTGGGGGATTATGGGGTGGTTTGGAGTCTGTTCTACGAAATATATTCCCAAATATGTTATTTTCTCTGTTACACTGAACTGACATGCATGATTGTTGATGACACTCCGATGTTCAGATGAAGGGAATTAAATAGTCTATAGAGTTGTGTAGCCAGCCTACTGTAGCAAAGTCATTCAATGCCCATACTTTATCACTCAGGAAGGAACTTTCCAGTGTTACTATTTTTGCCATTTAATGTTGTTATTAAAACAAAATCAGACAACCCCACAGAAGAATAGTTTACCTATTTACCTAGTCGGCTTATTGTTGTGTGTTCTATGACAGAAAAATATTCATCTCGAGGCGCATTCAAGGGAAACGTATTCCGACAAGCAGTAAATGCACAACCATTCTTAATGCAATCGCAGGAAAACTTTTGAAAGCAGTTTTGGCCTTTGTTTAATAAAAAATAGGGGGATCCCAGTTCTACATTTCTACCAGGTTTATTTCTCTACTCCTTCAATTGTGCTTGTGCCATTGTTTTACAGATGCAGTTTTACAACCGGAGTTTCAAGCATGATTTACGCGCAGTTGCGCAACAGAGCTCTTAAAAGGGCAATGACATACTTTGTAACAGAAACAAACAAAAACTACTTTTTAGAGTAAATAATAACTAATAATTATTGATATATTTATAATAAAATAATAATAATAATGAATAACAACAATCAGGATGTTGTGTCCAATGGGGTAAATGCAGATGGACCAACCCCATGCTTCATCCTATGTATATTTTATAGCAACTATGCCAATCTCTGGAGGTGGAAATCATATTTTAGATGGTGTCAGCATCATTTTATCCTTTTAAAAAGTTACCAGAACTAAGCTTCTCAGTCCTTCTACATAAAAATTATCCCAGGGAGGACCTCGGACCCTCTAAGCAAGGGGACTGGAATTGGTCAAATGCGCAGTTTAATACATATACAAAATGATCCTCTTTCCTTAAAAACATGATGGTCATGACTTTTTTTACATGAAAGGGGAGGATAACATGGCCCCAGACAATCGGAGATTGACTTAAGTTTCAGTCATGGGATTTGTTTTGCTTTAACCCCTGACTCTTCAGGTCTCAGGCAAGCAGACATGTACTGTGTCAAGTACCTGACTCCAGTGGTTCCTCATCTTCGATGGTTTTCAGCACTTTAGACTTGTAGTCTCTGAACTGTAGATACCTTAACAACCTCCTCACCTTCTTCTGTAGGGGGAGAGAGAGAGTGAAGGGGAAGAGAAAGTGATGGGAGAGAGAGAGAGTGGAGAATATGATGTAGTCTAAAGTAATACTACAGGCCTCCAGTTTTCTAGTTAACGCCAGTCAGCTGAAATCTGTACTTTACAGGTATTGCAGGCAGAAAATAGTGTGAGTGTATGGTGTGTCTGTGTATGGTGTGCGTGTGTATATAGCTGGTGTACCTTGTCTCTCCTCATGAGGAACAGGATGTCCTCAGCTGAGATGACCCTTGACCCCCTAAGCACCGCCCCCTCACACGCCTGCTGTAGCTACACACACACACACACACACATATGTTCTTTAAAATTGCTTTCCTCTCCATCTTAAATAAGCATGCCCCATTCAAAAAATGCAGAACTAAGAACAGATATAGCCCCTGGTTGACCCCAGACTTGACCAGCACAAAAACATCCTGTGGCGTACTGCATTAGCATCGAACAGCCCCCGCGATAAGCAACTTTTCAGGGAAATCAGGAACCAATATACACAATCAGTTAGGAAAGCAAAGGCTAGCTTTTTCAAACACAAATGTGCATCCTGTAGCACTAACTCCAAAAAGTTTTTGGGACACTGTAAAGTCCATGGAGAATAACAGCTCTGCACCCTCCGCTGCAACTTGCCCATGCCCCCCCCCCCCCTCTTCTCCTTCTAAAATTAGCCGCCGAAATTGTCGCAACCCCTATTACTAGCCTGTTCTACCTCTCTTTCATATCGTCTGAGATCCCCAGAGATTGGAAAGCTGCCGCGGTCATCCCCCTCTTCAAAGGGGGTGACACTCTAGATTCAAACTGTTACAGACCTATATCCATCCTGCCCTGCCTTTCGAAAGTTTTTGAAAGCCAAGTTAACAAACAGATCACCGACCATTTCGAATCCCACCGTACCTTCTCCGCTATGCAATCCGGTTTCCGAGCTGGTCATGGGTGCACCTCAGCCACGCTCAAGGTCCTAAACAATATTATATCCGCGATCGATAAAAGATAGTACTGTGCAGCCGTCTTCATGGACCTGGCCAAGGCTTTCGACTGTCAATCACCGCATTCTTATTGGCTGACTAAATAGCCTTGGTTTCTCAAATGACTGCCTCGCCTGGTTCACCAACTACTTCTCAGATAGAGTTCAATGTGTCAAATCGGAGGGCCTGTTGTCTGGACCTCTGGCAGTCTCTATGGGGGTGCCACAGGGTTCAATTCTCGGGCCGACTCTATTCTCTGTGTATATCAATGATGTCGCTCTTGCTGCTGGTGACTCTCAGATCCACCTCTACGCAGACGACACCATTTTGTATACATCTGGCCCTTCATTGGACACTGTGTTAAACCTCCAAACAAGCTTCAATGCCATACAACACTCCTTCCATAGCCTCCAACTGCTCTTAAACGCTAGTAAAACTAAATGCATGCTCTTCAATCGAACACTGCTTGCACCCGCCCGCCCGACTAGAATCACTACTCTCGGCGGGTCTGACTTAGAATATGTGGACAACTACAAATACCTAGGTGTCTGGTTAGACCGTAAACTCTCCTTCCAGACTCACATTAAGCATCTCCAATCCAAAGTTAAATCCAGAGTCGGCTTCCTATTTCGCAACAAAGCCTCCTTCACTCATGCTGCCAAACATGCCCTCGTAAAACTGACTATCCTACCGTTCCTTGACTTAGGCGATGTCATTTACAAAATAGCCTCCAACACTCTACTCAGCAAATTGGATGTAGTCTATCACAGTGCCATCCGTTTTGTCACCAAAGCCCCATATACTACCCACCATTGTGACCTGTACGCTCTCGTTGGCTGGCTCTCACTACATATTCGTTGCCAAACCCACTGCCTCCAGGTCATCTATAAATCACTGCTAGGCAAATCCCCGCCTTATCTTAGCTCATTGGTCACCATAGCAACACCCACCCGTAGTATGCGCTCCAGCAGGTATATCTCACTGGTCATCCCCAAAGCCAACACCTCCTTTGGCTGCCATTCCTTCCAGTTCTCTGCTGCCAATGACTGGAACGAACTGCAAAAATCTCTGAAGCTGGAGACTCTTATCTCCCTCACTAACTTTAAGCATCAGGTGTCAGAGCAGCTTACCGATCACTGCACCTGTACACAGCCCATCTGAAATTAGCCCACCCAACTACCTCATCCCCATATTGTTATTTATTTTGCTCATTTGCACCCCAGTATCTCTATTTGCACATCATCTTTTGCACATCTCTCTCTCCAGTGTTAATACTAAATTGTAATTATTTTGCACTATGGCCTATTTATTGCCTTACCTCCATAACTTACTACATTTGCACACACTGTATATAGATTTTCTATTGTGTTATTGACTGTACGTTTTGTTTATCCCATATGTAACTCTGTGTTGTTGTTTTTATCGCACTGCTTTGCTTTATCTTGGCCAGGTCGCAGTTGTAAATGAGAACTTGTTCTCAACTGGCTTACCTGGTTAAATAAAAATTAAATTAAATAAAGAGAAGAGAGGAGTTAGTGTTTAGTAGCTGAAAAGGTTTGTCAGTATCAGAGAGAGAACAGGGACTAAAAATGTGTGTGTGTGTTACCAGGTTGATGAGTTGGGTATGTACAATGTCCTCCACCAGAGCAGCAGTCTCATGTAGGGGTCTGCGAGCATCTCCCAGAGCAAACCTAGAACACGCACACACACACACACACGAGACGGGTTAGAAACACACACACACACAGGATGCAGGCTCTGTTCTAGTAGGTGAGGTTGAGGGATGTGGTGTATCTCTATGCAAAGGTTGGGTTGAACACCTGAGAATCTGTGAGAGTGTGACGGCAGTGATGTCATAGTCAGATGAATGTGGTTCGTCCAATGAGGGTGGAGCAAGGGAGTATGGTGACCACGCTGTGGTCCGAACGCCATCACACAGACCGCTCTAGGACCACAGAACCACAACGCAGACCGTCTCTGTGTGGCAGACCAGGACCCGACCACACAACAACCCTTCGTCACTACGGTCAACCTACTGCTGAAGCTAGCTGGTTACTCTGTGATACACTGTTGTCATGGCGTCCAACAGCCTTTTCAGCCCGAGTCAACACAACCTCTACTGGGGTAAGTGGATCTATCTGTCTGCCTGTGTGTGTGTGTTTTTGGGGCAATCTGACTCAGTGTGTGTAGTTACATCATGCTCTGTATTTCGGGGATGAAGCTGGTCCGTGTGGGTGGGCGGTCCCTCGCTGCGCTGGAAGAGCCTGCCATGGGACTGCTGCTCATCACCTACACACACACCAGGGTCGTGTTCAGGAAGACAACATTACAACGATTTATGTTAGAAATATAGGCTACTGTGTAGAACAGATATGATTGTTATTACATAGTAATTGCATAGGGAAACATGTCAGCTCTATAAAATAAATGTATATCGGCACATACATACGGTTTATTAACAAAACTGAAGTTGTTGGGTGTGTTGACTCAGTCATATTTCAAGTCTGTTTCTCTATGAACTAGTAGCCTAAACACACACCACAGTTACACAAACATGTTTTTGGTAGCACAGAAAAACAGCTATACACAAACACACACTGTCTACAAACACACACAGTGGTTAAACGCACACAAACACGCACACACATTGTGGTCTGTTGTAAACAAAAGAACAGGATGGAGTCACTCAACCAGAATTGAGCTCAGGCAAATCAGCTGTTGCTATTGTCACAATATGGATTTGAGTGTTTTTGTTCGCTGCTTGGCTGAACTCTTAACCACTGCCTTCCTCTCCCTCCCTACCTTCACTCTCTCAGTGTTTGCATGAGCGAATCCTGTGGGACAGTCGTTCCTGTATTCAAACCTGTGGCTGTAGACAGACAGAGAGAGGGGATGTATAGCGCACGCACACATGCAGGCACACACACTCCCATTCTCCAGCTAGTAAACAGGTCTGTCACTTTCTCCCATAACCCTGCCAGAACCAGTCAGATTGAAGTTAGGGGGCAAATAGTAAAGTAGGCTAGTCGAATGTCTTTAGAAGGTGTTAGAATAATCCAATCTTACCGTGATTCAACGATTTTGTAGAAGATTATTTGTCCCTCGTCACTGGTTTCTTTACAAACCACTGCTGCATTTGGATAAACTGCTTGTCGTTTTGTCGCACAGTGAAAGACGTCAGCAAAGTTGATCCCGTCACGGGCTTGTTGCGCCACCTGGTGGACAGCAGCTGACGAACTAGTTTGGCCTGTTTTATGGAGGCTGTGCGAAGTCCTGCCTGACTCGTGTGTGTGCTGTTTAACCCTTTTTTTTTATATCTTTTTTTTACAATACTTAAATATGTAAACAATACAATGCTGTATGCATAAAAAGAAAAAAAGTCGCACACTATATGCTCCCAACAATGCTATTTACTAGCCTGTTGAATGTAGCCATATTACTTCAGAGGGATCTTTACTTGTCGGCTCATAAAGATCTTGTTGAGTTTCATCATGTTGCTTATTCCCCCAGATCCCCAGATCACCAGCCATAGGTTCAGTCCCCCGCTCCCTGGTAAGGCCAGAGATGGGACAGTGGGAGTGACAGCTCAGCATGAGGACAGCGGCCCCCGGAGTACAGAGGACATCCCTGCTGAGTTCAGGCCCACCGACAGCCCCAACTTTCTGGTGTCAAGCCTCCCCGCACACTGGCGTTGCAACAAGACTCTGCCACGTGCCTTCACGGTAACACACACACAGTGGTGTAAAGTACTTAAGTAAAAATACTTTAAAGTGCTACTTAAGTAGTTTTTTTGAGTATCTGTACTTTACTTTACTATTTATATTTTTGACAACTTTTGCTTTTACTAGAAAATAATGTACTTTTTACACCATACATTTTCCTCTGACACCCAAAAGTACTTGTTACATTTTGAATGCTTAGCAGCACAGGGAAATTGTCCAATTTACACACTTATCAAGAGAACATCCCTGGTCATCCCCATTGCCTCTGATCTGGCAGACTCACTAAAGACAAATGCTTTATTTGTAAATTATGTCTGAGTGTTGGAGTGTGTCCCTGGCTGTCCATAAATAAATAAAAAACAAGAAAATTGTGCCTTCTGTTTGGCTTGATATAAGGAATAAGAAATTATTTATACTTTTACTTTTACTTTTGATACTTAAGTATATTTTAGCAATTACTTTTACTTTTGATACTTAAGTATATTTAAAACCAAATACTTTTAGGCTTTTACTCAAGTAGTATTTTACTGGGTGACTTTCACTTTTGCTTGAGTCATTTTCTATCAAAGCATCTTTACTTTTACTCAAGTATGACAATTGAATACTTTTTCCACCACTGCACACACACACACACACACACACACACACACACACACACACACACACACACACACACACACACACACACACACAGTCTCGATTTTGAGTCTTCATCACTTGACCTCATATCAAAATAAAAGTCCCCTTCTTTCAGCTTGCCAGTGTTTACAGTACACAGTGTGCGCATGGGAGTGGTACTGAAAGGTTTAGTGAGGGGACCATTGAACATCTCTCCCCTCCCCATTTAATTTGTCCTCCATCCCCCCTCCGTCCTCCCTCTCCAGGTGGTTGCCCTGGGTGATGTAAGTGACGGTGTTCTAGTCACGGTGATGGCGGGGAATGATGAGAACTGTTCAGCTGAGCTACGTAACGCCACCACGCTGATGACATCACGCACAGCACGCTTCAATGACCTCCGCTTTGTAGGACGCAGTGGGAGAGGTGTGTTTGTGTGTGTTTGTGTACAATAGTATACATGTGTGGGTCTGTGTGTGTGTGATTGTGTTCAATAGTGTACGTGTGTGTGTATGTCTAACATGTCTCTCTCTCTCTCTCTCTCTGTAGGTAAAAGCTTTAATCTGACCATAACAGTGTTCACAAGTCCTCCCCAGGTGGCCACGTACCACAGAGCTATCAAAGTTACTGTAGACGGACCTAGAGAGCCACGCCGTGAGTACACACACACACACACACACACACACACACACACACACACACACACACACACACACACACACACACACACACACACAGAGACTCAGGTTTTTGAACGGGGACATCTGTGTCCTTCTCTGATTGAAGAGGGCTATAGCTACTTGTGTATGCTGCTCTCTGATAGGTCACAGGCAGAAGCTGGAGGTGGGGCCAAAAACAGGGCTTTTCAGGGTTGCCATGCCGATGCAGAGTCTCCGCACCTTCAACAACCTCACCAACCCTCCAACAAGAGGTGAGAACAGAGCAGTACAACTCTTTCTGTGTATACTGATGGGGCAAAGTTTTCTGATATTTTCATGAGCTACTAGTGAGACGCCATGATGTTATATGAAACGCTCATTGCTCTTTTACTCCTTCCCTCCATCACTTTCCCTGTCTCGCTCCCTTCCTTTCCTGTCTCTCTCCCTTCCTTTCCTGTCTCTCTCCCTTCCTTCCCTGTCTCTCGCCCTCATTCTTTCTCTATTCCCTGCTCCTTTCATTCTCTCTCTCTCCAGCCTTCCCTCTCTCAGACTCTAGGCCCCTTTCCTCACCCCCCTGGACCAATGATCAATCTTACCCCTTCTCATCCTCAAGAACCACTGGCCTCTCAGGTACGCATGCATGCACGCACACACGCGCACACACAGTAACACAATGATGTGCCCTCTGACTCTGTGTGTGTCTGTTTTCCAGGTGTGTGTGAGCTGGCCGCTGGGTTTGATCGCCCGTTCCCCCCCCTCTCCTCATTCTCCTCCACTCCCAGAATGCACTTCTCCTCCTTCCCCTACTCCGTCACCCCCCCTCCTCCCTCCTACCTTCCCCCCCCTTTCCCCACTCTCCCCCCCCACACCCACAGTGGACTCTTCCAGCCCAGCAGCAGCCCCATCCTCTACTATGGAGCCTCTGCCGGGACCAACCACTACGTCTCACTGCCAGAGGGGGACAGGACAAACCACTTTACCTCAGTACCGGGGGGAGCGCAGGCCCCCACAGCCGGGCTGGCCAATCAAATGGAGGGTAGGGGGGAGGAGCCTGTGTGGAGGCCATATTGACTTGGACAGGATAGTTCAATCAATCAATCAATACCTGATGGTTAGTGTTTTACGCCTGTGGCTTTAAATGTAGATTTGTTCCCATTAATAATACCAAGATGCACTATTTAGCTCTATGTAGCTCTATGTAGCTCTATGTAGCTCTATGTAGTTATATGTAGCTCTATGTAGCTCTATGTAGCTCTATGTAGCTCTATGTAGCTCTATGTAGTTCTATGTAGTTCTATGCATGTGTTTTATGAACTCATACAAAATGTACTTTTGAGTTTTATGGTTATGGAGTGTTATTTTATGGTTGTTGTTGGTTATGGGTAGGCCTATTATTGGTTATCGGGTATGTTTGATCGATTGTGTTTTAAATGTAATTTTATTGTCTGATGCCAAACCGTTATCTATGAAGTGACAATTTTTTAAAAATTAATAGCTAATGTGTTGAATAATATGTAATTAATTGAATCAAATAAAGGATTAGTTTAATTAAAACAGGTTTGATAAATTCAGTTCCAAATGTAATAAAATGGTATCGATTTGATTAGAACAGAGCCATCAAATGAATACATTCCGTTGTCCATGGTGCTGAAAACTCAGAACTCCGCTATTTACTGGTTAGGCCTACATGTGGGAGGATTAAGTGTTTTCTTTCTAAACCCCATCACATGTTTCATATCTTTTATTTTATTATTATTATTATTTTTTTAATTATGGGGGGGATGGATCAGCTTAATATTGCAGATAGATTGTATCTTCTATCAATGTAATTGTCTGCATCACTTCCAATCCCCCATGTTTTTTATATATATACTCCCCTTTATTACTTTTCAACCCCGCCATCCTTTCCCTACTTGGAGTAAATTAGTGAACAACAATGCCCAGGCCTCTACTTCCGGTCTATACTTACTATCTACACCTTATGGACACAGTTAATTTTACAATAATTCTATTATATACAGTGGGGAGAACAAGTATTTGATACACTGCTGATTTTGCAGGTTTTCCTACTTACAAAGCATGTATAGGTCTGTAATTTTTATCATAGGTACACTTCAACTGTGAGAGACGGAATCTAAAACAAAAATCCAGAAAATCACATTGTATGATTTTTAAGTAATTAATTTGCATTTTATTGCATGACATAAGTATTTGATACATCAGAAAAGCAGAACTTAATATTTGGTACAGAAACCTTTGTTTGCAATTACAGAGATCATACGTTTCCTGTAGGTCTTGACCAGGTTTGTACACACTGCAGCAGGGATTTTGGCCCACTCCTCCATACAGACCTTCTCCAGATCCTTCAGGTTTCGGGGCTGTCGCTGGGAAATAGGGACTTTCAGCACTCTCCAAAGATTTTCTATTGGGTTCAGGTCTGGAGACTGGCTAGGCCACTCCAGGACCTTGAGATGCTTCTTACGGAGCCACTCCATAGTTGCCCTGGCTGTGTGTTTCGGGTCGTTGTCATGCTGGAAGACCCAGCCACGACCCATCTTCAATGCTCTTACTGAGGGAAGGAGGTTGTTGGCCAAGATCTCGCGATACATGGCCCCATCCATCCTCCCCTCAATACGGTGCAGTCGTCCTGTCCCTTTTGCAGAAAAGCATCCCCAAAGAATGATGTTTCCACCTCCATGCTTCATGGTTGGGATGGTGTTCTTGGGGTTGTGCTCATCCTTCTTCTTCCTCCAAACACGGCGAGTGGAGTTTAGACCAAAAAGTTATATTTTTGTCTCATCAGACCACATGACCTTCTCCCATTCCTCCTCTGGATCATCCAGATGGTCATTGGCAAACTTCAGACGGGCCTGAACATGCGCTGGCATGAGCAGGGGGACCTTGCGTGGGCTGCAGGATTTTAATCCATGACAGCGTAGTGTGTTACTAATGGTTTTCTTTGAGACTGTGGTCCCAGCTCTCTTCAGGTCATTGACAAGGTCCTGCCGTGTAGTTCTGGGCTGATCCCTCACCTTCCTCATGATCATTGATGCCCCACGAGGTGAGATCTTGCATGGAGCCCCAGACCGAGGGTGATTGACCGTCATCTTGAACTTCTTCCATTTTCTAATAATTGCGCCAACAGTTGTTGACTTCTCACCAAGCTGCTTGCCTATTGTCCTGTAGCCCATCCCAGCCTTGTGCAGGTCTACAATTGTATCCCTGATGTCCTTACACAGCTCTCTGGTCTTGGCCATTGTGGAGAGGTTGGAGTCAGTTTGATTGAGTGTGTGGACAGGTGTCTTTTATACAGGTAACGAGTTCAAACAGGTGCAGTTAATACAGGTAATGAGTGGAGAACAGGAGGGCTTCTTAAAGAAAAACTAACAGGTCTGTGAGAGCCGGAATTCTTACTGGTTGGTAGGTGATCAAATACTTATGTCATGCAATAAAATGCGAATTAATTACCTAAAAATCATACAATGTGATTTTCTGGATTTTTGTTTTAGATTCCGTCTCTCACAGTTGAAGTGTACCTATGATAAAAATGACAGACCTCTACATGCTTTGTAATTAGGAAAACCTGCAAAATCGGCAGTGTATCAAATACTTGTTGTCCCCACTGTATATATATATATATATATATATATTTTTTTTTTTGCTCCTGAACTTCTCCGATCCTTTTCATGATGTCCATCCGGTTTGCTTCTATATGCCATATCTTTCAAACTGTGCTCTTTCCCAAAAGCTCCCAACATACAACCTATATACTTATTATGGACACAGTATGCTTACATTATTAGCTATCTTTGTTATTATTTGTTGTTATTTGTTATTAGTCCCATCCTTCAACTCTATTCAATACCTCCCATCTATCTCTTAACACCATCCATATAGGATTTCTATTTTCCATATATATTTCAACCTTACTGTGATGTTTTACAAAAGTTCTGAACCTTTCTATTCTCATTGCTTCTACAGATTGTGAATTAAAAATAAACATTTTTGCTAAAAGTATTATTATATTATTGATCGATTGACTATGACTTTTCAGATCACCCAGTAATGCTATCTGCAAGGTTAGCTCCAGGTAAATATTGCAATCCTTTAGCCATTCCTGGACCTGTGTCCAAAAACAAGCTACAAATGGACAGAACCAAAACAAATGATCTAATGATTCTGTCTCTTCACAGCAAAATCTGCAGAGCTGGGAAAATTGTATCCCCCATATAAATAACATTCTATTGGTAGCAAGAATTTTATATAATAATTTAAATTGAAAGATTCTAATTTTTGAATCCGGTGTCGTTTTGCGTGTCAGTTCATAAACACTATGCCATGGGATCGGTACGTCAAAGATCTCTTCCCAACTATTTTGCAATCTATATGGGACGGCTGTCAATCCTTTGGTCCTTAAGTGAACTGATGTACTTATTTATTTATCACAGTTTTCCTTAACCAATTATGTTCTTTAATGCAAGGCCGACAGACAAGTTCCTTACTTTCTCCCCCTTCCACTTTCCTCTTCCACTTTTGCGGTAAGGCTGCAATTATTTGGTTGTAATTTTGGGTAGAGCAGACATTTCCATATGTTTTTGTTAGCTGCATGTGCGACATAACTCCAACAGTCCTACCGATGATATCATTTACGAAGATTATACCTTTTTTAAACATTCTGTCAAAAAAGAAAGGTTTTTTGTCAATTAGTATATTTGAATTTAACCACAATATTTGTTGCATTATTTGTTCTGTCGTTTCTGGAGGATTAAATTGAAATTGCAACCAACTTTCTATGGCTTGTTTTAGAAATAGTGATATTTGGGAGATTATTTCCTTTTCAAATAACTGCAAAAGGCCTTTCTTGAACATTGTGTGAGACAATCTTACTAATTTGCTTGAGAACCAGTTCGGATTTAAGTATAACTTTTGTATGACTGAAGCTTTTAGTGATAGGTCTAATGCTTTAATATTTAATAATTTCTGTCCTCCGAATTCATATTCATTATATAAATGTGCCCTTTTAATTTTGTCTGGCTTGCCGTTCCAAATAAAATTGAATATTTTTTTCTCATATAATTTAAAAAACTGTTCGCTAGGCGTAGGCAAGACCATAAGCAAATAGGTAAACTGGGATAATACTAAAGAGTTAATCAGGGTGATTTTTCCACAAATTGACAGGTATTTTCCTTTCCATGGTAGTAAGATCTTATCTATTTTTGCTAACTTTCTATTAAACATTTATTGAAGTGAGATCATTTATTTCCTTTGGGATATGTATTCCGAGTATATCCACATCACCATCAGACCATTTTATTGGTAAACTACATGGTAATGTAAAAATTGTATTTTTTTGTGATCCAATACGTAATATAGTACATTTGTCATAATTTGGTTGTAATCCAGAGAGGTTATAAAATGTATCTAGATCCTCTATGAGGCTGTGGAGGGATCTAGTTGTGGATTTAAAAGAAAACATGAATCATCAGCTATGTTTCATATCTTTCCATATCAAGTTAAACTGAAATGTATTAAGTGTACTGCACCACTGAAACTGCCTAGCATGAGGATGATTTGTTCAATGTCAGAATCATGGCACAGGAAAACAAAATTAAACACTGATTCAATGCATGTTGTACTGCATAAATGTAAAGTTAGGGCACTCTGTCTGCCTGTTTCTCTCATGTCCAGATATAACTATCATCTCATCCACATTGTAACAACATCATTATTTATTCAGCAGAGGGTGAGAGCATATGGTTTCTGTATGCATGCACCCTCCCACACACTCTTGTTTACTTTGGTATCATTGATGGGAGAGAATGTTGATTATTAGAGTAACAGTAAAGAGTCCAGCCAACTAATTTCTGAGAAAATATATGTATTATTTAAATTAGAGCAATAACATTCATTGACATTCGTTAACTTATGATCAAATCAGTATAATTATATGACCACTTTGTTGTCAATGCCTGGTTTTACAATACACACTACACTCTGTGACCACAGGACGGTGCAGTCTGGGAAAACAGTTTAGCTTCACAATCAGATGCCCTATCATTCATTAATCTACCAACCAACCATTAATTTAAATCTACTGTGGCCAACAATACTGTGTGTTATCAATACTGTGTGTTAACAATACTGTGTGTTATCAATAGTGTTCTTCCATTCAGTCAGCCAAAATAGCACTTTCCCTTCATTACTGCTTTTTGCTCCAATTTACTGTAATAAAACTTTTCAAATATTAACATATTATAAAGATCAAAGATCATACATCTTAAATTAAGTTAATCTTGCAATATTAACATATTGATCATCTTGCTGTGTCATCCTTGCTCTGAAAATGTATTTTTGTGGGACAGCTGGAACTATATAAAAAAAACAATTATTAGAGTAAAAGTCTAAAACTCCATCACTATAAAAGAAAGCAGGATATACTAAAACAGGTTTTATATGACTGAGTCTGGTTTATTTGATCAGATTTAACGAGACCTGATTTTATTCATTTAGAAAAACTACACAGAGTTATGATCAAATGTCAACAAGCTGGAGGGGGGTGTCGCTGATTCCAGGTATTATCATTTGGACAGCCTCTTAGCCACGTCCTGATAGGCTAGTTCTATTTCTGCGTCAGCGGCGCAGGTGTTGGTGAACTCATCTCGGCTGTAGGCGTTTCGAATGTAACGCCATACACCCCGCAGCTCTGCAGGGATCTCATAATTACGGTATCTCTTAGCGACCACCTGGAGACAGAACACACACCATGGAGAGAATCACAATCACTTCTGATACAGTAACCATAACCATATAAACCTATAGGTGAGTCTGGACAGAAGGAGTGCCCTGTATGGGCAGAAGGTGGTATTTGAGGTCATAAGAGTTTAGGGCACAACACTAAAGCCAGGAACAGGTGGATCTGAATAAAACACCAAAGGTAAAGAGATATTGTATCTTGATACAGTCCACTTCTGTAATTGGTTGATCATCCCTTTCTGTCTGTAGTTGGATAATAACAATAGGAATAATACCTTGACGACATGTAATTTGGGCAGCAAGTTGCAGTCGGACAGTGTTAGTGTGTCTCCGTCTAGATACTTCCGTACAGACCCCCCTTCTGCCACATCTCTGCCATCCTGCAGCTCCTCTGGCAGCGGGGATAAAAGGAACTCATCCAGCTTGGCTAATGCCTTGTTGAGACTTTTCTCTAGAACTGCAGGAACACACACACATTACTACACACACACAAACCCAGACAACCCACCTAGATCAGCAAGGTGTGTGTGTGTGTCTGTACCTGCGTTGTTCTCTGGCCTGGTGTTTTTTATGTAGGCTGAAAACTTGGCGAAGATGTCGTTTCCTGCCGTATTGGACTCCCGGTTCTTAGCTGCAAGTTTAGGATACCTGAGGAACACCAGTGTTAACACACACACAATCTTATTTACACTCTTTACTGTGTGTGTGCATGCACGTGTGTGTGTGTACCTGGGTGGAGCCAGCATCTCCTCTAGGTATTCTTCTATCTTATTGATGTCCGTCTTCACCTCTCCTTCGAAGGTCAGGAAGGGTGGGTGAGTGCCTGGAGCAAGGTTATGGAGGTCCGCCGGCTTTCTAAAGGACAACACACAATGCTGGGTTAGTGTGTGTCTGAGAGTGTGTGTGTATGTGTGTGTGTGTTTTACCTCTTCAGGTCGACTGTAGTGACGTTGAAGACGACTCCTTTTAGCCAGAGGATCATGAAGAGACGCTGAGAGAATGGACAGTTACCTATACTCTCCCCATCACTCCCTGCCTGCACACACACACACACACACACACACACACACACACACACACACACACACACACACACACAAACACACATTACAGACATTAGTACACATACAGTTATTGAAATATTGCTTGAGCCAGTAACATACCATTTTCAAGTTGCACAACTTGTGCATGGATCTCAAAACAATATGATATGACTACAGCTACCTGTAACCTTTAGGCTACTTCACTGAAAATCACTGCTCTATACACTCAGGCCTTGTCACACTGGCATCACACACACACAATGGCCATGGGTGAAAGAGGATCCTGTAAGGGGACACCAGACACACCATGAATAATATATCAACCTTCCATTATACACCTCACTGGACACACTGCCCTAGAACAACTATCACATTATAACTACCCTAAGCTAACTACCCATAGAACTAACTCATGTACCAGCTAACTACCCCTAGGACTACCTCATATACCAGCTAACTACCCCTAGGACTACCTCATATACCAGCTAAATATCAACCTATACCTATCTTACTACTACACACACTGCCCCTGTAACTAACCACTAATAGGCCTACTACATATAGGCTACACCACAATATAACTACCCCTACTACAACTTCCCCTCAACTACACTAACTACCCCACTACAACTTCCCCTCAACTACACTAACTACCCCTACTACAACTTCCCCTCAACTACACTAACTACCCCTACTACAACTTCCCCTCAACTACACTAACTACCCCTACTACAACTTCCCCTCAACTACACTAACTACCCCCTACTACAACTTCCCCTCAACTACACTAACTACCCCTACTACAACTTCCCCTCAACTACACTAACTACCCCTACTAAACAACTTCCCCTCAACTACACTAACTACCCCCTACTACAACTTCCCCTCAACTACACTAACTACCCCTACTAACAATTCCCCTCAACTACACTAACTACCCCTACTCCAAACTTCCCTCAACTACACTAACTACCCCCTACTAACAACTTCCTCCCCTCAACTACACTAACTACCCCTACTAACACCACTCCCCTCAACTACACTAACTACCCTACTCAACTCCTCCAACTTCCCCTCAACTCCACAATACCCCCGCACTACAACTTCCCCTCAACTACACTAACTAACCCCATTACATTCCATTACACACCTCGAAATGACAGGAGGCAAGTAACATGAACGCTAATGCAAATCCCTTGTTTATTTAGCATAACATACGCCCAAATCTACCTCATACTAACTACCCCACTATACCAACTACCATTACCTAATCATTAGACCTGCATATCAGGGAGATATGAATAAGTCTAAATGAGTCTCATAAGAATGAGTCTGGCAACACTAGAGCCACAACATGACTGAACCATTTAATTTAACCAGTTAACCTCCTGCTTTCACTGCTTAGAGGACCAGAAATAATTCAGTAGATCTGATCTGTCGTGCAGAGAAAGAGAGAGGGGGCAGCAGAGAATAGGAGGAGAAGGTATAGGAGAGACAGAGGAGAGAGAAAACACTAGCAGGCGTGTTGGGTTACTCTGGCCCTGTGCCACGGGAAAACAACAACAACAACAATACACACACACTACGCAGCAGATAATCATACAGTAGAAAGACATAACCTATGATCCTCACATACACACACACCCCCCACCTTGACAAAAAGTTCAATATCAGGGTCCTTCTCCTCGTCAGCTGCAGACGTGTCAGTCATCTCCACTGCTCTAACAGTTGTGTGTTATCTTCTGCAGGAGTGCGTGTGTTTTCCTGTGCAGAAGTGTGTGTATGTGTGTATTGCCGGTGTGTTCTCAGCCTGGGGTCTGGCCCAGTCACGTCTGTCCTGTTGTACCAAGCAACTCCTTGCTGTGCTGCGTGCTTGTGTGTCAGAGCTTCTGTCCTGACCGTGTCTCTCGATGGATGTGTGTGTGTTTGTGTGTGTGCCCTGGTTGTTTTGATTTGTACTCTGAGTCCAGCTGTCCGAATGAGTGTGTCGGTCAAAAATAGTCAAGGGGGCGTGGGGATGCGGTGTCAGTAAGAAGAGGGGGAGAGGAGGAAAGCAGTAGAGAGTGGGAAAGGAGAGGTGCTTTGGGATTGTAGTGTAGGGAAAAGGAGGACAGGTAGGTACGGATGGATCAGGTTCCCTTCCTTATCAACATAATTAGATCTGAAATGACACCCTTTCCCCTATATACAGTACACTCTTAGAAAAAAGGGTTCCAAAAGGGTTCTGTGGCTGTCCCCCATAGGAGAACCCTTTTTGGTTCCAGGTACAACTCTTTTGGGTTCCATGTAGAACCCTTTGTGGAAAGGGTTCTACATGGAACCCAAAAGGGTTCTACCTGGAACCAAAAGGGGTTCTTCAAAGGGTTCTCCAAAGGGGAGAGCCGAAGAACCTTTTTTCTAAGAGCGTAGTGCACTGCTTTTGGCCAGAGCCTTTTTCCCCAAGTCTAACCCTATGTGGCTCCGGTCAAAAGTGGTGCCCTATAATGGGAATAGGGTGCCAATTGGGACTCACATCTGAGGAGTCAGGAACGGAAGGTGTGTGTGTGTGTGCGTGTGCGTGCGTGCGTGAGTGTGTGTGGGTGTGTATATGTGTGTGTTTGGGTGTGTGTGGATGTGTTTTGCTGCTGACCTTGTTGTTATTTAATGAGGTGTGTTGTCGTGTTAAATGCAATATAGATCAAGTGTGAAGTGGACTTTAGAGCTCCATCAGATTGTAGGAGGATTATAAAACGATATAAAATATCAAACAGATAATCAACTACTCCGCTTCTTCAAGGCCTCACCTGTACTCACACCTGTCCCAATCAATAAATCAATCAAACTTCCTGGAAGGAAGAAACCTTGAGAGGAAGCAGGAGGACCTTACCTGTGATATCCCTCTACACACACACATCAAATAAATACACAGACAGTAAATGTACACACAGAGAGGATTCACATGCTACTGGAACCCTCAGTTGAGTCACTGGGGTGGGATGGAATTCCAGTGAGTTCATTTTAAATTTAGAATCTTGGCAACCCCCCCTCCCACACACACACACACACACACACATGCACACACACACACACACACACACACACACACACACACACACACACACACACACACACACACACACACACACACATGCACACACACACACACACACACACACACACACACACAGCGGTAATGTTACTGACTGCCATTAGAGGAGCATGTCACCTAAACGGTCAGAGAGGTGTAAGGCTCTCTCTAGTGGCCTTCAGACCTACTATCAGCCTCAATCCTGTGTGTGTGTGAAATAAAATCTGATTGTTTGAGTGTATCTGATATTTGAGTGTGTATTTGTGTTTGTGTGTGTGTGTGTGTGTGTGTGTGTATGTGTGTCTGCGTGTATGTTTAGTCCAGACGTGTTTTATAGCCCCTTTTATCTCAGACATGACCCTGAGAGGGCAACCTCCACTCTGATATCAGTCTACAGAGCATGATGAAACACACACACATACACACCACATAAACACACACACACACACGTTATCTTCTTTCTATCCTCGTGGGGAGCAAAAATGTATTTCCATTCAAAATCCTATTTTCCCTAACTCCTAACCTAACCTTAACCTGTAACCATAACCCTAAATTTAACTCCTAACCCTAACCCTAACCCTAACCCTAAACCTAACCACTAACCCCTTACCCTTACCCTTACCCTTACCCTAACCCTAATTCTAATCCTAACCCTAATTGTAACCCTAATCCTAATCCTAACCCCTATGCTTAAAATAGCCTTTATCTTCATGGGATGTGGGAAATGTCCCCACGAAGGATAATATTCCTTGTTTTACTATCCTTGTAGGGACTTTTACTATCCTTGTGGAAACAAACACACACACACATGAATGGGGTCTTAAACTCAAACATCTTTCACAGTACAACGTACCCTAATATCATTATCATGTTGTCTTACCCTGACGTAGAGTGAGACCTCTGGCCCATTTGCTACTGGCACTGGTTCCTCAGGAGGGTTCCCCTGCTCTGACGACGCTGAGGAAGAAGATGACAAAGAGGAGCGCCCGGAAGAGGCTTCATCTGTGTTCACCTCCGCCTGCAGAACCCTCCTCTCCACCTCCCTCTTCTCCTCCTTCTCCTCCTCCTCCTTCTCCTCCTCACTCTCCTGCCTCTCCTTCTCCTCCTTCTCATCCTCCTTCTTCTCCTCCTCCTCCTTCTCCTCCTCACTCTCCTGCCTCTCCTTCTCCTCCTTCTCATCCTCCTCCTTCTCCTCCTCCTCCTTCTCCCTCCTCCTCCTCCTTCTCCTCCTCCTTCTCCTGCCTCTCCTTCTCCTCCTTCTCCTGCCTCTCCTTCTCCCTGTCTTCTGATGGAGGCTGGATGGACCTGAAGGAGCTGCTCTCCTGTTGGGGCGATGGAACCGCAGGTGCCTCTCTCAGTGACTTCCCGGTGTTTCTCGTTACGCCACAGTTTAGACCGGTTCCGTCTCCGTTACCGGATGCCTGGGGTGCCTCCACATCACAGTAAACAGAATAATTCACCACGTCACTGGGTGTCTCGTAGATATTGCTAGTCTGGGTCTGGTTCTGGTAGGTATCCTCCGTTGGGCTGTCTACGTCTCTGTCAAGGGGAGTCTCGTAAATGTTCTCACTCTGCTGCTCCATGTTCATGTTCTCACAACGATGCAACAGGTGCTTCTGACAAGGTGGAGAGGAAGGGAGGGAGGGAGGGAAAAAGAGGGAGAGCGAGATGGAGGTTGATGAGATTGTAAATGACCTAGGGGCCCTGTGTGCACATGAACGGTCTGTTCCCACCAACAGTTATTGCTGTGATTCGTGATTATATGGGACTTGAACAGGAGGAAGAGTTCACCTAAGGAGAGGAGAGGAGAGGAGAGGAGAGGAGAGGAGAAGAGAGGAGAGGAGAGGAGAGGAGAGGAGAGGGGAGAGGAGGAGGGAGAGGAGAGGAGAGGAGAGGAGAAGAGAAGAGGGAGGTGGAGAGGAGGGTTCTGCAGGCAGAGGTGAACACAGATGAAGCCTCTTTCGGGCGCTCCTCTTTGTCATCTTCTTCCTCAGCGTCGTCAGAGCAGGGGAACCCTCCTGAGGAACCAGTGCCAGTAGCAAATGGGCCAGAGGTCTCACTCTACGTCAGGGTAAGACAACATGATAATGATATTAGGGTACGTTGTACTGTGAAAGATGTTTGAGTTTAAGACCCCGTTCATGTGTGTGTGTGTTTGTTTCCACAAGGATAGTAAAAGTCCCTACAAGGATAGTAAAACAAGGAATATTATCCTTCGTGGGGACATTTCCCACATCCCATGAAGATAAAGGCTATTTTAAGCATAGGGGTTAGGTTTAGGATTAGGGTTACAATTAGGGTTAGGATTAGAGAGGAGAGGAGAGGAGAGGAGAGGAGACCCGTTGATTAGCCTTCGGTCCACTGGGCCAATCAGAAAGCGTCTGTTGTGGGTGTGACGCGTCTGTCAACGTTTCCTACATTATGATTGGTTGACCAAGCTCCTTGTCAAACGTAGCGCCTCTATTTTGAGGGAGTTTTAAGACATCATCATAATATTGAAATGACAACAGCTATTGTAGATAGCTAAGGAAGTGAAAGCGGATCTATTTAAAACCCAAACGTTTGCTTTTGGAGGAATATAGACTGAACACGTCAACAAAACGACAAGCAAATGAGAAAGCTGTGGAATTGTTGACAAATAAACAAGGTGCGTATGACGATCTTGCGCAATCCTTGAGCCGGCTGGCTAGCTAGTAAACATCAAATGTTAGCTACCCGGCAGAGGTAGTAGCTAGCTACCAAACTTTTAGCTTGGAAAAAAGTCGTCAGTTGTAGCTATAGTTCTGTGTAGCTAGTAGGGAGCTATAACTGTCATTAAAATCGCTAGCTAGCTACATAATGTGCTGTGGACGTAGTGGTGGTGGTGGTGGTGGTTGTCAATTAAGTGCTCGCCAATATAATGTAATGTCATGACTCAGGAGGCTGGCTAGCTACTAACTTCCTGATTGTCTAGCTAGCTCCATTTGTTCCAGTTGTCATATGATTTCCATTTGAAACCCTAGCCTGCAGGCTTTGCATATGGGCGGTGAGATTCACTGGGACTTGTTTGACAATAACCACAGATGTGAGAGTATCCTGTGTGTCAAATCAAATCAAATGTTATTGGTCACATACACGTGTTTAGCAGATGTTATTGTGGGTGTAGGCTTGTGTTTCTAGCTCGACAGTGCAGTAACATTATAAATAACAATTTCACAACGTATACCCAATACACACAAATCTAAGTAAAGCAATGGAATGAAGAATAACAGGAACAATTTCTTGGCCTAATAACATAAGAAATACTCCATAAAAAAAATACTGCAAAGTTTCCTAAATGCTAGATGCAAGGCAGCCCTCTGTGCATGTGTGTGCGTGTGTGTGTTACATTGTGTGTGTGTGTGTGTGTGTGTGTGTGTGTGTGTGTGTGTGTGTGTGTCTGTCACACTGTGGATCTGTCACAGTGTGTGTCTGTGTGTCACAGTGTGTGTGTCTGTGAGTCACTGTGTGTGTGTGAGAGAGAGTCACAGTGTGTGTGTCACAGTGTGTGTGTTTCACAGTGTGTGTGTCACAGTGTGTGTGTGTCTTGTGAGCCCTGCCAGATCACACCAGTGGTAATTCAGTATATTAAGGAGATTTCACAGACCTGTAAAAGATCATAGTCCTCTCTGTTCTCCTCAGTAAGATGAAACACAAACTCTAAAATTACATTTGGACATGGGAGAGTCTCCCTCAGGGAGAGAGTGACAGGGAGCTTTTTTCAGAAAATGTAATCTTGGAATACATATATTATCTTATAACAATATTTTATAGCTAAAGGCTTTATTGGTATCTACTCCACAACCCTAATTTGGTCTAAATTTGTGTTTACTTTCGGTTGAAGCATATGCACCTCCCCAGACTGCAATCATCCACTTTCGTCTGCTTTCGTATGTCACCTTGAACACGGCCATATAAAGGCTTTATTGGCTTTAAAGCTAGAATCCTTAGTTGTTACATACATTTTTGACTACTAAATTAATGATAAATACCAATTGATTATTGAAGAATATAACTTATAAATGCCTCATAAGCTTAGTCAAACTGTTATACAGATCAGAACCCAAAATATTAGCTTATTTTACTCCAATGTTTATAAACAATGTAAACAAACACTTTTTGACCTCAAAACATTGTTAAAACTATCATTTTGTTATCATGGATGGTTAGTCCTTGCATCCATAGCTCTGTCTATCAATTTGAGTGGTCACATTTCTCTAGGGCCTATCCCTCAGCTTTATACCAAAACAGAGGTGGGGTGATCGCTTTATTGTTTCAACTAAAGAATCTAGCTTTAGTGTGTACTCCACAACACTAATTTGGTCTCTCTCTCTCTCTCTCTCTCTCTCTCTCTCTCTCTCTCTCTCTCTCTCTCTCTCTCTCTCTCTCTCTCTCTCTCTCTCTCTCTCTCTCTCTCTCTCTCTCTCTCTCTCTCTCTCTCTCTCTCTCTCTCTCACTCACTCTTAGAATGTTAGCCCTGCTGTACTTCCTCTTTACCTTCACCTCATTGGCTGCTTCAGTGGGGAAGACAGGAAGTGGCAGAGGTGGAACAGGATGTAAGGCGGGCGCTGCAGCCCCCATTCCGGTACTGCTGGTGTCGTTTGATGGTTTCAGAGCTGACTATCTCAGACGGTTCCCTCTACCCAACCTAAAGCTTCTGTACTCACAGGGAGTCCTGGTGGAACAGATGACTAATGTCTTTATCACCAAGACCTTCCCCAACCATTACAGCCTGGTAATATATAACCTTTTACCCCTGACCTCTAACCCTTTGCGTGTTTTTGGGGTGGTGTACTAACCTAACCTAACCTCTGCCCTCTAACCCCTCCAGGTGACAGGTCTGTATGCAGAGTCTCATGGTGTCGTAGCTAGCAATATGTATGACCCCCCGACCCAGAAGCACTTCATCACCTTCAACAACACCGACCCCTTCTGGTGGAACGAAGCCACGCCACTCTGGGTCACCGCACTGGATTGTGGGTACAAGACGGGCGTGGCCATGTGGCCGGGGTCAGACGTGGCGATCAGGAACAGAACGGCGACTCACTTCATACCCTACAACCCCTCTGTGACTTTTAGTCAACGCCTGGCCAACGTCACTCACTGGCTGACTGGGGTACTTAACCTCTGACCCCTCGCCCATAACTCCATTGTTTTCACTGAATACTGCTTTTAAGTTTTGTCTCCATTTCTCTCTCTCCAGGGCCAGGGCAAAGGGGAGGAGCCAGTGTTGTTTGCAGCTCTGTACTGGGAGGAGCCAGACAGGACAGGTCACATGTATGGACCAGAAAACACCACCCACATAGGACAGGCTCTTAAAGAGGTGTGTGTGTGTAACACATTGTGCTTGTTTGAGTGGTAAGGCTGAAACAATCGACTGCAGACGAAAGTCGAGGAGTGAAGTTGGGAAAGGTGCATCTGCGACAGCCTAAAATCAGATACTGATGTGGTTTTCCAACAGCAAGGCTCAGTGCAACATGGCTTTTCTTTGTAATGTCGAAATAAACTCCCCCATATTTACATTTACATTTTCGTCATTTAGCAGACGCTCTTATCCAGAGCGACTTACAAATTGTCATCACAGTCGTATTGGCACTGAAAGGTATAGATAGTTAGACATAGAGCTGGTGCTAAACTGTAACATCCTGCTAAGTGACCAATAGAGGAGCTGCTATAGAAGGATAAGGGATGTTATTGGTGCCAGAAGCAGACTCAGTCAAGACAGCCAATAGGCTACAGATGGGGACATGCATGGCTGTTCAATAGTTACATTTGGTGCATTATCCCCCCCCCCCCCTTCCCCTGTACTGCTGTTTGGAAGCAGGTTGAGACTAGGTGAGCCATGCATTGAGTCTGGATTTTGAAAACCTTAAGAAATGTTTTGTGAATCCAGACCCTGCAACTTTGGTATTAGGTAAGAGAATGCCACAAGGCCGGCTTGAGCAATGAACGGAAACGATGTGCAACAACTAGACAAACAGAGACACAGCCTGAGAGAAAGTCTGTTTGGGCCATCCATATATGTGTGTACATCGTATTATCAATTGGTGATGTCTTTGGTCACGTTCGCTTGGGTCAAACAAAAACACTAATGATTGGTTGACAATAGAGCCCCTCACAATGGATGGCTGCAGGGTGAAGTTGGGGAAGAGGAACTGCAGAAACTTGCAGTCGACTGACGTAATGGCGTTTGATCACATGGTTATTGTAAAGTTCATGCAGTCGTAATGTAGGCGCAAGTTGGACAATTTTTATCCACATAATGCGACACTTTGAATGGCGGTGACCAACGATGGTCATCAACTCGACAAAATTGATCAACTCAAACACGGACAATATTACATTGCATTATATTGTGCTCAGTTCTGCAAATGTTTGTAACTGGACGGGTTTGTGTGTGTGTGTGTGTGTGTGTGTGTGTGTGTGTGTGTGTGTTAACAGGTAGATGACAATGTGGGTCTGCTGCTGTCAGAGCTGAAGCGTGTGGGGTTGTGGGGGCATGTCAACGTCATCGTCACCAGCGACCACGGAATGGCCCAGTGTTCCACTGATCGCATCATCAGATTGGACGACTGTCTGCACCCTGACAACTACTCGGTAGTAGACCTAACCCCTGTCGCTGCTATCATACCCAACGGAGGTATACACACACACATATACTCACTTACTGTGAGTGAGAAGTTTGTGACTAGTTAAAGGAGATGTTGTTTAATGTGTGTGTGTGTGTGTGTGTGTGTGTGTCAGATCCCAAGGCTGTGTTTTCCCTATTGAGTGGTTGCCACGCCCACATGACTGCGTACCTGAAGAAGGACATCCCTGATAGGCTGCACTACAGGAACAACGACAGGATTCAACCAATCATATTAGTCGCTGATGAGGGATGGACTATCGTACAGAGGGGAGGGCTACCACATCGTAAGGCTGTTTTACATGCTCCCCTCCCCCCCCCTCCCCCCACTCCCCTTTCCCCCCACCCCCCTAACCCTCTGCCTGTGTGTACCCTCCAGTAGGTGACCACGGCTATGACATCACTCTATCCAGCATGCACCCCTTTCTTGCGGCAGCAGGGCCAGGGTTCCTTCCTGGTTACAGACTCCCGCTGTTACAGAGTGTAGACGTCTACCCAATAATGTGTCAGCTGCTGGGGGTGCCACCGGCGCCAAACAATGGATCTCTGTCCCAGGCACGCTGCTTCCTGGCTGGGGAGGGCTGTGTCGACGTCCCCCTAGTGGTGGGACTGGTGGTGGGGGTACTGCTGGTTCTCACCACTCTCACTGGTCAGTCTGCCTTATTGTTTGTATTACATACATTACATTATTATCATGTTTTTATTGAAATATGTAGTTTTTGCAATAGCCGAAAGACATAGGAAATGTAAAGGAGCACTACAACCCTCCTCTCTCTCAGGTCTGTTCAAGTTGTGGAGGCCACGGCGTCAGTCTTCCTCTCGTCCCTTCCAACGCATCTTGATACAGGACGATGATGATGATGAACCTCTGCTAGACTAAAGCAATCAATCACAGCTCCCAGCCCGACTATACTGATCAACCACAGATCAGTATGTCATAACAACAAACCAAAGCTCACCACCATGCTCCCAACAACCAATCAGAACTCAAATGGGAATAAATAGGGAATAGAGTGTCATTTCAGACACAGCCATACTCTTTTACAAGAGTAAACAGAGCGGTAGTCAGAATTCAGATTTACACACTCCTCATTCTGAGGTACAATACTTATGGCGTATTCAAATAAATATGTAAACTATAAATAAACAAATATTGAACCATAAATAGATACAAATAAAGAAATAAGACACTAAAGAGAACAGTCAGTTGGGGTTACTTGAATATGTCTGTATAAAGAGAAGCCATCTATAATGATATAACACGTGTTAGATATTTGAAGAAATGCTCTGTTTATCTTTTTGTAAGACAATCCTAAAAAGAAGAATACATGTTTGTTTGTTAAGAGAGCTTCTGGTAAAGGGATGTAAATCTGTATTTTGAAGAGTTTATTTCATAAAGAGTACCGCTATATTGCAGTAGTAGCAGTAGTAATTGTTTGAACAGCAGTGATGGGTTTTATTAGATACTTTGTAGACTGCTGAGCCAGGGAGTGGAGTCAGAAACAGCACTGAAGCTATGTGTCTGCCGTTTGTTAGTCAGTTAATTTGATTATAGTTAGAAGTGTGTGTGTGTGTGTGTGTAGATAAGCTTTAGCTCTGGTACTGTATGGTTTCCTGTAGTGTTAAAAGGAGACAGACCTACTATACTGTTAGATTCAGGTCCTTTATCTGAAAATAAGTTATTGAAGAAAAATGTTACTTATGGCTTCTGTTTGAGTTTGTCTGATTCTCTGGTCAACCATCTGTGTGCGTGTGCCTGCGTGTGTGTCGGTGTAGAGAAGTGGAAGATCTGCTGTTACTATGGTTACTATACCATTTTCAGTACTATGATTAATATGCTGTAACTATGCTGTTATTATGGTTACTGTACTGTAACTCTATTGTTACTATGTCAACCGCCCGCCTCCAGGTGGCTACTGAACTGGTCCTCTATGTGTTTCTGCTCATGTTGTCATTGACTGTCATATGAAAGTATAACGTCAACCTAAATGTTAGGTGTCCACATTGTATCATTATTTTACAAAGCACTCCACCCTCACCCACTCTCTCCTCCCCCTACCTATGCTTAATCATTATACTTGGATATACAGTGCCTTGCAAAAGTATTCATCCCCCTTGGTGTTTTTCCTATTTTGTTGCATTACAACGTGTAATTTTAAATGGATTTTTATTTGGATTTCATGTAATGGACATACACAAAATAGTCCAAATTGGTGAAGTGAAATGGAAAAACGTACTTGTTTCAAAGAATTATGAAAAAAAAAATAACGGAAAAGTGGTGCGTGCATATGTATTCACCCCCTTTGCTATGAAGCCCTTAAATAAGATCTGGTGCAACCAATTACCTTCAGAAGTCACATAATTAGTTAAATAAAGTCCACTTGTGTGCAATCTAAGTGTCACATGATCTCAGTATATATACACACCTGTTCTGAAAAGCCCCAGAGTCTGCAACACCACCAAGCAAGGGGCACCATGAAGACCAAGGAGCTCTCCAAACAGGTCAGGGACAAAGTTGTGGAGAAGTACAGATCAGGGTTGGGTTATAAAAAAATATCTGAAACTTTGAACATCCCACGGAGCACCATTAAATCCATTATTACAAAATGGAAAGAATATGGCACCACAACAAACCTTCCAAGAGAGGGCCACCCACCAAAACTCACGGACCAGGCAAGGAGGGCATTAATCAGAGAGGCAACAAAGAGACCAAAGATAACCCTGAAGGAGCTGCAAAGCTCCACAGCGGAGATTGGAGTATCTGTCCATAGGACCACTTTAAGCCGTACACTGATCTGGGCTTTACAGAAGAGTGGCCAGAAAAAAGCCATTGCTTAAAGAAAACAATAAGCAAACACGTTTCGTGTTCGCCAAAAGGCAGGTGGGAAACTCCCCAAACATATGGAAGAAGGTACTCTGGTCAGATGAGACTAAAATTTAGCTTTTTGGGCATCAAGGAAAACGCTATGTCTGGCGCAAACCCAACACCTCTCATCACCCCGAGAACGCCGATATTTTTCATCGGCAGGGACTGGGAAACTGGTCAGAATTGAAGGAATGATGGATGGCGCTAAATCCAGGGAAATTCTTGAGGGAAACCTGTTTCAGACTTCCAGAGATTTGAGACTGGGATGGAGGTTCACCTTCCAGCAGGACAATGACCCTAAGCATACTGCTAAAGCAACACTTGAGTGGTTTAAGGGGAAACATTTAAATGTATTGGAAGGGCCTAGTCGAAGCCCAGACCTCAATCCAATTGAGAATCTGTGGTATGACTTAAAGATTGCTGTACACCAGCAGAATCCATCCAACTTGAAGGAGCTGGAGCAGTTTTGCCTTGAAGAATGGGCAAAAATCCCAGTGGCTAGATGTGCCAAGCTTATAGAGACATACCCCAAGAGACTTGCAGCTGTAATCGCTGCAAAAGGTGGCTCTACAAAGTATTTACTTTGGGGAGTGAATAGTTATGCACGCTCAAGTTTTCAGTTTTTTTGTCTTATTTCTTGTTTGTTTCAAAACAAAAAATATTTTGCATCTTCAAAGTGGTAGGCATGTTGTGTAAATCAAATGATACAAACCCCCCAAAAATCCATTTTAATTCCAGGTTGTAAGGCAACAAAATAGGAAAAATGCCAAGGGGGGTGAATACTTTCGCAAGCCACTGTAATTGACGTGTGTGTGCTTGTGCGTGTGTGAGAGAGAGAGTGTGTGAGAGAGCAAGAAAGAAGGGGAAAGAGTATGTGTCATTGGGACCACCAGGAAACAACAAAAAAAGAACACAACCACACACGTTGGGAAATGAATCGTTTATATATTCTTAATTTCAGTCACATTATAATGTATTAAAATGCAAAGATATAAAATTAAAATAGATACTGACTCATGTAATATTTGTATATTTTTTCTGATGAAACTACATGTTTTAAAATATGGGTTATCTCTTAATACCAATATCGTTATAGATACTACTAGTATCTCTGTGGTATCTCATAGTATGTCTGAATTGTCACAGGTTAATAGTCTTTTCAGGAGGTAATGTAGCAGTAATAATCCATCTCACAACATCACGTTTAGTGCGACAATCTCCAAACATTAGCATCAGTGGGGTACGTCACCAAGCAAGATCAATAAGTTAGCCCGCCAAATGTTGAACCCTCCAGAGGGGTATACTACAAAGCTGGATCAAGGAGTTAGCCAGCTAACTTGCCTGAATATTTTGAAATACTTTTTTTTTTTTTTAAGCTTGAAATGGGCATGGTCTAATGGACTGAACAATCAAAAAGACATATCTATGTTTAGCTTTCTTAATGAACCAAAAAGGCTTTAGCTGGCTAATTCAATGATTATATGTTGTAGTATACCCCTCTGAACAGTCCCAGATACAGCAGACTCAGGAAAACAACACAATATCAAAGTCCTATTAAACACTGTTTTCATCATTCTCATTCAGTTTGGACATTCTAAATGGAAGAACATAAATCAGCAGTACGTAGCTAGAATCAATATTGGTAGGGGCAACGAGAGTACCCTAAAGAAATGTCCAAGCTTAGGGACATTGACACATCAACATTAGAAAAAACATAAACCCTCACCAAATAAAAACACTTAAATGTATTTATTTATTAACCTCTACAGGATCGGTGTCCCTTACACGGGACGGTTGTTGCTCAATATGCGATATGTGACTAGAATGGTGTTGTAAACAACAGCCAACTTTCCGGGACATAGACATGTCTTATATGGACAGAAAGCTTAAATTCCTGTTAATCTAACTGCAGTGTCCAATTTACAGTAGCTATTACAGCTAAAAAAGACCATGCTATTGTTTGAGGATAGTGCACAACAACAAAACACTTTTATCACGGCAACTGGTTTGGTACATTCACCTCTGAAGGTAAATCATGTACTTACATTCAGTAATCTTGCTCTGATTTGTCATCCTGAGGGTCCCAGAGATAAAATGTAGTGTAGTTTTGTTTGAAAAATCTATTTTTATATTCAAATGTAGGAACTGGATTCTACAGTTTGACCTCTGACTCCACACCCACCCCGCCCAGCCATCTAAATTAAATGTGTGAAGGTTAGTGTATTTTCTGTAGGGAAGCTAATGATCCATCATTTATGACATTCCTGGAAGTGTGCAAACTTACATTTTGTATTACCATAGCGTTTTTGTATGTTCTCTATAGTTATGTACTTGAAAACATTTGGGAAAACTCCTGGCAGACTTGATACAAAATATTGTGTAGTGAGGAAATTCTTCACTGGATCAGTCTGAAACTTTGCACACACACTGCTGCCATCTGGTGGACAACATCTAAATTACATCTAGAATCCTTCATCACTGTCTGGCCTTTCTCTTGCATGTTTATTTGTTTGTATTATCTTTTACCAGATCTAATGTGTTATATTCTCCTACGTTAATTTCAAATTTCCACAAACTTCAAAGTGTTTCCTTTCAAATTATATCAAGAATATGCATATCCTTGCTTCAGGTCCTGAGCTACAGGCAGTTAGATTTGGGTATGTCATTTTAGGCGAAAATTGAAAAAAAGGGTCCGATCCTTAAGAAGTTTTAAACTCCTTGAGATGAACCCAACTAATTAGTTTTCAAGGGGGTCTCGTGAGTTCAAAGGAAATAATGACTTATCATGTCATAACTTCTATATCATACCTGTACAATACATCCATGTTAAGTTTGGTTAAAGGTAGACTCAACAATATGACATCATCATAATACACAGTGGTAGGAATTTACATGGGTAACCGGGATCCCGGGACTGTGCCGAAAAGATAAAATGACAAGACCCGAGAAATTAAAACATTTTTCCCCAATGTCACACTAATGCAATTCCACAAAATGCACAACATGCGCGGCAGCAGATTATACAAAAATAAATAATAGCACATTATCCAAACAGGTTGTTTCATGGAAGCCTTGTGTATTTACTTCACACAAAGTTGCTATAAATTCAAAGTACACGCATAACTGACACTGCCGGACTGCACATGTGACCTGAATGCAGTTAATAAACCCTACAGGAAAGCCCTACAGTATAGGCTATAAAATAACATCTGCCTCTTTGAGCTGTCATTGTGACTCTTCAGACAGTCACATTTGATAGGCTTATGCACAATTCACTACATGGGAATCTCTGTCACAGACATGAAGTCAGAGAGGCGTGAGGGAAAATGCTATCTTCTCCTGTCCTAGAGCCTAGGCTGTTTTCCTATCCATTCCCAATCCCACTGAAACCCAAAATCCTGACTCCTGTCTCACGTGAAAATTCCTAACTTTATTCTGAACCATAAGTTGCATTATCAAAGCACATCTCTCGCCTATGCATGTCAAAATACCCCTATAACATTTCCCCCGCTTCTCTGTGCTATCTTGTACTTGCTGCCCATATGAGAGCTTCGGTAGAGAGTGTGTGATCAACAAACGGTATGAGAGTAGATATGGATATTTTCAAAGCAGAGTAGGCCCATGTTAAGATACCTTGATAATTAAATTATTTCCACTTGTCATCTGCCCGTTATTCATGAGCTGTCTGTATAATCATCAACTCGATTTTGCTAAATATAGGAGATATCTAGCAAGTTTAGCAACTTTGGTCATTTGACTTTTGTTTGATTGCCGTTACAAAGTTTGTATGATTGGACAACGCTATACTCGGGGTGCGCTCTGTGCGTCCTGAGCACGCTTTGTGTCGAGATGGCCTATTGCTGAAATACTCTGAATTGATAATTTATGAACGGCCTGTTTCGCAATTCACAACAATGTCATTGGTGATCAAAGATAGTTACTCTATCATTACTAAATATCAGTTTCATTTTCTCTGTAATCTTTATGTAGTGGCACAGCCAAGCCGACAAGGTGGCACAGCACCCCTCTTATTTGGGGATAACCCTGGCATAGTGACCATATCTTGGTTTGAAACACTTTAAAAGGGCACTTCAGATTTTTGGGGTATTTCCTGGGACTCTCGGGATAAATATGAATTATCCCGTATATTCATCCCTACACAGCAGTGTGATTTCCAAATATGTTTCTTCTCAATGGGTACCTTCCCTTGAGACGTGTCCCCATTAGACAGAGCCTATAGTGGAAGTCTTGGCAGAAATTAATTTTACTGTTGATTTCTGTAAGCAGGAAGTTGACCCGTATGATGATGTCATATTGCAGTGTACCTTTAACCTGCTCTGTGCTTATAAGAGCTGGCTCAAGCTCAGCCTGACAGACTGAAGTCCTGACCACCAGTCAGAATGACTCACTGACTGACTTTAAATGTTTTATAAAACTAGATTCTGATATGAACCTGGATCAATACAGCCTAATCTCTGAACTGATTGCATCTCAAACTTTGGCCACAAAGTTCAGAGCCTTTACCTGCTGTTACTTTTCACCCAGAACAGAAACAGAGAGAGGTTAAGGTCAAATGTAGAACGCTGAGTCCACTCCAAATGCATACGCTCAAGTGTATTATTGCTTTTATAAATAAAGTTCATATATATTTGCACCTTATGAAGTTCATATATGTTGATATATATTTGCACCATATGAAGTTCATATATGTTCATATATATTTGCACCATATGAAGTTAATATATGTTCATATATATTTGCCCAAAAAATAAGTTCATATTATGTTCATACATATTTGCATCATATGAAGTTCATATATGTTCATATATATTTGCACCATATGAAGTTCATATATATTTGCACCATATGAAGTTCATATATGTTCATATATATTTGCCCAAAAAATAAGTTCATATTATGTTCATACATATTTGCACCATATGAAGTTCATATATGTTCATATATATTTGCACCATATGAAGTTCATATATGTTCATATATATTTGCACCATATGAAGTTCATATATGTTCATATATATTTGCACCATATGAAGTTCATATATGTTCATATACATTTGCACCATATGAAGTTCATATATGTTCATATACATTTGCACCATATGAAGTTCATATATGTTCATATATATTTGCACCATATGAAGTTCATATATGTTCATATATATTTGCCAAAAAAATAAGTTCATATTATGTTCATATATATTTGCACCAAATGAAGTTAACAGATAAAGTTCACATATATATATTCATATATATTTGCACCATATAAAGTTGATCGGTGGAGGGTTAGTGTTGATTGGTGGAGGGATGGTCAGATGTAGTCAGGTAAAGGTCTCTGTCAACATGACAACCTCAGGGATGAGGTCATCAGAAAGAGCATGACATATCCATATTCTACATGACAGAAAATCTTATCTGTTCTACACAATACATATCTATCTTAACGTTCTGTAATGTTGTGCCTTCCTGAGCAGACAAACAAGCAAACATAATTGACTACCAGACTCACAGCTCAGTCACAACACACACAGTACACACACATCTCTGTACATATAAATATATACACATCCAGTTAAAAACTAAAGCGAATACACACCCAGTTAGCCAAACGAAAGGAAATATATACTTACAGTTAGCCAAACTAAAGGAAATATATAATCACAGTTACCAAACTAAAGAAAATATAAACTCACAGCTAGGAGACAGCTTTCAGGCAGCTGTTTATATTACATTCAATCTTTTTCTAGTTTCATATTATCTTTTAGTATTATTCATGAAGACCTGAAAATAACATGACATGCTGTCTTCTGTCACTATCCAGTCTTCTCAGCAGAGTGAGGAAGAAAAAAAAGGAATACAAAACACAGATGAGATAAAAACAGAGAGAAGAGTCCCATTTGTGTGTAACAGTGTCGCTTCCGTCCCTCTGCTTGCCCCAACCTGGGCTCGAACCAGGGACCCTCTGAACAGATGAACAACCGTCACCCTCGAAGCATCGTTACCTGTCACTCCACAAAAGCTGTGGTCCTTGCATAGCAAGGGAAACAACTACTTCTAGGTCAGAGCGGGTGAGGTCACCGATTAAACACTATTAGCGAGCACCACTAAATAGCTAGCCATTTCACATCGGTTACATGTGCGCACATGTAAATATGTGTGTTTGTCTATGTGTGTGTATGTGTGTCAGAAAGAAGACTCGTACTGCAGTAGTTCATAGAGCAGAGGTCTGTCCCTGTATCGTATGCCTGCGGCTGCAGGCGTCAGGTACTGCAGTAGGTTGATGGTCCTTCGCAGCCGTCTGTCCACGTAGTGAGCGTCCCAGGCCGGGTAACGTTTTCTGGGCATGTCAATCTTTATCAGAGGACCCTCGAAACGCCTTGAGGTGGGGGGCTCCAAACGCACCTGGAACACCGGCAGACAGCCTTCTGCAATGACATCATCACTGTGGGACGGGGCAGCCAGGTAACCTGGGGTGGGCGGGGCTGAGGGGGGCAGGGGGTTACTCCACAGCAGCTCATCACACCAGGTCGAGGCCGGGGTGGGGTGTGTGCGTGAGGGGTGAAGAAGACCATAGTACAGAAGCATCACCAGTACTCCACCTGCAAAGGACAGGTAGACACCACACAACGCTGGTACCGCGTAGCTGTCTGTCTCTGCATGGTCACGATACACATACCTGTAACACACATACACACACAACTGTTATGATATACACGCACACACATTTGTCTCTGTACATTCATGAGAGATACACCTATTCGAAGATAAAACGCATACTGTAGGTGTGTGTCTGTCTGTCTGTCTGTCCCTATACATACCACAGTCCGGTGAGCAGTGTATTCTCAGCCAGTACCACAGAGTAGTAAGCCACCATGCGTCCCCTGGTGTGTCCTTCCTTGACGTTGAACCAACAGAAGATGTAGACGATGCCCACCACCATGTTAAACAGCACCTCCTCCCAGCGAGACATACAGAAGTCTGTTCCTCCATGCACCACCCACAGCGCCATGCCACACCAGTGGAGCACCACGAAGATGCCAAAGTACAGGTGGAAGAGGGATGCAAAGAGGGCGAGAGAGAGAACGCGGGAGGAGATGGTGAGGAGGCGCCAGAGAAGGTGGAGGAGGGCACCGCGATAACTCAGACTGCGCTGGTCGTCCCTGGAGTCACGTAGGAGCTTGTGGTACGAGGCCAACACCCAGGATAGAGACAGAAGTGAGCCTAGACTAGATATACCTAGGGAGAGAGAGAGGGAGTGACTCATCTTGATAGCTGTAATACTAGTTGACCAGTGAGTGTGTGTGTGCTGTGTGTGAACTGTGTGTGTATACGTACACTGTAGAGTCTCAGCACGGTTCTGTTGTATCATAATGCAGAGCTGTAGTACTAGTTGAGGAGCTGACTCCAGGAAGGTCTCCAGTAGCCTCAGCATGTTGACGTCTGCGTACTCAAACATCATGGCCCAGTAGAACCTCCTCTGAGCCTCCTTATGCTCCTTCATACGGTGGGACTGGATACCCAGGTATAATGTACGGATATACCTGGGGGTCAGAGGTTAGACGTCAATAATTATGGCCAGAGTAATATCTCATCATGGCCCAGAGAGAGAGAGAGAGAGAGAGCGATAGAGCCTGTTTGTGTAGAATGAATTAGATCAAATACTGAGTGCCCCAGGCTGTGCGTGTGAGTGTGTGTCTGTGTTTCTCTCGTGTGTTTGTGTGTGTGTGAGCATGTGCGTTGACATGCTCATACAACCATCTGGGCTGCATCAAATGAGCTAATTTCATACGACATCAATAATTCACTGGCCACATAGAAACACATGCATGCAGGCACACACACACACATTTCACCAGATAAACCTGCAAGATGCCGCATCACAACAGAGGAAGAAGAGAGAGAAACTATTTATTTGAGTTGAATCTGTATGTCGCTATCCATCTTTTCACTCTCCATCACTCCCTCCTTCCCCTCCCCCCTTCACTTCTGTTATGCGTGTTCAAGCTCTTTTTTCTGTCCATTCTACTCCCTCCCTCCATCTCACAGTGATCAGACTGAACCATTCCACACACACACCACTCTGGGAAAGACTCTATTAGGGAGATTGTTACAAACGTGCGCACACATGCAGACACACACCATGGGGGAGGGGCAGGGTTGTTGTTTTCACTGTGGGCCTTTATAAAAAAACATGCAAGAAACCACACACTGGTGTGTGTGTGTGTGTGAAACAGGCATACAGTAGTCATACAGGAGTCTTACAGTCAGAGCCCCCAGCCCAACTTGTATTTGACCGCTCAGTGCATTTTTGGTCTAACGTTTCTGGACGGTCCAAACGCTCCTCAGTTCAGTGTTCGAGACTCTCATTCACAGATCACTGCCTCCCAATCCCCATCACACACACACACACACACACCAGCTCTTAAACCCACTCAACATCTCCCTCAGGCACCTAGGCCATTAAAGATTAATCTGACAGAGAGAGGGAGAGAAGGAGAGAGAGAAAGAGAGGGGGGATACACACAGGATATCCGAGTGGAGTGGCATACCTTTGACCTTTGGTGTTCAGTCAGGATTTTTTGATGTAGTGTTTTTCTAGACTGATGGCTAACTAGCCTTGTGACTATCAGCTCTGCTAGCTAGTTAGCTATCACGATAGCTATCCAGCTAATTAGCTAGCTGTGTCAGACAGTGGGAGTGTAGAGAAAACACAAGAGAAATCGATTGAGCCCAAATAGGTTCAAACTGTTTTAACTGAATGGAGAAAAAAAATAAGCTTTATTCAGGTCAGTGCAGGTTCTGCCCATGTTCTGCAAATGTGCCCTTCGTTGCTAATTACATAAGCCATTTAGTGTATGGTTTGAATCTATGGTTTGGGTAGCCTAGCTAATACTTACTGTAGCTAAACTACAAATGTTTGTTTTTGTAACTACATTCAGTGTTCAGTATCCAGTCGGTCACACCAACTCTCTTAGTTCCAGGCCAGCCAATCACATTTCACATCCCAAATATCACCTCCTTCACTGACTTCCAGTGTGTGCGTGCATGCGTTTTTGTGTGTGTGTTTGTGTCAGCGGCAGATGCTCTTTCTTCTTTTTGTTCTCCACCTGTACACACACAGCGAGGTTAACATGTGATCTAGTACATGGACCTCATTAGATAGTAGAGAATGGGAGAGGTGAAGGGAGGAGAGAAGAGGAGAGGTGAAGGGAGGAGAGAAGAGGAGAGGTGAAGGGAGGAGAGAAGAGGAGAGGTGAAGGGAGGAGAGAAGAGGAGAGGTGAAGGGAGGAGAGAAGAGGAGAGGTGAAGGGAGGAGAGAAGAGGAGAGGTGAGGAGAATGGCCTAAATGGCCATGTACTCCTATAATCTCCACCAGGCACAACCAGAAGAGGACTGGCCACCCCTCGCAGCCTGGTTCCTCTCTAGGTTTCTTCCTAGGTTCCTGCCTTTCTAGGGAGTTTTTCCTAGCCGCTGTGCTTCTGCATTGCTTGCTCTTTGGAGTTTTAGGCTGGGTATCTGTATAAGCCAAGGGCGAAATTGTGGTGTAGATATTGGGGGATGAACAGTAGACGGGTGGCCCTGGTGGTCCACCCCCTGATTTTCTTTTTGACATTTTAAAACACATTTCCTGCAATTCTACACAGTTTGACATGACTTATTATGCCTCTCTTGAGTGGTATTTTGAGGGGAATATGGAGGGGTATGTAAATTTTTTACATCAAGTTTTTATTATTTCAATTCATAGGATTCATACAATACATTTATAGATATATTTTTTTCACCCCCCCCCACCGGCAATCTGATAGCATGTAAAATAAATCATAAGATAAAAACAAATTAATTAATATTACATAGTAAATCTGCTGAACAATACATCATATAGTCTCAGAAATAGTGACAAATTATTGATACACATTCATGGATGTAAAGGCCCGTTGGTTAAGAGTTCAAAAATGTCCGCTGCTGCTTTATTCCATGTGTCCAGAGTGGACACCTTGGCCCTGTGGATTCTGGCCGTGGAGAGCTCCATAAGTACAATTTCCTTAAATGGGAGCAGCCATTTTTGCAATGGTAACTGATGAGGTTGAATCCACCTTTGTACAATCATTTTCTTAGCAGCTGTGGTTCCTGCCAACCACACTCTCCATGGCGTCATCACAAAGCAACATCACTATTGGATCTAATGGCAGTATTTTATCTATAAGTACAGAGATGACAGTTGACTTTCCCCCAGAATTCAACCACTCCCGGGCATTTCCACAGCACATGCTGAAAAGTACCAAGGTCCCCTGTGGTGCAGAACTTACATAATGGGGATGGACTAATACCCATGTGATATCTTTTTTGAGGTGTTAGATATGTTCTATGGCAAATGTTTTAATTAATTAATTGGTGATTGGGGTTTCTAGATGATCCAAATATATTTTTCCATACTGTCTCCCAATTGATTTGTCTGTCAGCAAGTGTAAAATAATTTCCCCATACAGTGGATGGAGGGGTATTTTGAAAACACAGCATAAGTGGAAGGATAAGTGGAAGGCCACCCAACCCCCCCAAACATAAAATATACACACTACCATTCAAATGTTTGGGGTCACTTAGAAATGTCATTGTTTTCCATGAAAACATATATTAAATGAGTTTGAATAGGAAATATAGCAAAATGAATAGGAAATGTAGTCATTGACAAGGTTAGAAATAATGATTTTTAATAGAAAAAAAATGGTGTCCTTCAAACTTTGCTTTTGTCAAAGAATCCTCCATTTGCAGCAATTACAACCTTGCAGACATTTGGCATTCTAGCTGTTAATTTGTTGAGGTAATCTGAAGAGATTTCACCCATGCTTCCTGAAGCACCTCCCACAAGTTGGATTGGCTTGATGGGCACTTCTTACATACCATACGGTCAAGCTGCTCCCACAACAGCTCAATAGGGTTGAGATCCGGTGACTGTGCCGGCCACTCCATTATAGACAGAATACCAGCTGATTGCTTCTTCCCTAAATAGTTATTGCATAGTTTGGAGCTGTGCTTTGGGTCATTGTCCTGTTGTAGGAGGAAATTGGCTCCAATCAAGCGCCGTCCACAGGGTATGGCATGGCGTTGCAAAATGGAGTGATAGCCTTCCTTCTTCAAGATCCCTTTTACCCTGTACAAATCTCCCACTTTACCACCACCAAAGCACCCCCAGACCATCACATTGCCTCCACCATGCTTGACAGATTGCATCAAGCACTCCTCCAGCATCTTTTCATTTGGTCTGCGTCTCACAAATGTTCTTCTTTGTGATCCGAACACCTCAAACTTCGATTTGTCTGTCCATAACACTTTTTTCCAATCTTCCTCTATCCAGTGTCTGTGTTCTTTTGCCCATCTTAATCTTTTATTTTTATTGGCCAGTCTGAGATATGGGTTTTTCTTTGCAACTCTGCCTAGAAGGTCAGCATCCCGGAGTCGCCTCTTCACTGTTGACGTTGAGACTGGTGTTTTGCGGGTACTATTTAATGAAGCTGCCAGTTGAGGACCTGTGAGGCGTCTGTTTCTCAAACTAGACACTCTAATGTATTTGTCCTCTTGCTCAGTTGTGCACCGGGGCATCCCACTCCTCTTTCTATTCTGGTTAGAGTCAGTTTGCGCTGTTCTGTGAAGGGAGTAGTACACAGCGTTGTACGAGATCTTCAGTTTTATTGCTTCTTTAATCAGCACAACAGTTTTCAGCTGTGCTAACATAATTGTAAAAGGGTTTGGCCCAGCGTCGTCCTGGTTTGGCCGGGGTAGGCCGTCATTGTAAATAAGAATTTGTTCTTAACTCACTTGCCTAGTTAAAATAAAGGTGAAATAAAAATGACTTCCTGCATTTCAACACCTTTTGCCATGGGGCAGAGAGAAAAATGTGCAGTTTTATAATGCTATTCTACACATTTTCTCATGAGTCTGAGAACATTTAGCAGTTTTAAAGCTAATTTCCTGCAATTCTACAATTTTATCCATGGGGCAGAGATAAAAATGTGCTGTTTTATAGCTCATTTCATGGTATTCTTCACATTTTGCCATTAGGATGAGAGAAAATGTAGCAGTTTGAAAGTTAATTTCCTGCAATTCTACAAATTTTTCCATGGGGCAGAGAGAAAAATGTGCTGTTTTATAGCTCATCTCATGCTATTCTTCACATTTTGCCATGAGGTAGATATATATTTTTGCAGTTTTAAAGTAACTGTCCACTTTTAAAAGTTAATATTCTGTTAACTCATACCCAAATAATGTTGTTGACTCATCCTATACTCGTATTTGTGGCCAAAGCATAAATTGGAGAAAGAAACTTTGAAAAAACCATCTCACACTTGTATCTCAAACAGACCTTTTCAAAAATACTTGCTATTTCCTCATAGAGGAATTCTACACATTTTGCCATTGCTTTTTGCCATGTTCATATGCTATCTGGGGGGCCCACGACCCAATTTAAAAACAAATATTTGTATTTTAAAGAAATTATTGGGGGGAATGAATCAACCTATTCTGAATATTGGGTAGGACATATTGGGTGGCACATTTCGCCTATTGTATAAGCATTTTGTGACAACTGCTGATGTAAAAAGTGCTTTATAAAATACATTTGATTGAAATTTGATTGATTGAAAAGAGAGGAGAGAACAGGGGGGCATGCGCTGTCCTTACCTCCAGACCTGTCCCAGCTGTAGAATGTGTATGGTGATCTGCCACAGCCATACTGAGGCCACTCTGACCCGGTCTGTCCCAGGATAAACCCCTCTGTGGCCAGCTGGCCCTCGCCTGGTCAGCTTTTCTCTCTCTCCTCCCCTGCTGCAGTCCACCGTCCCCAGCCAGGTGGTCAGACACTCTCCGCTGTAGTCCTGGACGAACCAGCGGAAGCTCAGGATCTGAACTACTATCGACGGCACCAGCACCAGGAAGAGCGTCAGGCCAAACCACAGATAGTCCTGTCTGGCATAGTAGTCCGCAGCGAGAAGTAGGTCTGTTCCCACGTCCCAGAAGAAGACGAGGAGAGCCAGGATCAGCCAGAGACAGTCCAGCCACAGACCCTCCTCTGGCGGGCAGCGAGTCTCCCTCAAACCCCGACCACCGCCAACTCTGGTACCCCCAATCCTTCTATAATAATGAGCATAATAATAATGGTAAAAGGGTTAAAATGAGAATAGCAGAGACAATTATCATACTACACACACACACACACACACACACACTTACCCAGTAGTGTCCTCCCCCAGCAGGTTTCCCAGGCAGTTGGAGCGACAGCCCCAGTAGCAGACAGCAGAGTGGCAGCAGAGACAGATGTGGATGGCTGCAGAGTCCAGAGGCTGACATTCTTCCTCTGTGTCTCCATCAACCCCCCCCTCCCCCACACCCTCCCCCGTTTCTCCCCCTCCCTTTCCATCAGACTGCGCGGCCATGTTCCTCCCGCTCCTCTCGTCCCGAACCAAAACACACCCTCCTCTGATCCCACGTCACTTCCCAAATACCTCCTGTCCCCCCCCCCAGCAGCGGTGTTTCTGTCTCTGACTCTCCCGGGGAGCGAGGAGCCATCAGAGCCGGACACCGCACGACGGCGGCTGCCCCTCTCCCTCCTCCTCCTCTCCCTTCCTCCTCTCTAGGAAACACTCTATCCCCTCTCCTACCAGGCGCTCCTTGCGACCAGTGGCAGCGGTTGAATCCTATTCCTCTCCTCCTCCAGCCTCTCTTCATCCCCCATGCTCTCTCTCCCTCTGCATTTCCTACATGGCTGTGCTCACCACAGTCATCTAGGGAGACAGTGGCTTGTTATGACGTAATGCAGCATCTCCCGGCTAAGAGACGTGTGTGTGTGTGTGTTGAGACATGAGTGTGTGAAAAGCCAGTGAACTAATCCTCATCCATGTGGAGCTGTGGTAGCGTTTCAGCCTTCCCCAGCCTGTCTCTCAACCTGTCACACACACACCACAGCCGTCCGCTCCACCTCACTGCTTGAGCCCTCTGCGCTGCTCAGCTCAGGTCAGAACACACTCACACACACTCCGCCTCCTAGCGGCAAGACTAGACACAACATTTGAACATCTGTACACACACTCTCCCAACCCCCCTCTCTTCTCTCCCTCAGCAGACTTCTGGCCAACAGCTCAGCCAGCCTAATCACCCAGAACATATGTGTGTGTGTGTGTGAGCCCTGCCAGAGGAAGGAGAGGGGAGAAGAGATGGCGAGAGAGAGAGAAAGAGAGGGAGAGAGGAAGGAAGAGGGGGTGGGCGATGGGAGAGATAGTGAGGGGGTAGGGGAGGGGCACATATAAGGATTTAAGAAGAGGGGGATGAGGGAGGGATAAAGCACAAACCAGCCTCTTCACCCTTTCATTCTCTCCCTCTCTCTTTCTGTGTCCACTGGAGATTAGCCTCTCTGTTGCCATGACTACCATCCCAGTGTGGCTGAAGGGGAGTGTGGTAATTTGGTCTGTGAAGGAACGAGAGATGGAGAGAGGGGAAGAGAGGGAGAGAGATAATCAGTTGTAATTTGTTCTATAATCAATTCTCCTATTTCTCCATGTTTTTCCTAATGTGTATCAGATACAAACCACACTAGTCTATTGGCTACAGGGACTCTTATGCAATATCGATATTTGCATATTTCATAATGCCAATATAGCTTTATATCAAATTGGACAGAGGGAGAGAGGAAGATGTACTACTCAATTGAGATTAAAATAATAATAGTTTTTTAGAAGCGGGATTGTATGTGATTTTATTTGATGTGACACTTGGTGCTCTGCTTTGAACTTTAGTCCTGTGGACTGTTAGATAACTACTGTGTGATTCTGAATGCAGACATCTGGGCTGGGTTTCCCAAATTCAACTGTTCTTTTTTTAAAAACAAATATTTAACCTTTATTTAACCAGGTAAGCCAGTTGAGAACAAGTTCTCATTTACAACTGCGACCTGGCCAAGATAAAGCAAAGCAGTGTGATAAAAACAACAGAGTTACATATGGAATAAACAAAACGCACAGTCAATAACACAATAGAACATCTATATACAGTGTGTGCAAATGTAGTAAGTTATGGAGGTAAGGCAATAAATAGGCCATAGTGCAAAATAATTACAATTTAGTATTAACACTGGAGTGATAGATGTGCAGAAGATGATGTGCAAATAGAGATACTGGGGTGCAAATGAGCAAAATAAATAACAATGTAAATAACAATATGGGGATGAGGTAGTTGGGTGGGCTAATTACAGATGGGCTGTGTACAGGTGCAGTGATCGGTAAGCTGCTCTGACAACGGATGCTTAATAATGAGGGAGATAAGCGTCTCCAACTTCAGAGATTTTTGCAGTTCGTTCCATTCATTTGCAGCAGAGAACTGGAAGGAATGGCGGCCACAGGAGGTGTTGGCTTTGGGGATGACCAGTGAGATATACCTGCTGGAGCGCATACTACGGGTGGGTGTTGCTATGGTGACCAATGAGCTAAGATAAGGCGGGGATTTGCCTAGAAGAGATTTATAGATGACCTGGAGCCAGTGGGTTTGGCGACAAATATGTAGTGAGGGCCAGCCAACAAGAGCGTACAGGTCACAATGGTGGGTAGTATATTTACATTTACATTTTAGTCATTTAGCAGACGCTCTTATCCAGAGCGACTTACAGTTAGTGAGTGCATACATTATTTTATATATTTTTCATACGCCCCGTGGGAAACGAACCCACAAACCTGGCGTTGCAAACGCCATGCTCTACCAACTGAGCTACATCCCCGCCAGCCATTCCCTCCCCTACCCTGGGCCAATTGTGCGCCGCCCCATGGATCTCCCGGTCGCGGCCGGCTACGACAGAGCCTGGATTCGAACCAGGATCTCTAGTGGCACAGCTAGCACTGCAATGCAGTGCCTTAGACCACTGCGCCACTCGGGAGGCAGAGGTGACAAAACGGATGGCACTGTGATAGACTACATCAAGTTTGCTGAGTAGAGTGTTGGAAGCTATTGTGTAAATGACATCGCTGAAGTCAAGGATCGGTAGGATAGTCAGTTTTACGAGGGCATGTTTAGCAGCATGAGTGAAGGAGGCTTTGTTGCAAAATAGGAAGCCGATTCTAGATTTAACTTTGGTTTGGAGATGCTTAATGTGAGTCTGGTTTGGAGAGTTTACGGTCTAACCAGACACCAGGTATTTGTAGTTGTCCACATATTCTAAGTCAGACCCGCCGAGAGTAGTGATTCTAGTCAGGCGGGCAAGTGCAAGCAGTGTTCGATTGAAGAGCATGCATTTAGTTTTACTAGCGTTTAAGAGCAGTTGTTGGCCACGGAAGGAGTGTTGTATGGCATTGAAGCTCGTTTGGAGGTTTGTTAACACAGTGTCCAATGAAGGGCCAGATGTATACAAAATGGTGTCGTCTGCGTAGAGGTGGATCTGAGAGTCACCAGCAGCAAGAGCGACATCATTGATATACACAGAGAATAGAGTCGGCCCGAGAATTGAACCCTGTGGCACCCCCATAGAGACTGCCAGAGGTCCAGACAACAGGCCCTCCGATTTGACACATTGAACTCTATCTGAGAAGTAGTTGGTGAACCAGGCGAGGCAGTCATTTGAGAAACCAAGGCTATTTAGTCTGCCAATAAGAATGCGGTGATTGACAGAGTCGAAAGCCTTGGCCAGGTCCATGAAGACGGCTGCACAGTACTCTCTTTTATCGATCGCGGTTATTATATCGTTTAGGACCTTGAGCGTGGCTGAGGTGCACTCATGACCAGCTCGGAAACCGGATTGCATAGCGGAGAAGATACGGTGGGTTTCGAAATGGTCGGTGATCTGTTTGTTAACTTGGCTTTCAAATACTTTCGAAAGGCAGGGCAGGATGGATATAGGTCTGTAACAGTTTGGATCTAGAGTGTCACCCCCTTTGAAGAGGGGGATGACCGCGGCAGCTTTCCAATCTCTGGGGATCTCAGACAATACGAAAGAGAGGTTGAACAGGCTAGTAATAGGGGTTGCGACAATTTTGGCGGCTAATTTTAGAAAGCAATTCTATATGGTGTCCAGGGCACAACTGGGGGCTGAGGGCGGTCTGTAGCAAGCGGCAACAGTGAGAGACTTATTTCTGGAAAGGTGGATTTTTAGAAGTAGAAGCTCAAACTGTTTGGGCACAGACCTGGATAGTATGATAGAGCTCTGCAGGCTATCTCTACAGTAGATTGCAACTCCGCCCCCTTTGGCAGTTCTATCTAGACGGAAAATGTTGTAATTCTGAATTTTTGGTGGCCTTCCTAAGCCAGGATTCAGACACTGCTAGAACATCAGGGTTGGCAGAGTGTGCTAACGCAGTGAATAACTCAAACTTGGGGAGGAGGCTTCTGATGTTGACATGCAAGAATCCAAGGCTTTTACGGTTACAGAAGTCAACAAATGATAGGGGGCTACAGGGCCTGGGTTAACCTCTACATCACCAGAGGAACAGAGGAGGAATAGAATAAGTATACGGCTAAGGGCTTTAAGAACTGGTCTTCTAGTGCGTTCGGTACAGAGAATAAAAGGGGCAGATTTCCGGGCGTTGTAGAATAGATTCAGGGCATTATGTACAGACAAGGATATAGAAGGATATGAGTACAATGGAGGTACACCTAAGCATTGGGTAACGATGAAAGAGGTAGCATCACTGGAGGTACCGATTGAGCCGGTCTCTGCTTGTATGGGGGGTGGGACAAAGGAGCTCTCTGAGGCTGGTTGAGCGGGACTGGAGGTTCTACAGTGAAATAGTACAATAAGAACTAGCCCAAACAGCAATAGGCTAGGCATATTGACATGGGAGAGAGGCATAATGCAATCACCAGTGTTATTCGAGAGGGCTAAGACAACAACTGGTAATGGCGACGAAAGATTGGGCTGAGGCTAAACAGATAAACAAACTCAACTGTTCTTTTTTTAAAAACAAATATTTAACCTTTATTTAACCAGGTAAGCCAGTTGAGAACAAGTTCTCATTTACAACTGCGACCTGGCCAAGATAAAGCAAAGCAGTGCGATAAAAACAACAGAGTTACATATGGAATAAACAAAACGCACAGTCAATAACACAATAGAACATCTATATACAGTGTGTGCAAATGTAGTAAGTTATGGAGGTAAGGCAATAAATAGGCCATAGTGCAAAATAATTACAATTTAGTATTAACACTGGAGTGATAGATGTGCAGAAGATGATGTGCAAATAGAGATACTGGGGTGCAAATGAGCAAAATAAATAACAATGTAAATAACAATATGGGGATGAGGTAGTTGGGTGGGCTAATTACAGATGGGCTGTGTACAGGTGCAGTGATCGGTAAGCTGCTCTGACAACGGATGCTTAATAATGAGGGAGATAAGCGTCTCCAGCTTCAGAGATTTTTGCAGTTCGTTCCATTCATTTGCAGCAGAGAACTGGAAGGAATGGCGGCCAAAGGAGGTGTTGGCTTTGGGGATGACCAGTGAGATATACCTGCTGGAGCGCATATTACGGGTGGGTGTTGCTATGGTGACCATTAAACAGATAAACAGGATAGGGTACCGTGTAAAGGAACAGACCAGCAGGCATCGGCTGTGTAGCTGAGTGATCATAAGGTCCAGTGAACAGCAATAGCTAAGTCCGGGAGCAGTTTGTAGGCTGCTACAGCCCAGGCGAGCAGGAGGAACGGCTGTTGATTGCATGTGCTAGCGGGCCGGGGCTAGCTGATGGATCTTCGTGGTCGTCGCAATGGGAAGCCTGTTGAAACCACTTCAGACGATTACGTCGGCAGACCAGTCGTGATGGATCGGCGGGGCTCCGTGTCGACACTAGGAGGTCCCGTTCGGTTGACAGAGAGGTAGATAGCCGGGAGATGGGCCTGGCTCGAGGCTAGCTCAAGGCTAACTGGTGCATCGGGACAGTGGTGAAATAGCCAACAACAGCCATTCGGTTGCAGCTAGCTAGTTGCGATGATCTAGTGTTAAGGTCCAGTGATTCAGTGATTCCGGCAGAAAATCTGATATGCTCTAGGTCGATAGCACGCTGTGCAGACCGATAATTGTCCAGGCTAGAGCTGGCTGGTAGGTAGTGCAGGCCACGGATAGTGGTGAAGACCGCTAACGGTGGCTAATAGCAAGTAGCTAGTTAGCTGGCTAGCTGGCTAGTTTCAGCCGTAGGTTTTTGATCAAAATAAAGAAATAGTAATATCCGTTCCACATTGGGTGAGGCGGGTTGCAGGAAAGTATATTTGGTTAAAGGATGGGAAGTGAGATAGAGAAATATATATGAAAAAAAGACAAAAAACTAAAAAACAGGCTTTTACACGAGGACACAACAGAATACACGACCACACTGCTACGCCATCTTGGATCTTTACGATACATCCGTTGGTTACTAAAGTGCAATATTAGTAACTCGTTTCAAATACCACCACCATGTCATCAAGCTTATGAAAATATATGATAAAGGTGCCCCATAATAAAACAAATGCATCAGGATTGACAGAGAGTTTCAATATTGTTCATATATACTTTATTACCGATTTTAAAAACGTGTTTTATTGTCATTGTTTGTGTGTGTAACCCCGGCATCTTGCCTAGACCCTCTTACCTTATCTTGGGTTTGTGTGTGTATGTGGCTGGGGCAGGTCGTTGGCGTGTGTGAGGCTGCAAGGGGCCAGGGTTCCGGTCTAGAATCACGGTTTCGACTGATCCTACAGTTTTGCTTCGGTACTGCAGTTTAACTGACGTCCGGCCCAGAAAGACAATTTCCATAGATGGCCACATAGAGAAGTCAGATTGGAAAATTCCTAATAAGACACTTTAGTCATCACCTTTGTGCACAAAACATCAATTGAATTATTCAAATAATTGAAGCTGAGGCAAATGTTTATTCATCACTCAAAGATATTAACAGCCGAACATATCAACATTTTATATTCATCCAATGTCTGCAATGTTTTTGGATGGCGCGATGACGTCGTCGCTGCTCGCGCTGCACCCTGTGCACACTGAGTGCTAGTGCGCATGTAACGTTGGTCCGTATAAACCGGATGCAACCCAGATATAGACGGTCTATGAATCAGCATATGCGAACGTGATTAGATTACCTTGAAAACAACGGTCCGACATTTTGGATGCAGTCTCCTGTTCTTTCTACACCTCAGCTTTGTGAGGTAAGGGTGCATGTGTGTGAGATGTTTGTGTGTAGGCTTCCCCCCGGTGGGCAGGGGTATGTGTTGCATGCTGAGCTCCAGCAGGTCATACACCAGGCTGCTCTCCTTCAGCAGTCTCACCGGCAGCTGCTCTCCTTCAGCATTCTCCAGCAATGCTGTATTATTTTTTTTGCCTGCACTACTGATGGCTATATCAGGACTAGTAAAGGCCCAGTGCACTACTTGTCATTTTGATTTAAAAAAATATATATTTCCGAAAAATATTGTGTGGTCTGTCAAGAAGCAAAGTGTCACTTGCCACATCCATCATGATGCATTTTGTGACACTTTGCTTCTTGAATGTCCAATATCTTGAAAACTTGACTGCTGACATGGAAAACATTTTGGGGCTGTATCAACAGTTTCTTAATTAAAAAAATCAGAATTGGTTAAATTTAGGTTTGCGTAAATGTCAGTTTTAGATTTTGGTTAGTCGTTTTACACGTCAGAAGTGTCCTTATAGCTTCTCCCGCTGCATTCCATGTTAAACAGCAACATTTGGTCTCCATCTGCTGGCCACAAATATTTGGTTCACCATAACCCAATCAAACAGTACTGATGCTTCACTGCACACATTGCATAACTGTAGCTAAAGTATCTGCAGGATAGTCTGAACAGAACCCACAAGAGGTCTAGAGTATAGTATAACCTTCCTCTCGCTCACACACATAGCAACCAGGTTAAAGCTTTTTCTTTGTTGAGAAACACAACTGTCACTTGGCTCAAATCTAGAAGATCTGATAAATAACAGTAGGTTATACACTGAGTGTACAAAACATTAAGAACACCTTCCTAATATTGAGTTGCACCCCACCCTTTTGCCCTCAGAACAGCCTCAATTCGTCGGGGTGTTGAAATTGTTCCACAGGGATACTGGCCCATGTTTACTCCAATACTTCTCACAGTTGTGTCAAGTTGGCTGGATGTCCTTTGGGTGGTGGACCATTCTTGATACACACGGGAAACTGTTGAGTGTGAAAAACCCAGCAGTGTTGCAGTTCTTGACACAAACCGGTGCGCCTGGCACCTACTACCATACCACGTTCGAAGGCACTTAAATATTTTGTCTTGCCCAGTCACCCTCTGAATGGCACACATACACAATCAATGTCTCAATTGTCTCAAGGCTTAAAAATCCTTCTTTAACCGGTCTCCTCCCCTTCATCTACACTGATTGAAGTAGATTTAACAAGTGACATCAATAAGGGATCATAGACTGACCAGGAGAAAGCTATGTCATGGAAAGAGCAGGTGTTCATAAGGTTTTGTACACTTAATGTATATGACAATGAAGTCAGATGAAAATTGGATGGCAATGATTTTATTATGTTAAGAAATCAACACTTAAGAAATTCACAGTTATTTTATATACACTGATCTATTGCACATATAAAAAAAAAAAACAGGATTGACACACCCAGCTCACATGGGTTTTAGACTATACATTTGATACCCATTAAATGAAGATTTAAAAAAAGAAATATAACCATGGTTTATCATTACAACATTATATAACATGTTTTAGATTGACCTATGTGGATCTAACCCATCCAATGCTTTTTTTGTTCATAGGAACATTTTCTAAAAACTGGGATGAATTTAGAAAAACTGACACTTAAATGAGATTCCTCATTCCAACTTTACCACATTCGTTCCATTGGAAACAAAGGCAATGATTTAGAAGTAACACCCCCCCCCCCCCCCCACTCATCAGAAAAAAGGTAATGAACCATAAAAGGAGGATCATAAATGATGACTTCAATGTGTCTGTTCTGACAACAACCATATAAAGCATGTATAGCATATAATCCATGTTGGGGTTTTTCAGGGTTATTATTTTAAGCTGCCAAATAAGACTAACTATTTTGTTCAAAATATACATAAAAACGGTGCAAACCTTTCTGTCAAAACCCATAGTGGCATGCACCACAGTAAACATCTATGCTGAAATTCACACGGCTTAGCGATAAATATGCCTATGACGCTATGCACTGTATAGTAGTCAAGGAAATATCCAGTGTTTTCCAGTTATCCAGTGTTTTGTTTGTTGTCCAGTTTTTAAAGTGTTGTGTTAGAAGGTATGGATGTTGGCGTTAGTGCTCTTCCTTATCTCGTCCTATCTTCTCCTTCTTCTCCTTCTCGTCCTGCAGGGCCGTGCCCAGTTTCTTGATGAGGACAGAGAGGACCTTGTCCAGGGGGTCCATCACCCCCCTCTGGAGCCATTTGGGAATTGTAGTCCTTGCGTGGTGGAAGCCTAGCTTCTGGAGAATGTAGTCCACGCCGACAGGATCGATCTTCCGTCCCGTCCAGGAGATGAGCCTGTGGAAATTAATTATTAAGACTGAGTCAAGAAACCTCAGAGATGTATGGCAAAAGGGTTTAGGGTTAGGGTATAGGCCTTAAAGTGGGCTTATGGAGTAGTTGAAATGCTCAGGTGAGGGGTTAAGGAGTTAAACACAGGGATCACATACACATACTACAAATGTATGCACACTGTACTGTTAGTTTGGATAAAAGTGTCTACATGGTGGGATATATTGGGTCTGAGGGCTTGGGTCTGGTTTACCTGAGTGTGGGCTCCAGCTGCCAGGTGTTGCACATGAATTCTCTCCAGTCCACCGTGGTGTAGTTGATGCCATCCTCCTTGTCCTTGTCTGTGGAGTTGTCATCATGCAGGGCCGTCGGGCTCTTCTGGCCAGGTCGAGTGGCAAACATCCGTGGGTTGAAAAGGGCTGCAGACCAGGGAAGGGAAGAGGGGGCGAGAGAGAGAGTGTGAAACTATAAAGAGTGCCTTGGTTCTCCTTGTTCTTCTATGACTACTAGTTCCTAAATAAACAGCACCTTCAATTCAACTTTTTCTATTTTAGTTGTACCTACGTTGCTCTTATTCTCTATATAAAGTTTAGTGCTATTTATCTAATGTAAAGTACAGTTAAGTGTTCTGGGTTGCGCAATGTAGTGTGTTGCTGCTGTTGACATTTCAGGTAGTCTCACCCTTCTCTTTCTCCTTCAGGTAGGCAGAGACCAGGTCATGCAGGAACATGATGAGCTCGGCGTCCATGGTGACACAGATGTGGTCAGTGAATTCAGTCACCAGGCTGCACTCCACCTTGGGCTTACTGTTGGAGTCTGAAACGGACGGGAAACAATAGTGTCGTTACCTTGCTTTCCAACACAGATACACTATATATACAAAAGTATGTGGACACCCCTTCAAATTAGTGGATTCGGCTATTTCAGCCACACCCGTTGCTGACAGGTGTATAAAATAGAGCACACAGCCATGCAATCTCCATAGACAAACATTGGCCTTACTGAAGAGCTCAGTGACTTTCAACGTGGCACCGTCATAGGATGCCACCTTTCCAACAAGTCAGCTCGTCAAATTTCTGCCCTGCTAGAGCTGCCGGTCAACTGTAAGTGGTATTATTGTGAAGTGGAAACGACTAGAAGCAACAACGGCTCAGCTGCGAAGTGGTAGGCCACACTAGCGCACAGTACGGGACCACCGAATGCTGAAGCGCGTAAAATAGTCTGTCCTCGGTTGCAACACTCACTACCGAGTTCCAAATTTAAGCAACGTCAGCACAAGAACTGTTCGTCGGGAGCCTCATGAAATGGGTTTCCAAGCCTAAGATCACCATGCGCAATGCCAAGCATCGGCTGGAATGGCGTAAAGCTCGCCACGATTGGACTCTCGAGCAGTGGAAACACGTTTTCTGGAGTGAGGAAATCACGCTTCACCATCTGACAGTCTGACGGACGAATCTGGGTTTGGCGGATGCCAGGAGAACGCTACCTGTCCGAATGCATAGTGCCAACTGTAAAGTTTGGTGGAGGAGGAATAATGGTCTGGGGCTGTTTATCATGGTTTGGGCTAGGCCCCATAGTTCCAGTGAAGGGAAATGTTAATGCTACAGCATACATTTAAATGTACATCATTTAGCAGATGCTCTTATCCAGAGCACCTTACAAATTGGTGCATTCAACTTATGATTTGTTTTGTGTGGGGGAGGGGTAGAAGGATTACTTGTATACTATTCCAGGTATTCCTTAAAGAGGTAGGGTTTCAAGTGTCTCCGGAAGGTGGTCAGTGACTCCGCTGTCCTGGCGTAGTGGGGGAGCTCGTTCCACCATTGGGGTGCCAGAGCAGCAAATAGCTTTGACTGGGCTGAGCGGGAACTGTGCTTCCGTAGAGGTAGGGGGGCTAGCAGGCCAGAGGTGGATGAACGTAGTGCCCTCGTTTGGGTGTAGGGTCTGATCAGAGCCTGAAGGTGAGGAGGTGCCGTTCCCCTCACAGCTCCGTAGGCAAGCACCATGGTCTTGTAGTAGATGCGAGCCTTTTTATTTTTTTTATTTAACCTTTATTTAACCAGGTAAGCCAGTTGAGAACAAGTTCTCATTTACAACTGCGACCTGGCCAAGATAAAGCAAAGCAGTGCAATAAAAACAACACAGAGTTACATATGGGGTAAAAAAAACAAAGTCAAAAAAATACAACAGAAAATATATATACAGTGTGTGCAAATGTAGCAAGTTATGGAGGTAAGGCAATAAATAGGCTAAAGTGCAAAATAATTACAATTAGAATTAATACTGGAATGATAGATGTGCAAGAGATTATGTGCAAATAGAGATACTGGGGTGCAAAAGAGCAAAATAAATAACAATATAGGGATGAGGTAGTTGGGTGGGCTAATTTCAGATGGGCTGTGTACAGGTGCAGTGATCGGTAAGGTGCTCTGACAACTGATGCTTAAAGTTAGTGAGGGAGATAAGAGTCTCCAGCTTCAGAGATTTTTGCAATTCGTTCCAGTCATTGGCAGCAGAGAACTGAAAGGAATGGCGGCCAAAGGAGGTGTTGGCTTTGGGGATGACCAGTGAGATATACCTGCTGGAGCACAGACTACGGGTGGGTGCTGCTATGGTGACCAATGAGCTAAGATAAGGCGGGGATTTGCCTAGCAGTGATTTATAGATGGCCTGGAGCCAGTGGGTTTGACGACGAACATGTAGTGAGGACCAGCCAACAAGAGCGTACAGGTCACAGTGGTGGGTAGTGTATGGGGCTTTGGAGACAAAACGGATGGCACTGTGATAGACTACATCCAATTTGCTGAGTAGAGTGTTGGAGGCTATTTTGTAAATGACATCGCCGAAGTCAAGGATCGGTAGGATAGTCAGTTTTACGAGGGCATGTTTGGCAGCATGAGTGAAGGAGGCTTTGTTGCGAAATAGGAAGCCGATTCTAGATTTAACTTTGGATTGGAGATTCTTAATGTGAGTCTGGAAGGAGAGTTTACAGTCTAACCAGACACCTAGGTATTTGTAGTTGCCCACATACTCTAGGTCAGACCCGTCGAGAGTAGTGATTCTAGTCGGGTGGGCGGGTGCCAGCAGCGTTCGATTGAAGAGCATGCATTTAGTTTTACTAGTGTTTAAGAGCAGTTGGAGGCTACTGAAGGAGTGTTGTATGGCATTGAAGCTCGTTTGGAGGTTTGTTAACACAGTGTCCAATGAAGGGCCAGATGTATACAAAATGGTGTCGTCTGCGTAGAGGTGGATCTGAGAGTCACCAGCAGCAAGAGCGACATCATTGATATACACAGAGAAAAGAGTCGGCCCAAGAATTGAACCCTGTGGCACCCCCATAGAGACTGCCATAGGTCCAGACAACAGGCCCTCCGATTTGACACATTGAACTCTATCTGAGAAGTAGTTGGTGAACCAGGCGAGGCAGTCATTTGAGAAACCAAGGCTATTTAGTCTGCCAATAAGAATGCGGTGGTTGACAGAGTCGAAAGCCTTGGCCAGGTCGATGAAGACGGCTGCACAGTACTGTCTATTATCGATCGCGGTTATAATATCGTTTAGGACCTTGAGCGTGGCTGAAGTGCACCCATGACCAGCTCGGAAACCGGATTGCATAGCGGAGAAGGTACGGTGGGATTCGAAATGGTCGGTGATCTGTTTGTTAACTTGGCTTTCAAATACTTTCGAAAGGCAGGGCAGGATGGATATAGGTCTGTAACAGTTTGGATCTAGAGTGTCACCCCCTTTGAAGAGGGGGATGACCGCGGCAGCTTTCCAATCTCTGGGGATCTCAGACGTTACGAAAGAGAGGTTGAACAGGCTAGTAATAGGGGTTGCGACAATTTTGGCAGCCAGTTTTAGAAAGGGTCCAGATTGTCTAGCCCAGCTGATTTGTAGGGGTCCAGATTTGGAAGCTCTTTCAGAACATTAGCTGTCTGAATTTGTGTGAAGGAGAAGCGGGGGGGGGGGGGGGGGGGGGGGGGGGGCATGGGCAAGTTGCAGCGGAGGGTGCAGAGTTGGTGGCCAGGGTAGTGGTAGCCAGGTGGAAAGCATGGCCAGCCATAGCAAAATGCTTGTTGAAATTCTCGATTATTGTAGATTTATCGGTGGTGATAGTGTTTCCTAGCCTCAGTGCAGTGGGCAGCTGGGAGGAAGTGCTCTTATTCTCCATGGACTTTACAGTGTCCCAAAACTTTTTGGAGTTAGTGCTACAGGATGCAAATTTCTGTTTGAAAAGGTTAGCCTTTGCTTTCCTGACTGCTTGTGTATATTGGTTCCTAACTTCCCTGAAAAGTTGCATATCGCGGGGGCTATTTGATGCTAATGCAGTACGCCACAGGATGTTTTTGTGCTGGTCAAGGGCAGTCAAGTCTGAGGAGAACCAGGGGCTATATCTGTTCTTAGTTCTGTATTTTTTTTTGAATGGGGCATGTTTATTTAAGATGTAGAGGAAATTACTTTTAAAGAACAACCAGGCATCCTCTACTGACGGAATGAGATCTATATCCATCCAGGATACCTGGGCCAGGTCAATTAGGAAGGCCTGCTCGCTAAAGTGTTTTAGGGAGCGTTTGACAGTGATGAGGGGTGGTCGTTTGACCGCGGACCCGTTACGGACGCAGGCAATAAGGCAGTGATCGCTGAGATCCTGGTTCTAGACAGCGAAGGTGTATTTAGAGGGTAAGTTAGTCAGGATGATATCTATGAGGGTACCCATGTTTACGGATTTAGGGTTGTACCTGGTAGGTTCGTTGATAATTTGTGTGAGATTGAGGGCATCTAGTTTGGATTGTAGGATGGCCGGGGTGTTAAGCATATCCCAATTTAGGTCACCAAGCAGTACGAACTCTGAGGATAAATGGGGGGCAATCAATTCACATATGGTGTCCAGGGCACAGCTGGGGGCTGAGGGGGGTCTGTAGCAAGCGGCAACAGTGAGAGACTTATTTCTGGAAAGGTGGATTTTTTGAAGTAGAAGCTCAAATTGTTTGGGCACAGACCTGGATAGTATGATAGAGCTCTGCAGGCTCTCTCTACAGTAGATTGCAACTCCACCCCCTTTGGCAGTTCTATCTAGACGGAAAATGTTAAAGTTGGGGATGGAAATTTCAGAATTTTTGGTGGCCTTCCTAAGCCAGGATTCAGACACTGCTAGAACATCAGGGTTGGCGGAGTGTGCTAACGCAGTGAATAACTCAAACTTAGGAAGTAGACTTCTGATATTAGCATGCAAGAAACCAAGGCTTTTGCGATTACAGAAGTCAACAAATGATAGCGCCTGGGGAGTAGGAGTGATACTGAGGGCTGCAGGGCCTGGGTTAGCCTCTACATCACCCGAGGAACAGAGGAGGACTAGAATAAGGATACGGCTAAAAGCTTTAAGAACTGGTCTTCTAGTGCGTTGGAAGCCAGTGGAGTGTGCGGAGGAGCGGGGTGACATGAGAGAACTTGGGAAGGTTGAACACCAGACGGGCTGCAGCAGACAATTACATTCTAGACGATTCTGTGCTTTCAACTTTGTGGTAACAGTTTGGGGAAGGCCCTTTCCTGTTTCAGCATGACAATGCCCCCGTGCACAAAGCGAGGTCCATACAGAAATGGTTTGTCGAGATCGGTGTGGAAGAACTTGACTGGCCTGCACAGAGCCCTGACCTCAACCCCATCGAACACCTTTGGGATGAATTGGAACGTCGACTGCAAGGCAGGCCTAATCGCCCAACATCAGTGCCCAACCTCACGAATGCTCGTGGCTGAATGGAAGCAAGTCCCCGCAGCAATGTTCCAACATCTAGTGGAAAGCCTTCCCAGAAGAGTAGAGGCTGTTATAGCAGCAAAGGGGGGAACAACTCCATATTAATGCCCATGATTTTGGAATGAGATGTTCGATGAGCAGGTGTCCACATACTTTTGGTCAAGTAGCGCATCTCTCAGATATAGGACAGACACTTCAGAACAAACTTCCTTTCGATTTTTTGGGGACTATCTGTTATTCAATGCGTTTGTATGTGCTAATAAAGGCCAAACATAATTTTTAATCAAAAAATGTTTGATACTTCAAAATCAAATAGCTAAATGATCCTTGCTTGGTATGACCTTCTTAAAACAATTCCATACAGCTTAGTAGACCCCCCCCCCGGCTTATACTCTTATGGGTTAAGTGTCTTTGAACAGGGTATGGTAGTTGGTGTCAGGCGCACCGGTTTGAGTGTGTGAAGAACTGCCACGCTGCTGGGTTTTTCACTTTCAACAGTTTCCTGTGTGTATCAAGAATGGTCCACCACCCAAAGGACATCCAGCCAACTTGACACAACTGTGGGAAGCATTGGAGTCAACATGGGCCAGCATCCCTGTGGAACGCTTTCAACACCTCGTAGAGTCAATGCCCCGACAAATGTAGGCTGTTCTGAGGGCAAAAGGGGGCGTGCAGCTCAATGTTTTGTACACTCAGTGTATATAACATTGCCAACCGTGGTCTGTTCATACTGGTGGACTGACTACCAACTGAGCCTACCGGTCAAGGAGGGTTCGTCGGGATCCTGAAAGTTTTTGGAGCTGAAGTTCAGCTGCATCCTGGGAAGGGCGAAGATTGTCTCCGTCTCATGGTTGTAGCTGGAAGAGCCGCTGAAGCTGCTGAGAAGGCTTGAACTCTTGGCGGCTGCCCCGCTCTCTGGGTTGTTGGCGTGTACGTTGCGCAAGAGGTTCAGCTCTGGGGAACAGGATACATTAGAATGAGGCAGGGGTCTTGAATACATTGGGTCAAGGGAAACGGTAGACCTTGAATATGACATTGGTAGTATTTAGTACTCTTTACCCTCATTCCTCATGGCAGTCACGTAGTTGAACCATTCTTTGACCGTGGCCACTCCGTGAGGCGGGTTTTCGTGCCGGCGACGGGTGATTTTGGTGATGGTGGCCATGGGGCTCTCTAGCGCCCCGCAGGGCTTGGTTTCCATAGTGTTGTGACCCAGATTAAAAGCCAACGTCTGCACGATGTAGGTGGACTCATCAGTGGAGCCTGATTGGATAGAAAATAGGTTGAGGTTAGAGGTACAGTGAGGGAAAAAAGTACTTGATCCCCTGCTGATTTTGTACATTTGCCCACTGACAAAGACATGATCAGTCTATAATTTTAATGGTAGGTTTATTTGAACAGTGATAGACAGAATAACAACAAAAAAATCCAGAAAAACACATGTCAAAAATGTTATAAATTGATTTGAATTTTAATGAGGGAAATAAGTATTTGACCCCTCTGCAAAACATGACTTAGTTCTTGGTGGCAAAACCCTTGTTGGCAATCACAGAGGTCAGACATTTCTTGTAGTTGGCCACTAGGTTTGCACACATCTCAGGAGGGATTTTGTCCCACTCCTCTTTGCAGATCTTCTCCAAGTCATTAAGGTTTCGAGGCTGACGTTTGGCAACTCAAACCTTCAGCTCCCTCCACTGATTTTCTATGGGATTAAGGTCTGGAGACTGGCTAGACCACTCCAGGACCTTCATGTGCTTCTTCTTGAGCCACTCCTTTGTTGCCTTGGCCGTGTGTTTTGGGTCATTGTCATGCTGGAATACCCATCCACGACCCATTTTCAATGCCCTGGCTGAGGGAAGGAGGTTCTCACCCAAGGTTTGACGGTACATGGCCCCATCCATCGTCCCTTTGATGCGGTGAAGTTGTCCTGTCCCCTTAGCAGAAAAACACCCCCAAAGCATAATGTTTCCACCTCCATGTTTGACGGTGGGGATGGTGTTCTTGGGGTCATAGGCATCATTCCTCCTCCTCCAAACACGGCGAGTTGAGTTGATGCCAAAGAGCTCGATTTTGGTCTCATCTGACCACAACACTTTCACCCAGTTCTCCTCTGAATCATTCAGATGTTCATTGGCAAACTTCAGACGGGCCTGTATATATGCTTTCTTGAGCAGGGGGACCTTGCGGGCGCTGCAGGACTCCAGTCCTTCACGCGTAGTGTGTTACCAATTGTTTTCTTGGTGACTATGGTCCCAGCTGCCTTAAGATCATTGACAAGATCCTCCCGTGTAGTTCTGGGCTGATTCCTCACCGTTCTCATGATCATTGCAACTCCACGAGGTGAGATCTTGCATGGAGCCCCAGGCCGAGGGAGATTTACAGTTCTTTTGTGTTTCTTCCATTTGCGAATAATCGCACCAACTGTTGTCACCTTTTCACCAAGCTGCTTGGTGATGGTCTTGTAGCCCATTCCAGCCTTGTGTAGGTCTACAATCTTGTCCCTGACATCCTTGGAGAGCTCTTTGGTCTTGGCCATGGTGGAGAGTTTGGAATCTGATTGATTGATTGCTTCTGTGGACAGGTGTCTTTTATACAGGTAACAAGCTGAGATTAGGAGCACTCCCTTTAAGAGTGTGCTCCTAATCTCAGCTCGTTACCTGTATAAAAGACACCTGGGAGCCAGAAATCTTTCTGATTGAGAGGGGGTTAAAATGCAAATCAATTTATAACATTTTTGACACGCGTTTTTCTGGATTTTTTTGTTGTTATTCTGTCTCTCACTGTTCAAATAAACCTACCATTAAAATTATAGACTGATCATTTCTTTGTCAGTGGGCAAACGTACAAAATCAGCAGGGGATCAAATACATTTTCCCCTCACTGTATTTAGGACAACTTGCTTAGGGATGATGTGCCACTTTGTTTTGTATGCCAGTATGAATGTAATGTGGTTGTTCATCATGTTCTCGTCTATGAACATTAGATGTTTGATTTGTTTTTACCATTGAGGACCACTTCGGAAACCAGTGTTTTAATTGATACTTTTAAGTGCTATACTCTGGGAAGACATTGTACATATTGTTGTATATGTTTTTTACCCAAATAAATCCAAATTCCCATCCCTCTCTGTCTCTTGAAAGCCTTACCGTCCTCCAATATCTTCTGAGCCTCAGTCAAAAAGGCTATGTTGGGCTCCTCCAGGTGGAATAAGGCCCAGGACTTGGAGCGGAAGTTGGGCCCGTGGAAGCAGGCCAGGGTCATGTGGTTGCCATGGAGACTAATGGAGCCACCCAGTTGCACTGCGTCTTCTGGAAGAGGCATCTGGAAGAGGGAGATGTGGCACCCGGCGATCACCTTCAGAACTCCAGGCCAATGTCGATGGTGGGCCGCATCCATGTCTAGGAGAGAGGAAGGGAGAGAGAGAGAAATGAAGAGAGCCAGAAGGTGCAACAACGATAGATGGGGAGAGGGACAGAAAGAGAGGACAAGCATTTCGATCAAAACCAGTCCATTTACTTGATGAACCCAGGAACCCAGTCATAATGCATACTTACACAGCTCTGCAGCGTCTTTCTCAATGTTGATGACCGGCGCCTTGGGGGGCAGGTAGGGTACTGGACCCCATGTGGACAACGCTCGTTTGCTGGTGTCAAACTGCTGGGTGAAAAACTCCTGCAGCTTCATCCCGATCTTGATGAGGTCGGGGGTAGTGGAGCGAGAGATGATCACCTGGAAGATATCCCACTGCAAGTCCCCTTGGACAAATATCTTACTGGAGAGAGGAAGGGATAGGTAGAAAGAGAGGTGAAAGAAAGAGGAAAGGAGAATATGAGAAAGAGAAGAGAGGGAAGGGACAGAGGGAGAAATGGGCCAAAAATGAGAGAATGAGAACATACAAGAATGTAGCTTCCACAGGGGTTGTAGCTATACATCTTCTCTGGTAGGCTAGGCTAGCTTATTTACCTTTTCTCTGATAGGCTTGTCTCCACGGTGCACAGGTTGACCTTCCACTCATCCTTAAGCTTCAGGTCTGCGTTGCTGAAGATGCCCATGAGGATGCTGGAGCCCATGTAGTCCACACGGGCCTCCGTGGAACCCATGGTGATCTGGATGTTATGGCTGGGCTGCTGGTTAGGGTGCTCCGAGATGTGCGCTTCAACAAACAAATATGTGTTGTTAGGAGCGGCAGAGAGATCAAGTTCTACTTCTTTGACAGGGATGTTTAAGTTGGAGCTGAATGCGTTTATCATTTAAACGCCAAGACCAGAGGCTAGAGTTCAATCTTTGACATCCATCACAATGTATTTGGAATCGCACAGTACATGCCAGTGGCATAATACATGATTCCCCATCCCTGTACTTACAGACCATCTCCAGGGTGTTGACATCTATATTGCCCCCCACCACACCGCCTTTAGAGTCCAGTTTGGAGCGGCCCAGACCCACGGACATGCTGATTTCTCTGTCTCTGTTACTACCCACTGACAGGCGACCCTGACTCTTCAGCCCACTGGTGGTCCAACTAGAGGTAAACAAGAGCAAAGGGGAAAAAGTCAGTACCACCCACCTCCTCATGAATAACCAACATCTGCTTTCTAGTAGGCATGGTTTGTTTCAACGGGAATATTTCAATGTTTAGAATCATGCTTTTGGTAAAGGTTATATGTAGGATTGTGTTCTGTTTTTTATAGGTAGTCAGATACAGTGGGGGAAAAAAGTATTTAGTCAGCCACCAATTGTGCAAGTTCTCCCACTTAAAAAGATGAGAGAGGCCTGTAATTTTCATCATAGGTACACGTCAACTATGACAGACAAATTGAGGAAAAAATGTTTTTTAATGAATTTATTTGCAAATTATGGTGGAAAATAAGTATTTGGTCACCTACAAACAAGCAAGATTTCTGGCTCTCACAGACCTGTAACTTCTTCTTTAAGAGGCTCCTCTGTCCTCCACCCGTTACCTGTATTAATGGCACCTGTTTGAACTTGTTATCAGTATAAAAGACACCTGTCCACAACCTCAAACAGTCACACTCCAAACTCCACTATGGCCAAGACCAAAGAGCTGTCAAAGGACACCAGAAACAAAATTGTAGACCTGCACCAGGCTGGGAAGACTGAATCTGCAATAGGTAAGCAGCTTGGTTTGAAGAAATCAACTGTGGGAGCAATTATTAGGAAATGGAAGACATACAAGACCACTGATAATCTCCCTCGATCTGGGGCTCCACACAAGATCTCACCCCGTGGGGTCAAAATGATCACAAGAACAGTGAGCAAAAATCCCAGAACCACACGGGGGGACCTAGTGAATGACCTGCAGAGAGCTGGGACCAAAGTAACAAAGCCTACCATCAGTAACACACTACGCCGCCAGGGACTCAAATCCTGCAGTGCTAGACGTGTCCCCCTGCTTAAGCCAGTACATGTCCAGGCCCGTCTGAAGTTTGCTAGAGTGCATTTGGATGATCCAGAAGAGGAATGGGAGAATGTCATATGGTCAGATGAAACCAAAATATAACTTTTTGGTAAAAACTCAACTCGTCGTGTTTGGAGGACAAAGAATGCTGAGTTGCATCCAAAGAACACCATACCTACTGTGAAGCATGGGGGTGCAAACATCATGCTTTGGGGCTGTTTTTCTGCAAAGGGACCACGACGACTGATCCGTGTAAAGGAAAGAATGAATGGGGCCATGTATCGTGAGATTTTGAGTGTGAAAACCTCCTTCCATCAGCAAGGGCATTGAAGATGAAACGTGGCTGGGTCTTTCAGCATGACAATGATCCCAAACACACCGCCCGGGCAACGAAGGAGTGGCTTCGTAAGAAGCATTTCAAGGTCCTGGAGTGGCCTAGCCAGTCTCCAGATCTCAACCCCATAGAAAATCTTTGGAGGGAGTTGAAAGTCCGTGTTGCCCAGCGACAGCCCCAAAACATCACTGCTCTAGAGGAGATCTGCATGGAGGAATGGGCCAAAATACCAGCAACAGTGTGTGAAAACCTTGTGAAGACTTACAGAAAACGTTTGACCTGTGTCATTGCCAACAAAGGGTATATAACAAAGTATTGAGAAACTTTTGTTATTGACCAAATACTTATTTTCCACCATAATTTGCAAATAAATTCATTAAAAATCCTACAATGTGATTTTCTGGATTTTTTTTCTCATTTTGTCTGTCATAGTTGACGTGTACCTATGATGAAAATTACAGGCCTATCTTATCTTTTTAAGTGGGAGAACTTGCACAATTGGTGGCTGACTAAATACTTTTTTTCCCCACTGTATAGACATTAAGTAATATGCTGGTATGAATTATAAGGAATACATCTGTATCTGGGAAACTGGCTCCTAGTGTGTAGAGTATAGTGTGTTGAGTGGGAGGGGTAAAAGGAAGACATACGTGTTGTTGCCCATGACATTGCTCATGTTCATCTGGACGTTGAGCTGCTTCAGGTTGATGGCGAATACCACTAGTGTCTCCCACGGGGTCCCTTGGAGGCCAGCTGCCTTACCGTTCTTATTGAACGATGGCGTGGACGTCTTGGTCACAGAATCTGCATGGGAGAGAAATGTATGATGTAACGGCATGCTCCCCACAACTATTTGTCTTAAGTTAGGGACAAAGTTATTCCCAATCTAAGTGCCAAAGAGTATAAACTAGCTCAAGTCTTAAATGAGGGATATAGTATTCATTCACCATTACAACTGTATTTTAAGTCTAGCTTGTGAAAATAATCTCCATACTAAACTAAAATAAACAACATTAACACAGTTTTAATCAGATAGTGTTGTTCCTCGACGCTGCTGAGCACTCATTTTTGAGTTGGTACCTCTTCTGGGGGCGGAGGAATCGGAGACACTCCTGGTGCGTCCGGGGGCCGGGGACTTGAGGTGGGAGGACAGGCCCCCGGGGGACATGTTGCTCCCAGTGGAGTGTTCAGAGAACACATTGGGGGACTGGGGCATATGCTGCCCAGTGCTACCGTCCCAGGTCCTCCAGTAGGCTTTACGGCTGGACTCTGGTGACAGGTGCTGGGTCATGTTCTCTACAGAGTCTGGGGTGGCTGGACCTGAGGCTGGAGGAGAAAAGCAGGTTAAGGTAAAGGGCATGTTTTGAAATGTCAACACAGGTTTGGGGAAAAAATGCCTACGGTTTTAAAGGGACTGACATTAACAGAGTCGGAGATTGAAAGGAAACAGAGTAACTAAGAAATAAACCCAGTCAGAAGTAAAAATGTTGATAATTTATTGCATAAGGAAAATGGCGCTCTAAGGGTGCAAAGGCCTATCGAGGAGTTGTGTTTCTACCTGTTGGCATGTTGATGGTCTGGTCTCCCAGGAAGAGGCGTCGGGCGATGCTGCGGCGGTACCAGGCTCTGGGGAAGGCCAGGATCTCACTCAGCCTCCGCATGTCATACTTGAAGGAGGCAGAGCCGATGTCACACACAGCTGAGAAGAGAGAGCGAGAAAACACTCAAAGTTGGCCAGGAATACCAGTTTATGTGGATTCAACCGTCTTGACAGGGGAATTGAAATGTCAAAATGGATCATCTTCATTGACAAGATATACATGACATTCCCATTTGAAGACCAAAGATTGCGCTCAGGTTAGACGGTGTCCAACCATTAACCCCGTTCCAAGAGCGGATAAGGCACCTGAGATATTGATGAGGGTGGTGTCCATCTTGCCCCCCTTGCCGGGTACAAAACTCTCAATGAAGGTTGGTCCTCCGGTGCGTCTCATTCTGGACAGGCTGACCTTGACGAACTCCAGGTTGATGCTGAGGGAATCCTTCCTCCCAGTCACAGAGGATGGCTCCTCATCCACTGTACCTTAAAGGAAAGAACAGCTATGAGGCGACACTTCATTGCGCTGTTATAATGCTACACATTGAACTGACGGAAGACTGAAAAACCCTGCTGTGAAAGTACACTGTATCACTATAAGGCATGCTGTACAGCGTAGTTGGTAGACTTCACTGCAATATAATGCACAGGACAAAAAACAGGGGTCGGCAACAGGCAGCCGAAACCGGCCTGCGAGTGATTTACTTTGGCCCCCCAAAGTTGTTAGCAAAAAAAAAGATTAACTAAGTTACAAAATAACTGTATATAGAGGGGTCATACTAGTGTGTAGCCCAAACTGTTTGGATGCTACAGACAAAAGTTGGCAGATCGGCTGTACCGACTTCAGACAAGTCCCAAGACGCTTGTGGGGGTCGTAAAGCAAAATGAACCGTCGTGTTCGAGTCTCATCTTTCCATAGGGTTCATAATAGTTTGTAGGCCAAACCGTTCGGACGATTTTGTGAGAAGACCAATTTTCCGGATGTCTCATGGTCTGACAAACACCGCTCTAGCTCTGTCACCTTTCACCACAGATACGGAAGTGCAACATCGGTGGATGTGATGGATTGAGACGCATCCAATGCAAAAGGTATAGATATCTAGCTTAAACTGACAGATTTTTATGGGGATTTTTTTATGATGCAAATTACAGTGTCTTCAGAAAGTATTCATATCCCTTGACTTATTCCACACTTTGTTGTGTTACAGCCTGAATTAAAAATGGATAAAAAAATTAAATGATGTTCTCTCACCCATCTACTACATATGCCATAATGACAAAGTGACAACATGTTTTTAGAAATGTTGGCTAATTTATTGAAAATGAAATACAGAAATATTTCATTCACACCACTGAGTCAATACATGTTAGAGTGTCTTTCTGGGTAAGTCTCAAGAGCTTTGCACACCTGGATTGTACAATATTTGCAGCTCTGTCAAGTTGGTTGTTGATCATTGCTAGACAGCCATTTTCAAGTCTTGCCATATATTTTCACGCTGATTGAAGTCAAAACTAACTAGGCCACAGGAAAATTCAATGTCATCTTGGTAAGCAACTATCTCCCAGTGTCTGTTGGAAAGCAGACTGAACCAGGTTTTCCTCTAGGATTTTGCCTGTGCTTAGCTCTATTCCGTTTCTTTTTATCCTAAAAAACTCCTTAGTCCTTGCCGATGACAAGCGTACCAATAACATGATGCAGCCACCACCATGCTTGAAAATTTGAAGGGTGGCACTCAGTAATGTGTTGGATTTGCCCCAACCATAACGCTTTGTACTCAGGACATAAAGGTCATTTATTTGCCTTTTTTTTTGCAGTTTTACTTTAGTGCCTTATTGCAAACAGGATGCATGTTTTGGAATATTTTTTATTCTGTACAGGCTTCCTTCTTTTCACTGTAATTTAGGTTAGTATTGTGGAGTAACTACAATGTTGTTGATCCATCCTCAATTTTCTCCCATCACAGCCATTCAACTCTAACTGTTTTAAAGCCACCATTGGCCTCATGGTGAAATCCCTGAGCGGTTTCCTTCTTCTCCGGCAACGGAGTTAGGAAGGACGCTTGTATCTTTGTAGTGAATGGATGTATTGATACACCATCCAAAGTGTAATTAATAACTTCACAATGCTCAAAGGGATATTCAATGTCTGTTTTTTGTTTTGTTTTTTTCATCTACCAATAGGTTCCCGTCTTTGCAAGGCATTGGAAAACCTCCCTGGTCTTTGTGGTTGAATCTGTGGTTGAAAGTCACTGCTCGACTGAGGGACCTTACAGATACTTGTATGTGTGGGGTACAGAGATGCGGTAGTCAAAAAGCATGTTAAACACTATTATTGCACACAGAGCGAGTTCATGTAACTTATTACGTGACTTGTTAAGTACATTTTTACTCCTGAAGTTCTTTAGGCTTGCCATAACAAAGGGGTTGAATATTTATTGACTCAAGACATTTCAGCTTTTCATTTCTTATTACATTTGTAAAAAAGTCTAAAAACATAATTCCACTTTGAAATTATGGGGTATTGTGTGTAGGCCAGTGACACAAAATCTCAATTTGATTCATTTTAAATACAGGCTGTAACAACAAAATGTGGAAAATTCAAGTGGGGTGAATACTTTCTGAAGGCACTGTCTATATTTTTTTAGGATTTTAGTTTTTGGTAAATAAATAACAAAAATCACCAGGAATTCAGCTAAGAATGAGTTTCATTTAGAAAATCACTTCCCAAGTATTCCCATGAATAAACAAGGAGGTGTCTCAATGTAATCAAGGAATGAAATGATTGTATTTGAAAATAACAATCTCTTTTTGGGCTTAGTTTTGGTCAATGTTCCGGCCCCTGACTATCCACCCGACCCCCAAAAAATAAACGAAAGAATCGGCCCTACCGCTGCTATAGAATATTCAAATATACATGAGAAATGTTAAAGTTGAGAAACTTTCCACTACACTTTTCCATACCTAGAGGTCCTGGGCCTGGGGGCAGCCCTGTGACGGCAGATTTCTGTTTCCCTGCCCCATAAGGGTGGAACACGTAGAGGGAGAAGTCTGACATGCAGGCAGTGAAGCTGAGCCCCGAGGAGTTGCTGGGGGGGGCGGTGAGGTCTGACTGGCTGCTGCTGTGATGGGTCCGGCCCAGAGGGCTACCCAGAGATGGAGAGGGACCTGAAGATTAGATCAAAGAGGTGTTATTATGGACCAGATAGACTTAGAAAATGAAATGCATCCACTCACATCTAGAGGTTGCTTTACAGGTGCATTGGAGTGTTGCTATCTATACCTCCTTTGCCAGGGGGCGGTTTGAGGATGTGTTGGCTCGGAGGGGTGGAGGAGGGTGTGGGTGTGTGTGGGCCGTCGGTAGGTTGGGTGCTGGATGGGATCTCCAGTTCACCACGATTAGAGGAGAATACCAGGTCTAGAGACGGCAGTTTCAGCATACACTCCACTCTGGACATGGGCAAGCAGCTGAAGCGGATCTGAGAGGGCTAGAGATTGAGTCAGATTAGAATAGAATTTGAAAACTTTATTACTTTGAGTGTGGTGTCTCAGGGACTGGACATTGTGACAGCAAAACATACTCATTTAAAATGGTCTCATATTGTACAATGGCGAACAGAGTGACATGAACTGAGCTATGGGGGCCACAGTAAGTCGGGTAGACGGAGGTAGGTTACCTGTACTCTGACGTAGACCACAACGTCCACAGGAAAGGAGGAGTAGGCAGAGGTGGATGAGGACACCAGGGATGTGCTGGACTCCTCCAAGGGCTCCACTGGATCAAACTGGCCTAAGTCCTCCTCCTGGGAGTTCAGATCTGAGAAACACACAGACAAAAAGTGGTCAGCTTTGAGCAATGGTTTTGTAAGTTGATGTTTTAGGTCCAGCAATCACATCTCTCAGGCAAACAGGCAAACATTTTTTGATTTTTTTAATACAAATACAATTCAAACAGTTGAGGTGAACAAGTGATGTATTTGCAATGGAATGACCCTACATACCAGTATAGTTCCTTTCCACCGGGGTGATGGGAATGGTCTCCAAGGCTTTCTCCAGGAAGTCCAGAAGACAAGGGCTGATGACCATCTCCTCTGGGAGGGTCTGGAGGGCCACCCAGGCATACAGCTTGGCTGTCTTCACCCCACTACTGCCCTTGCTTTTGGCTGCAGGGGAGACATGATCTGAGTTTGGACAGGGTCACACACACAAGGCTTCACTACACCCACCAACATTGGTAAGAGAGTGAAAACACATAGTGAAACAGATATTGGGACAGATTTAACTAATATTTTTCACTCCCAAGGAAATGAAACAAAAAAAGGTAAGAAATAAGACATTGTTCTTTCATTTACTTTCTGGTTCTACATGTTATGTTTTCTTTCCTCTGGAGAATAACTTTGCAACAGCGTTTAGTAAAACAGCCACTCTGTGTCTATCTACCCACCCACTAAGTGTCTGAAACGGAATTAAATCAAACCGGATCTTAAAACATTCCAACACAGAAATCACCAGCGTCTTCAACATTCACAGATCAAAGCCTTGGACAAGACTGAACGAGCATGCATTCGATTTTAATGAGTGGGTTGATTGAGGATTGATTGAGGATGTCTATGGCCACGATGGAGACGTGGCGCTCTACTGCGGGTCAACACAGAAGGCGAAAGGGCATGCAGATAATGATGAGAGCTCTCAGTACCAGTACCTGATGGTAGAGGTGGGGATGGGGGAGGAAGGAGCGAGTTAGTCTTGCTTTGGCCAGCATTGGGAGGGTTGTGAGGGCCGCTATCTTTCATACCATACAGCTTGGATTCTTTGGAGAGGGTGCGGGGGAGGGAGGATCCTCGAGAGGCATCTGGCGACTCTGTCTTCATGGTCTTGGAGTTGTAGTGCAACTGGGGTTGGAGGAAATTGAAAAATAGTTTTGCATCAGAATAGTTGAACTCTTAGGTCATCAATGGCAATATAGTTCCTACCATTTAATGCATGGTATTGATGGGTCATCATTTAAACTCATTATTTACACCATACCATAGATAGAGGGCCTGAAACAGTAATGGCCTGAAAGCAAAATAACCGACCTTGACATCTACTCCCGGAATGTAAAAGACAGTGGTCTCCAGGTCGCTGGATTTGGTCTGCAGAGAGGAAGGCACCTTCTTCCCGGCCAGGAGGTGGGTGGTGGAGGTATAGGTGGGCTGGAGCTTCTTCTTCTTGGGTGGAGATTCCTGGTCCAGACTCCTGGAGCTGCGGTCACAACTCCTACAGTACAGGAGGAGTAGGAACATTGGGTTACATAGCATTCTTTGACTAAGAAACTTTGTTAACATTTTACTTTAAGCCTGCAGGTATAATGCTTTATAACTTGTCTAGATTACAATAAGGCATATGTTATGTCTTTCTATATATCAAAATAGTTAGAAAATCCCTAGGGTTTAGGTGCCGTACCTTCTTAAGGAGACATCCTCGTTCTCCGGCTGCTGGGTGGTGGGGTGCAGGACACACTTGCCGCTGTCAATCTCCACGCGCACGTCCAGCTCAAAGTCGATGTTCCTCTCGGTGACCGAGCTCATGAGACTGCGGTTGGTGGGTGTGCTGGGCCAGCGCTCGCTGAACAGCTGGCTGACGGCAGCAAAGCCCGATGGCTTCCTGTGTGGCGGTTGGCTGTGACACGGAGAGGAAAGCAGGGTCATTAGGGGTTCAAAACAGGAGGAATAAAGAAATTAATAAAAATTGATTTATTATTCTCCATTGAGCATGCTCCACTGAGTAGGCTTAATCTGGGTCCAAGAAACAGGCCAAATAAACAGTCATGAGAGAGGACTCACACAGGCCTCCTGAAGTAGCTGGATGGCCTCTCACGGTCAAACTCTTCCTCCTTGTCAGAGTCCTCTGAGGAAGAGGAGGAGAGCTCGTCGCGGCGCATGTCGTCGTGCTGGAAAGGAATGCCAGGTGAAAAGACGGCAGGGGTGGCAGGGGCACTGAACACTGAGTGGGGCCCTTCGCTAATGGATGGGAAATCATGATGGTGATGAAGATGAGGATGGAGTGGTTCATCAATGGTGATGGACAACAGATCCATTTCGGTCTCCTCCGGAAACTTCAGCAGAGAACAGACGGGAGGTGTTGAAAGGGAGACAGTTAGACTCTCTCAATTAGAAAAGGTCAAACATTTTGAAGTGATCTAAACTCTGTAGCAGATAGCATCCTGCTCAAAGGAACTGTATGCACGTGTAGTACTAATTAATTTATCACGACTGGTTATGACAATTTTCAATACACAATGTGTATGATTAACATCTACTCTAGCATTGTGTGTGTATATATATATATATATATATATATATATATATATATATATATATATATATATATATATATATATATATATATATATATATATCTATATATATATATATATATATATATATATATATATACATACATACATACATACATACATACATACATACATATATATATATATATATATATATATATATATACATACATACATATACATACATACATATACATACACACACACAGTACCAGTCAAAAGTTTGGACACACCTACTCATTCAAGGGTTTTTCTTTATTTTTACTATTCTCTACGTTGTAGAATAATAGTGAAGACATCAAAACTATTAAATAACACATATGGAATCATGTACAGTGAGGGGAAAAAAATATTTGATCCCCTGCTGATTTTGTACGTTTGCCCACTGACAAAGACATTATCAGTCTATAATTTTAAAGATAGGTTTATTTGAACAGTGAGAGACAGAATAACAACAAAAAAATCCAGACAAACGCATGTCAAAAATGTTATGAATTGATTTGCATTTTAATGAGGGAAATAAGTATTTGACCCCTCCACAAAACATGACTTAGTACTTGGTGGAAAAACCCTTGTTGGCAATCACAGAGGTCAGACGTTTCTTGTAGTTGGCCACCAGGTTTGCACACATCTCAGGAGAGATTTTGTCCTACTCTTCTTTGCAGATCTTCTCCAAGTCATTAAGCTTCCGAGGCTGACGTTTGGCAACTCAAACCTTGAGCTCCCTCCACAGATTTTCTATGGGATTAAGGTCTGTAGACTGGCTAGGCCACTCCAGGACCTTAATGTGCTTCTTCTTGAGCCACTCCTTTGTTTGCCTTGGCCGTGTGTTTTGGGTCATTGTCATGCTGGAATACCCATCCACGACCCATTTCCAATGGCCTGGCTGAGGGAAGGAGGTTCTCACCCAAGATTTGACGGTACATGGCCCCGTCCATCGTCCCTTTGATGCGGTGAAGTTGTCCTGTCCCCTTAGCAGAAAAACACCCCCAAAGCATAATGTTTCCACCTCCATGTTTGACGGTGGGGATGGTGTTCTTGGGGTCATAGGCAGCATTCCTCCTCCTCCAAACACGGCGAGTTGAGTTGATGCCAAAGAGCTCGATTTTGGTCTCATCTGACCACAACACTTCCACCCAGTTCTCCTCTGAATCATTCAGATGTTCATTGGCAAACTTCAGACAGGCCTGTATATGTGCTTTCTTGAGCAGGGGGACCTTGCGGGTGCTGCAGGATTTCAGTCCTTCACGGCGTAGTGTGTTACCAATTGTTTTCTTGGTGACTATGGTCCCAGCTGCCTTGAGATCATTGACAAGATCCTCCCGTGTAGTTCTGGGCTGATTCCTCACCGTTCTCATGATCATTGCAACTCCACGAGGTGAGATCTTGCATGGAGCCCAAGGCAGAGGGAGATTGACAGTTCTTTTGTGTTTCTTCCATTTGCGAATAATCGCATCAACTGTTGTCACCTTCTCACCAAGCTGCTTGGCGATGGTCTTGTAGCCCATTCCAGCCTTGTGTAGGTCTACAATCTTATCCCTGACATCCTTGGAGAGCTCTTTGGTCTTGGCCATGGTGGAGAGTTTGGAATCTGATTGATTGATTGCTTCTGTGGACAGGTGTCTTTTATACAGGTAACAAGCTGAGATTAGGAGCACTCCCTTTAAGAGTGTGCTCCTAATATCAGCTCGTTACCTGTATAAAAGACACCTGGGAGCCAGAAATCTTTCTGATTGAGAGGGGGTCAAATACTTATTTCCATCATTAAAATGCAAATAAATTTATAACATTTTTGACATGCGTTTTTTTGGATTATTTTGATGTTATTCTGTCTCTCACTGTTGAAATAAACCTACCATTACAATTATAGACTGATCATTTCTTTGTCAGTGGGCAAACATACAAAATCAGCAGGGGATCAAATATTTTTTTCCCTCACTGTAGTAACCAAAAAAGTGTTAAACAAAATCAAAATATATTTTATATTTGAGATTCTTCAAATAGCCACCCTTTGCCTTGATGACCGCTTAGCACACTCTTGGCATTCCCTCAACCAGCTTCACCTGGAATGCTTTTCCAACAGCCATGAAGGAGTTCACACATATGCTGAGCACTTGTTGGCTGCTTTTCCTTCACTCTGCGGTCTGACTCATCCCAAACGATCTCAATTGGGTTGAGGTCGGGGGATTGTGGAGGCCAGGTCATCTGATGCAGCACTCCATCACTCTCCTTCTTGGTAAAATAGCCCTTACACAGCCTGGAGGTGTGTTGGGTCATTGTCCTGTTGAAAAACAAATTATAGTCCCACTATCTACTGCTACTCCTACTGCTCTCTCCTCGTCTGACCATGTGTTCTCGCATACCCCGAGAGCATCTGGTCAGCAGGGTGGTGGCACAGGAATCCTCATCTCTCCCAAGTGGACATTCTCTCTTTCTCCCCTGACCCAACTGTCTATCTCCTCATTTGAATTCCATGCTGTCACAGTCACTAGCCCATTCAAGCTTAACATCCTTGTCATTTATCGCCCTCCAGGTTCCCTTGGAGAGTTCATCAATGAGCTTGACGCCTTGATAAGTTCCTTTCCTGAGGATGGCTCACCCCTCACAGTTCTGGGTGACTTTAACCTCCCTACGTCTACCTTTGACTCATTTCTCTCTGCCTCCTTCTTTCCACTCCTCTCCTCTTTTGACCTCACCCTCTCACCGTCCCCCCCTACTCACAAGGCAGGCAATACGCTTGACCTCATCTTTACTAGATGCTGTTCTTCTACTAATCTCACTGCAACCACTACTTTGTATCCTTTTCTCTCTCGCTCTCCTCCAACACTACTCACTCTGCCCCTACTCAGATGGTAATGCGCCGTCGTAACCTTCGCTCTCTCTCTCCCGCTGCGCTCTCCTCTTCCATCCTATCATCTCTTCCCTCTGCTCAATCCTTCTCCCTCCAATCTCCTGATTCTGCCTCCTCAACCCTCCTCTCCTCCCTTTCTGCATCCTTTGACTCTTTATGTCCCTATCCTCCCGGCCGGCTCGGTCCTCCCCTCCTGCTCCGTGGCTTGACGACTCATTGCGAACTCACAGAACAGGGCTCCGGGCAGCCGAGCGGAAATGGAGGAAAACTAGGACTCCCTGCGGACCTGTCATCTTTTCACTCCCTCCTCTACATTTTCTTCCTCTGTTTCTGCTGCTAAAGCCACTTTCTACACTCTAAATTCCAAGCATCTGCCTCTAACCCTAAGAAGCTCTTTGCCACCTTCTCCTCCCTGCTGAATCCTCCCCCCCTCTCTGTGGATGACTCCGTCAACCATTTTGAAAAGAGTGACGAAATGACGAAAATGTATGTAATGTAAAATATAAGCCCAAACCAGATGGGATGGCGTATCGCTGCAGAATGCTGTGGTAGCCATGCTGGTTAAGTGTGCCTTGAATTCTAAATAAATCATAGACAGTGTCACCAGCAAAGAACCCCCACACCATCACACCTCCTCCTCCATGCTTTACTGTGGGAACTACACATGCAGAGATCATCCGTTCACCCACACAGCGTCTCACAAAGACACGGCGGTTTGAACCAAAAATCTCAAATTTGGACTCCAGACCAAAGCACACATTTCCACTGGTCTAATGTCCATTTCTCGTATTTCTTGGCCCAAGCAAGTCTCTTTTTCTTATTGGTGTCCTTTAGTAGTGGTTTCTTTGCAGCAATTTCACCATGAAGGCCTGATTCACACAGTCCCCTCTGAACAGTTGATTTTGAGATGGGTCTGTTACTTGAACTCTGTGAAGCATTTATTTGGGCTGCAATTTCTGAGGCTGGAAACTCTAATAAACATATACTCTGCAGCAGAGGTACCTCCGGGTCTTCCATTCCTGTGGCGGTCCTCCTCATGAGAGCCAGTTTCATCATAGCGCTTGAAGGTTTTTGCGACTGCACTTGAAGAAACCTTTTGAAATGTTCAGTATTGACTGACCTTCATGTCTTAAAGTAATGATGGACTGTCGTTTCTCTTTGCTTATTTGCCATTATATGGACTTGGTTTTTTACCTAATAGGGCTATCTTCTGTATACCCCTCTACCTTGTCACAACACAATTGATTGGCTCAAATGCATTAAGAAGGAAATAAATTCCACAAATTAACTTTTAAGAAGAAACACCTGTTAATTGAAATGCATTCCAGGTGACTACCTTATGAAGCTGGTTGAGAGAATGCCAAGAGTGCGCAAAGATGTCATCGAGGCAAAGGGTGGCTATTTGAAGAATCTCAAATATATTTTGATTTGTTTAACACTTTTTTGGTTACTACATGATTCCATGTGTTATTTCATAGTTTTGATGTCTTCACTATTATTCTACAATGTAGAACATAGTAAAAAATAAAGAAAAACCTTTGACTGGTATACTGTGTGTATATATATATATATATATATATATACACACAGTGGGGAAAAAAAGTATTTAGTCAGCCACCAATTGTGCAAGTTCTCCCACTTAAAAAGATGAGAGAGGCCTGTAATTTTCATCATAGGTACACGTCAACTATGACAGACAAATTGAGAAAAAAAAATCCAGAAAATCCCATTGTATGATTTTTAATGAATTTATTTGCAAATTATGGTGGAAAATAAGTATTTGGTCACCTACAAACAAGCAAGATTTCTGGCTCTCACAGACCTGTAACTTCTTCTTTAAGAGGCTCCTCTGTCCTCCACTCGTTACCTGTATTAATGGCACCTGTTTGAACTTGTTATCAGTATAAAAGACACCTGTCCACAACCTCAAACAGTCACACTCCAAATTTCACAATGGCCAAGACCAAAGAGCTGTCAAAGGACACCAGAAACTAAATTGTAGACCTGCACCAGGCTGGAAAGACTGAATCTGCAATAGGTAAGCAGCTTGGTTTGAAGAAATCAACTGTGGGAGCAATTATTAGGAAATGGAAGACATACAAGACCACTGATAATCTCCCTCGATCTGGGGCTCCACGCAAGATCTCACCCCGTGGGGTCAAAATGATCACAAGAACGGTGAGCAAAAATCCCAGAACCACACGGGGGGACCTAGTGAATGACCTGCAGAGAGCTGGGACCAAAGTAACAAAGCCAACCATCAGTAACACACTACGCCGCCAGGGACTCAAATCCTGCAATGCGAGACGTGTCCCCCTGCTTAAGCCAGTACATGTCCAGGCCCGTCTGAAGTGCATTTGGATGATCCAGAAGAGGATTGGGAGAATGTCATATGGTCAGTTGAAACCAAAATATAACTTTTTGGTAAAAACTCAACTCGTCATGTTTGGAGGACAAAGAATGCTGAGTTGCATCCAAATTACACCATACCTACTGTGAAGCATGGGGTTGGAAACATCATGCTTTGGGGCTGTTTTTCTGCAAAGGGACCAGGACGACTGATCCGTGTAAAGGAAAGAATGAATGGGGCATGTATCGTGAGATTTTGAGTGAAACCCTCCTTCCATCAGCAAGGGCATTGAAGATGAAACGTGGCTGGGTCTTTCAGCATGACAATGATCCCAAACACACCGCCCGGGCAACGAAGGAGTGGCTTCGTAAGAAGCATTTCAAGGTCCTGGAGTGGCCTAGCCAGTCTCCAGATCTCAACCCCATAGAAAATCTTTGGAGGGAGTTGAAAGTCTGTGTTGCCCAGCGACAGCCCCAAAACATCACTGCTCTAGAGGAGATCTGCATGGAGGAATGGGCCAAAATACCAGCAACAGGGTGTGAAAACCTTGTGAAGACTTACAGAAAACGTTTGACCTGTGTCATTGCCAACAAACGGTATATAACAAAGTATTGAGAAACTTTAGTTATTGACCAAATACTTATTTTCCACCATCATATGCCAATAAATTCATAAAAAATCCTACAATGTGATTTTCTGGATTTTTTTTTCTCATTTTGTCTGTCATAGTTGACGTGTACCTATGATGAAAATTACAGGCCTCTCTCATCTTTTTAAGTGGGAGAACTTGCACAATTGGTGGCTGACTAAATACTTTTTTTCCCCACTGTATATACACACACATATATATACACACATACACATACTACCGTTCAAAAGTTTGGGGTCACTTAGAAATGTCCTTATTGTCCATGAAAACATACATGAAATTAGTTTGAATAGGAAATATAGCAAAATGCATAGGAAATGTAGTCATTGACAAGGTTAGAAATAATGATTTTAAATATAAATAATAATTGTGTCCTTCAAACTTTGCTTTAGTCAAAGAATCCTCCATATGCAGCAATTACAGCCTTGCAGACGTTTGGCATTCTAGTTGTCAATTTGTTGAGGTAATCTGAAGAGATTTCACCCCATGCTTCCTGAAGCACCTCCCACAAGTTGGATTGGCTTGATGGGCACTTCTTACATACCATACGGTCAAGCTGCTCCCACAACAGCTCAAAAGGGTTGAGATCCGGTGACTGTGCTGGCCACTCCATTATAGACAGAATACCAGCTGACTGCTTCTTCCCTAAATAGTTATTGCATAGTTTGGAGCTGTGCTTTGGGTCATTCTCCAATCAAGCGCCGTCCACAGGGTATGGCATGGCGTTGCAAAATGGAGTGATAGCCTTCCTTCTTCAAGATCCCTTTTACCTTGTACAATCTCCCACTTTACCACCACCAAAGCACCCCCAGACCATCACATTGCCTCCACCATGCTTGACAGATGGCATCAAGCACTCCTCCAGCATCTTTTCATTTGTTATGCGTCTCACAAATGTTCTTCTTTGTGATTTGAACACCTCAAACTTCAATTCGTCTGTCCATAACACTTTTTTCCAATCTTCCTCTGTCCAGTGTTCTTTTGCCCATCTTAATCTTTTATTGGCCAGTCTGAGATATGGCTTTTTCTTTGCAACTCTGCCTAGAAGGTCAGCATCCCGGAGTCGCCTCTTCACTGTTGACGTTGAGACTGGTGTTTTGCGGGTACTATTTAATGAAGCTGCCAGTTGAGGACCTGTGAGGCGCTTGTTTCTCAAACTAGCACTAATGTATTTGTCCTCTTGCTCAGTTGTACACCAGGGCCTCCCACTCATCTTTCTATTCTGGTTAGAGCCAGTTTGCGCTGTTCTGTGAAGGGAGTAGTACACAGCGTTGTACGAGATCTTCAGTTTCTTGGCAATTTCTCGCATGGAATAGCCTTCATTTCTCAGAACAAGAATAGACTGACGAGTTTCAGAAGAAAGTTATTTGTTTCTGGCCATTTTGAGCCTGTAATCGAACCCACAATTGCTGATGCTCCAGATACTCAACTAGTCTCAAGAAGGCCAGTTTTATTGCTTCTTTAAATCAGCACAAGTTTTCAGCTGTGCTAATATAATTGCAAAATGGTTTTCTAATGATCAATTAGGTTTTTAAAATTATAAACTTGGATTAGCAAACACAACGTGTCATTGGAACACAGGACTGATGGTTGCTGATAATGGGCCTCTGAACACCTATGTAGATATTCCATAAAAAAAAAAATCTGCTGTTTCCAGCTACAATAGTCATTTACAACATTAACAATGTCTACACTGTATTTCTGATCAATTTTATGTTATTTTAATGGACAAACAAATTGCTTTTCTTTCGAAAACAAGGACATTTCTAAGTGACCCCAAACTTTTGAATGGTAGTGTATATATATAAATAAATAAATAAATAAACAAACAAACAAACAAACAAGGCCAATATCATGGCTATTGCTTGATGTAATGTATATTACTAGAGGATACAATGTCCTGTAATACAGGCTGCTATGTGCTTTAAGTTATTATTATTTTTTTACAGGAGACTCAGAGATCATGCAGTGCTCTGAGAGAGGACAGAGGAGAGAGATACGGAGTGAGAGATAAAGAGGAGGATGTTAGGATGAAGACACCTGGGCAGAAAGAAGCTGCAGGACATCATCTGGTTTCAGGACAGTGGATGAAGCTGATAAACTCCCAAAACAGAAGACATCAGAACCCCTCACAAAGGACAGTATAGTCATAAACAACCACCAACTAAGAAAGAAACCTCAATGTCACCTCTAGTCATGGCTTTGATGCACACTTATTCTGAAGTTGCCAACCTAAGGGTTTACAGTTTTAGGCTCAAACTATACAACCTAAGGGTTTTAAGTCCTAACTACTAGGATTGGCCATGCATAGCTGCTGTGGTTAGGAAAATACATCTGTGGTTGAAGGAAGTTGATTAGGAACAACATGGAATTCCATAACAGGATGGGAATGTGTGAATCAATTGCACATTCAAATATAATTGTAACCATTTAGTACCTACATGTATAGCATACTATGCATGCATTCTACCATGCACATGTATAGTCTATCCATATCCACAGAGCCACAAAATATTGTCAATGATGCAGTGAATAAATTGTTTTCTTTGTAACACATACCCAGAGGCAACGGCTGGTTGAAAGCCTTGTTGTTCCGAGCATATTATTTCCTACTGACCATTTTGCTATTAGAGTTATTAGCTAGAGTGCACGTGACTAGCTCATCTCTAGCTACTAAAGATGGCAAGGAATGCATCAAACCAACATATGAAAATCAAGCATTGATTGATAGTACTAGCCTATATCTCACCATCCTGTTTTGAATGTCCATGTCAGTTTTTACCGATTTATTAAAAGAAGAAAGGAGAAGAAAAAAATCTGGTTCTTTTGGGATTTTCATTTGTTCGGGATAGTTTTTTTTTGGTTTTACAAATACCTTGAAGATCTCTCCTGGACTGACCGGTCGGTTTGTTGAATCCTGATTAATAATCTTCAGTTGAACAGAAAGAGAACAATGGAATCCATCCAGAATATGAAAGCATGGCAACATGTTCAGGAGGGGATTTTGCACTCAAAAAGGCACACTTAACTCTCCCTCAAGCTACAAGCAAGTGAAAAAGCTAACACTTAGCTTTCGCTGACATAACAGAGCGTTTCCACAATGTTTAGACACACACAGCCTCAGGTCAAGAGGCCTGTCATAGTGATAAACAAACAAGGACACGGAGGATGAAATGATGCCCTAACTCTCTTCAGCCGCTGTGCAACTGCCATCTTGGAGAATCCTATTGTTTACTGCCCTATCTCAGGTTCTACATGGTGTTAACTACCATGAAGACTTTTGTGGTCTTTCTATACACTACCATGTCCTGGATGTTGAAGGTGACTCTCGGTCCTGGGGAGGACGCATCAACTCTGATGTCCGGTAAGTCATCAACGTCTCCTATTCTGGAACTGAAAGGGAAATAAGAATAATAACAATCCAACCCATTGGAAATTCAATTCACTTCCTGAATTCCTGATTGACCCAACGAATGCTAGGTTCCGGCTGCAAGCGAGGACTCCTCTTCCAGTACCTTTGGCGTTCAATCCTTTTGAGTGGAGGCCTCCCTGCTGCTGTAGAGATGCTCTTGGAACGGTTATAGCTGGGTTTGTATCCCAGACCCCACTTGTCCTTTAGAGACGCAGCCTGGTGGAGAAGCAGTGATCAGGGTTCATCAGTCATGGTGTCCTTTCCATTTCAGCTCAGGTTAATGGCATTTTAAATTTTAGTCCGGAAAATGTCACAAGATGAATAAAGGGTGGTATTAAATGCGTTGTCTCACCCTCATGCTGGAGCGTCGTAGTTTCTTGCGCACGTCTCTCCTGATGTCGTTGACGGCCACAGACTCCAGCTGCTGGTAGCGCTGGATCTCCTGGTTGATTGTGCCTTCACTCGCTCCCAGTTTCCTGTTGAAGGGTGGGGAAGGAAAACATGATTGATGCTTCTTTGATGTGGTAAAAGATACAATATGAGGTTATAATTGCATTTGACAGGGAGAACTCTTACTTGAGGTCATCAATGACTTTGGCCTGCTCGTTCAGCTCTCTGATGTCCACTATTCTTTTGTTTAACTTCCCCCTTCTGGGATCCAATATCTGGTTGCCCACTGCTGTCTGCCGCCTGAGGTCTATGGTCTCCTGTGGAGTACAGAGGACAAATGACACCCTGGAACTGGCATATTACACCACAGAACGTTTGGTTATTTGTATAACCTAGATTACACCAACATTAAATAACTTAAATTAGATTACACCGTCACCAACCTGGGTTATTACGCCTCAAAAAAAAGAAGTATTAAACCAAGCATGAATTATTACACCAGTTACATAGCTCACCACCTAAATGCCAATCATCATGTTATACACACATATAAACAGCAGAGAAATACACAAAATGGAAGTCACCATCACCATAATCCTTGAGACCGACTGGTGACCCAATTCTCAGATAAGGAAGTAATCACAACATGTAATAAGGTGAAAAGGGAAGCATAAGTGCTTAAACCTAAGTGACAGAATTGTCTTTGCCCTCTGAGATTATCACATTTCATGGTGTAATTTAGCAATTGAAATCCATTCTGCAGCTTGAAACCTGGACGATAGAGACTTAATGTCACCCTAAACGTGATTGTGGGGCCCAGTAGATAGGAGACTAGAGCGTGGGGCAGTTGAGGATGGGCTACAGTACATACACATCCCCAGGATAGGGGTCTGGGAGCCCTGGCCCCGTTCCCTCTGGACTGGGGAGGAGAATAGTCGCTTAGGTTGTCGGCTGGTACCAAGACGCTCTGGACACTGGGGCTTTTCAGGCCCAGGATGCTGTTTACCAGCCGCTTCCTGAACGTGAGCCTGGGACTGAGCCTTGGGCTGCTGCACTCTCCCTCTGGGCTCCCCTGCAAGTAACGGTAAAGATACACCCAAGGCAAGGTTCAACTGGGTGCATGGACTTAGGTAGCTTGGATAGCTTTTAGCGCTGTCACAGTGGCTGGAATGGGTTGACGTGGCTTGAACAGATATGCAAAGTCTTGACACTGCATTTTTACATTTTGACACAAACACACACTCAGGGTTTTTACACCCACACAGAGCTACAATAATCTCTTACACAAACAGTGCTTTAACAGTCTTTTAAACTGTCTCGTGGTTGTACTGCAATATAATCACAGACATTAACAAACGTTCAGAGGGTATTAACATACTCAGACATATACACTGAACAAAAAAATTAATGCAACAATTTCAAAGATTTTACTGAGTTACAGTTCATATAAGGAAATCAGTCAATTGAAATCAATTCATTAGGCTATGGATTTCACATGACTGGGAATACAGATATGCATCTGTTGGTCATAGTTCACAAGCATTTCGTTACACCGGCAATAACATCTACTAAATATGTGTACAGTGCATTCGAAAATTATTTAGACTCCTTTACTTTTTCCACATTTTGTTACGTTACAACCTTATTCTAAAATGGATTAAATAAATATTTGTCCTCCTCAATCTACACACAATATCCCATAATGACAAAGCGAAAACAGGTTTTATAAATATTTGCAAATTTATAAAATAAAATAAACACAGAAATACCTTATTTACATAAGTATTCAGACCCTTTGCTATGAGACTCGAAATTGAGCTCAGGTACATCCTGTTTCCATTGATCATCCTTGAGATGTTTCTACAACTTGATTGGAGTCCACCTGTGGTAAATTCAATTGATTGGACATGAAAGGAACACACCGGTCTATATAACGTCCCACAGTTGACAGTGCATGTTAGAGCAAAAACCAAGCCATGAGGTCGAAGGAATTGTCCGTAGAGCTCCGAGACAGGATTGTGTCGAGGCACAGATCTGGGGAAGAACACCAAAACATTTCTGCAGCCTTGAAGGTCCCCAAGAACACAGTGGCTTCCATCATTCTTAAATGGAAGAAGTTTGGAACCACCAAGACTCTTCCTAGAGCTGGCCGCCCAACCAAACTGAGCAATCGGGGGAGAAGAGCCTTGGTCAGGGAGGTGACCAAGAACCCGATGGTCACTCTGAAGAAGCTCCAGAGTTCCTCTGTGGAGATGGGAGAATCTTCCAGAAGGACAACCATCTCTGCAGCACTTCACCAATCAGGCCTTTATGGTAGAGTGGCCAGACGGAAGCCACTTCTCAGTGAAAGGCACATGACAGCCCGCTTGGAGTTTGCCAAAAGGCACCTAAAGGACTCTCAGACCATGAGAAACAAGATTCTCTGGTCTGATGAAACCAAGATTGATCTCTTTGGCCTGAATGCCAAGCATCATCAATCTTAAATAGACATGCCCCATTCAAAAAATACAGAACTAAGAACAGATATAGCCCCTGGTTCTCCTCAGACTTGACTGCCCTTGACCAGCACAAAAACATCCTGTGGCGTACTGCATTAGCATCAAATAGCCCCCGCGATATGCAACTTTTCAGGGAAGTTAGGAACCAATATACACAAGCAGTTAGGAAAGCAAAGGCTAACTTTTTCAAATAGAAATTTGCATCCTGTAGCACTAACTCCAAAAAGTTTTGGGACACTGTAAAGTCCATGGAAAATAAGAGCACTTCCTCCCAGCTGCCCACTGCACTGAGGCTAGGAAACACTATCACCACCGATAAATCTACAATAATCGAGAATTTCAACAAGCATTTTGCTACGGCTGGCCATGCTTTCCACCTGGCTACCACTACCCCGGCCACCAGCTCTGCACCCTCCGCTGCAACTTGCCCATGCCCCCCCCCGCTTCTCCTTCACACAAATCCAGACAGCTGATGTTCTAAAAGAGCTGCAAAATCTGGACCCCTACAAATCATCTGAGCTAGACAATCTGGACCCTTTCTTTCTAAAACTAGCCGCCGAAATTGTCGCAACCCCTATTACTAGCCTGTTCAACCTCTCTTTCGTAACGTCTGAGATCCCCAGAGATTGGAAAGCTGCCGCGGTCATCCCCCTCTTCAAAGGGGGTGACACTCTAGATCCAAACTGTTACAGACCCATATCCATCCTGCCCTGCCTTTCAAAAGTTTTTGAAAGCCAAGTCAACAAACAGATCACCGACCATTTCGAATCCCACCGTACCTTCTCCGCTATGCAATCCGGTTTCCGAGCTGGTCATGGGTGCACTTCAGCCACGCTCAAGGTCCTAAACGATATTATAACCGCGATCGATAATAGACAGTACTGTGCAGCCGTTTTCATTGACCTGGCCAAGGCTTTCGACTCTGTCAACCACCGCATTCTTATTGGCAGACTAAATAGCCTTGGTTTCTCAAATGACTGCCTCGCCTGGTTCACCAACTACTTCTCAGATAGAGTTCAATGTGTCAAATCGGAGGGCCTGTTGTCTGGACCTATGGCAGTCTATGGGGGTGCCACAGGGTTCAATTCTTGGGCCGACTCTTTTCTCTGTGTATATCAATGACGTCGCTCTTGCTGCTGGTGACTCTCAGATCCACCTCTACGCAGACGACACCATTTTGTATACATCTGGCCCTTCATTGGACACTGTGTTAACAAACCTCCAAACGAGCTTCAATTCCATACAACACTCCTTCAGTAGCCTCCAACTGCTCTTAAACACTAGTAAAACTAAATGCATGCTCTTCAACCGAACGCTGCTTGCACCCGCCCACCCGACTAGAATCACTACTCTCGACGGGTCTGACCTAGAGTATGTGGACAACTACAAATACCTAGGTGTCTGGTTAGACTGTAAACTCTCCTTCCAGACTCACATTAAGAATCTCCAATCCAAAGTTAAATCTAGAATTGGTTTCCTATTTCGCAACAAAGCCTCCTTCACTCATGCTGCCAAACATGCCCTCGTAAAACTGACTATCCTACCGATCCTTGACTTCGGCGATGTCATTTACAAAATAGCCTCCAACACTCTACTCAGCAAATTGGATGTAGTCTATCACAGTGCCATCCGTTTTGTCTCCAAAGCCCCATATAATACCCACCACTGTGACCTGTACGCTCTTGTTGGCTGGTCCTCACTACATATTCGTCGCCAAACCCACTGGCTCCAGGCCATCTATAAATCACTGCTAGGCAAATCCCCGCCTTATCTTAGCTCATTGGTCACCATAGCAACACCCACCCGTAGTCTGCGCTCCAGCGGGTATATCTCACTGGTCATCCCCAAAGCCAACACCTCCTTTGGCCGCAATTCCTTCCAGTTCTCTGCTGCCAATGACTGGAACAAATTGCAAAAATCTCTGAAGCTGGAGACACTTATCTCCCTCACTAACTTTAAGCATCAGTTGTCAGAGCACCTTACCGATCACTGCACCTGTACACAGCCCATCTGAAATTAGCCCGCCCAACTACCTCATCCCTATATTGTTATTTATTTTGCTCATTTGTACCCCAGTATCTCTATTTGCACATCATCTCTTGCACATCTATCATTCCAGTGTTAATACTAATTGTAATTATTTTGCACTATAGCCTATTTTATTGCCTTACCTCCATAACTTGCTAAATTTGCACACACTGTATATATATGTATTGCTGTTGTATTTTTTGACTTTGTTTTGTTTTACCCCATATGTAACTCTGTGTTGTTGTTTTTATCGCACTGCTTTGCTTTATCTTGGCCAGGTCGCAGTTGTAAATGAGAACTTGTTCTCAACTGGTTTACCTGGTTAAATAAAGGTTAAATAAAAAAATTTAAAAAATCACGTCTGGAGGAAACCTGGCACCATCCCTACGGTGAAGCATGGTGGTGGCAGCATCATGCTGTGGGGATGTTTTTCAGTGGCAGGGACTGTGAGAATAGTCAGGATTGAGGGAAAGATGAACGGAGTAAAGTACAGAGAGATCCTTGATGAAAACCTGCTCCAGAGCTCTCAGGACCTCAGACTGGGGTGAAGGTTCACCTTCCAACAGGACAACGACCCTAAGCACACGGCTAAGACAACGCAGGAGTGGCTTCGGGACAAGTCTCTGAATATCCTTGAGTGGCCCAGCCAGAGCCCGGACTTGAACCCGATCGAACATCTCTGGAGAGACCTGAAAATAGCTGTGCAGCGACACTCCCCATCCAACCTGACAGAGCTTGGGAGGATGTGCAGAGAGAATGGGTGAAACTCCCCAAATATAGGTGTGCCAAGCTTGTAGCGTCATACCCAAGAAGACTCGACGCTGTAATCGCTGCCAAAGGTGCTTTAACAAAGTACTGAGTAAAGGGTCTGAATACTTATGTAAATGTGATATTTCAGCTTTTTATTTTTAATAACTTTGCTAATTTTTTTAAACAACAACTGTTTTTGCTTTGTCATTATGGAGTATTGTGTGTAGATTGATGAGGATTTTTGCTTTAGAATAAGGCTGTAACGTAACAAATTGTGGAAAAAGTCAAGGGGTCTGAATACTTTCCGAATGCACTGTATATACAAAAGCATGTGGACAACCCTTCAAATTAGTGGATTCGGCTATTTCAGGCACACCTGCTGCTGACGGGTTTATAAAATCGAGCACACAGCCATGCAATCTCCATAGACAATTATTGGCAGTAGAATGGCTTTACTGAAGAGCTCCGTGACATTCAACATGGCACCGTCATAGGATGCCACCTTTCCAACAAGTCAGTTTGTCAAATTTCTGCCCTGCTAGAGCTGCCCTGGTCAACTGTAAGTGCTGTTATAGTGAAGTGGAAACGTCTAGGAGCAACAACGGCTCAGCCGCGAAGTGGTAGGCCACACAAGCTCACAGAACAGGACCGCTGTGTGCTGAAGCGCGTAGCGTGTAAAAATAGTGTGTCCTCGCTTGCAAAACTCACTACCGAGTTCCAAACTGCCTCTAGAAGCAATGTCAGCACAAGAACGGTTCGTCGGGAGCTTCATGAAATGGTTTTCCATGGCCGAGCAGCCGCACACAAGCCTAAGATCACCATGCGCAATGCCAAGCATCGGCTGGAGTAGTGTAAAGCTCGCCGCCATTGGACTCTGGAGCAGTGGAAATTCGTTTTCTGGAGTGATGAATCACACTTCACCATCTGGCAGTCCGACGGACGAATCTGGGTTTGGCGGATGCCAGGAGAACGCTACCTGTGTCAACTGTAAAGTCTGGTAGAGGAGGAATAATGGTCTGGGGCTGTTTTTCATGGTTCTGGGCTAGGCCCCTTAGTTCCAGTGAAGGGAAATCTTAACGCTACAGCATACAATGACATTCATGACGATTCTGTGCTTCCAACTTTGTGGCAACAATTTGGGGAAGGCCCTTTCCTGTTTCAGCATGACAATGCCCCTGTGCACAAAGCGAGGTCCATACAGAAATGGTTTGTCGATATTGATGTGGAAGAACTCTGTGTCGAAGTCGCTGGATATTGGCGGAACTGGAACATGCGGTCGTACACGTCGCTCCAGAGCATCCCAAACATGCTCAATGGGTGACGTGTCTGGTGAGTATGCATGCCGTGTATTATCATGCTGAAACATGAGGTGATGGCGGTGGATGAATGGCATGACAATGGGCCTCAGGATCTCGTCATGGTATCTCTGTGCATTCAAAATCCCATCAATAAAATGCAATTATGTTTGTTGTCCGTAGCGTAAGCCTGTCCATACCATAACCACACCGCCACCATGAGGGCACTCTGTTCACAAAGCTGACATCAGTAAAGCGCTAGCACACACGACGCCATACACGCTTTCTGCCATCTGCCCGGTACAGTTGAAACCAGGATTAATCCGTGACGAGCACACTTCTCCAATGTCCAAGTGGCCATCGAAGGTGAGTATATGCCCACTGAAGTTGGTTACAACACCGAACTGCAGTCAGGTCAAGACCCTGGTGAGGATGACGAGCACTCAGATGAGTTTCCCTGATAAGGTTTCTGACAGTTTTTGCAAATATTATTTGGATGTGCAAACCCATAGTTTCATCAGCTGTCCGGGTGGCTTGTCTCAGATGATCCCGCAGGTGAAGAAGCCGGATGTGTTGGTCCTGGGTTGGCGTGGTTACACGTGGTCTGCGGTTGAGAGGCCGGTCGGACGTACTGCCAAAATCTTTAAAACGATGTTGGAGGCAGCTTATGGTAGAGAAATGAACATGACATTCTCTGGCAACAGCTCTGGTGGACATTCCTGCAGTCAACATGCCAATTGCACGCTCCCTCAAAACTTGAGACATCTGTGGCATTGTGTTGTGTGACAAAACTGCACATTTTAGAGCGGCCACAAGGTGCACCTGTCTAATGATTATGCTATTTAATCAGCTTCTTGATATGCCACACCTGTCAGGTGGATGGATTATCTTGGCAAAGGAGAAACGCTTACTAACAGGGATGTAAACACATTTGTGCACAACATTTGAGAGAAATAAGCTTTTTGTGCATATTGAACATTTCTGGGATCTTTTATTTCAGCTCATGAAACATGGGACCAACACTTTACATGTTGCGTTTATATTTTTGTTCAGTATACAATTCACACATTCAAAGTGATTTATACAAATATTCAGCATGGTTATCATGATTAGGCAAAGGCTGAAAGACTGACCATATGGATGGTGGGCAACATGGTGTCGGCCTCATCCTCATCAGAGTCCACCATGTTGATGGAGTTGAGGTCAGCGATGTCATCCGCATCCTCCTCGCCTGTCAGCGAGGTCAGCGTGTTGCCCAGGGCATTGAGCCGCTTGCCGATGTTGGGGTCCATGTGGACGTCGATACCACACATCTTCCACAGCACGTTCAGCGCCCAGGTGCCCGCACTGCTGCTTTCTGAGGGTTGTAGAGGGAGGGACAGAGAGAGGGAAGAGAGGAAGAGAGAATATTACCCTACACTAAATCCATCTATCACTCAATACAATACAAAGTTCTTTTTCACAGAGAAGTAGAAAACAGCTGTGCTGTGTCTTGGATAACAGCTTGACAATGTTCACACTAACCCCTTTCATAATATACACAAGATTCGATGCCCATTATCAGCGCAGTACTTACCTGCCGACGGCTGGCCTGTGGTTCTGGAGCACACTTCATATGTGCCATCAGGAACAACACCTACAAAAGGAAAACAAACAATATTACAATACTACATCAAAAAGGGGAACAGCACAGTGTAGGGGACCACACTGCAGGAAGTCAGGCACAAGAAGACCTTAATTAGAGTGGAATATAAAAAGGTATTGGTCCCTTTGGCACGCAATATTTGGGTGAAGCTGAAGACCTTCCCTATGTCGTTTTATCTACTTATTTTTTATAAAGTAATCTTCTGATGTTAAACTTCAAAACTCAGCTTCCCCAGGCCCAGCTCTAAATATAGACAAACCGTCCAATTTTCAGACCTATTTTCATGCTTTTTCAATCCAGTCTGTATGTAAAAGTCAACATCTCGCGGTCAAGATCACTTACAGGCGTTCATGATCATGTCTCCTCGGATCTCAGGCTTCCAGTCATCCCAGGACGTCTCAAAGCCCTCAGCGAAGCGGATGCAGAAGTTCTTGAAGTGGCCCTTGCTGACCAGCGACTCAGAGGAGCAAGCGGTGATCAGCGTGCTCTCGATGGTGAGCACCAGGGCTGAGCCCGTGTCAAAGTCAATGCTGTGGTTTGCCTGTGATGGAGGTTAAAGGTGTTCAAAAACGCACAAATCTGAGTAAAAAGGGCAGTGCCCCCTTAATAATATAATGGTTTACAAATGGTTAAAAACTATGTAATAATGGTTTATTGGCAGACCTTCAAATAAAGTAGGTTACATCGAATAGGAAATGTGCCTGTGCGTAATGTTGAAAAACACATTGCTCCTTGGAAACACCCATTTAGTTGCAGGCTGTCATAATTTGATGCATAGCTGATGCAGTTGTGACTGTGCGTGCCATAACACTCCATGATACATGAAAACAATAGAATACCTGTGCCAATTGACCGTAACCATTTAAGATTCTTGAAACAGTGCGACGTTAAACCAGTCAAACCATTTCAAGCTTAAATTAAGTTATGCCAGTAGTATCAATTAAATGGTTGGTTGTAAACTGCCATAACCTGTTATGTCAGCATTGTGTCAAGACTGCATCATAAACACTATTGACAGGTTGTTATAAGTAAAGCAGTAATAGACCGCTGAATAACATCACACAAGAGTTCACAAGAGATTGAATAGATTGTAGGTTACTTTTCGTGCATATTTTTTCTGGCCTACAGATCTGCTGGCCCCAGCTTCAGAGCGGATGCCTTCGAAACCTGGTATATGTCCTTTCTATGGAGATAAGGGATACAATTATAACTTTAACTAACTTGTAGGATAACTCAACTCAACAGGGACAGTGGATGTAGTCATCAAATTCTAACTTTGTTTAATCCCCAATAACTATTTTCCTATATTAGTCAGTCATTCACCAAGTCACAAATGCAATCTTTAGCATGTATGAAGACATTTACCTTGGATACATTTTGTAAATTGCTGCTAATGCAAAGGTCACTGCACTGACAAACCTTTCCCCACCATTCATTTCTTCACCATTCCCATGTTTGCTATGTTTCGTCAGTGGGGAGAACAAGTATTTGATACACTGCCGATTTTGCAGGTTTTCCTACTTACAAAGCATGTAGAGGTCTGTAATTTTTATCATAGGTACACTTCAACTGTGAGAGACGGAATCTAAAACAAAAATCCAGAAAATCACATTGTAGGATTTTTAAGTAATTAATTTGCATTTTATTGCATGACATAAGTATTTGATCACCTACCAACCAGTAAGAATTCCGGCTCTCACAGACCTGTTAGTTTTTCTTTAAGAAGCCCTCCTGTTCTCCACTCATTACCTGTATTAACTGCACCTGTTTGAACTCGTTACCTGTATAAAAGAAACCTGTCCACACACTCAATCAAACAGACTCCAACCTCTCCACAATGGCCAAGACCAGAGAGCTGTGTAAGGACAAGGCTGAGATGGGCTACAGGACAATAGGCAAGCAGCTTGGTGAGAAGGCAACAACTGTTGGCGCAATTATTAGAAAATGGAAGAAGTTCAAGATGACGGTCAATCACCCTCGGTCTGGGGCTCCATGCAAGATCTCACCTCGTGGGGCATCAATGATCATGAGCAAGGTGAGGGATCAGCCCAGAACTACACGGCAGGACCTGGTCAATGACCTGAAGAGAGCTGGGACCACAGTCTCAAAGAAAACCATTAGTAACACACTACGCTGTCATGGATTAAAATCCTGCAGCGCACGCAAGGTCCCCCTGCTCAAGCCAGCGCATGTCCAGGCCCGTCTGAAGTTTGCCAATGACCATCTGGATGATCCAGAGGAGGAATGGGAGAAGGTCATGTGGTCTGATGAGACAAAAATAGAGCTTTTTGGTCTAAACTCCACTCGTCGTGTTTGGAGGAAGAAGAAGGATGAGTACAACCCCAAGAACACCATCCCAACCGTGAAGCATGGAGGTGGAAACATCATTCTTTGGGGATGCTTTTCTGCAAAGGGGACAGGACGACTGCACCGTATTGAGGGGAGGATGGATGGGGCCATGTATCGCGAGATCTTGGCCAACAATCTCCTTCCCTCAGTAAGAGCATTGAAGATGGGTCATGGCTGGGTCTTCCAGCATGACAACGACCCGAAACACACAGCCAGGGCAACTAAGGAGTGGCTCCGTAAGAAGCATCTCAAGGTCCTGGAGTGGCTTAGCCAGTCTCCAGACCTGAACCCAATAGAAAATCTTTGGAGGGAGCTGAAAGTCCGTATTGCCCAGCGACAGCCCCGAAACCTGAAGGATCTGGAGAAGGTCTGTATGGAGGAGTGGGCCAAAATCCCTGCTGCAGTGTGTGCAAACCTGGTCAAGACCTACAGTAAACGTATGATCTCTGTAATTGCAAACAAAGGTTTCTGTACCAAATATTAAGTTCTGCTTTTCTGATGTATCAAATACTTACAGTGGGGGAAAAAAGTATTTAGTCAGCCACCAATTGTGCAAGTTCTCCCACTTAAAAAGATGAGAGAGGCCTGTAATTTTCATCATAGGTACACGTCAACTATGACAGACAAATTGAGAAAAAAAAATCCAGAAAATCACATTGTAGGATTTTTAATTAATTAATTTGCAAATTATGGTGGAAAATAAGTATTTGGTCACCTACAAACAAGCAAGATTTCTGGCTCTCACAGACCTGTAACTTCTTCTTTAAGAGGCTCCTCTGTCCTCCACTCGTTACCTGTATTAATGCCACCTGTTTGAACTTGTTATCAGTATAAAAGACACCTGTCCACAACCTCAAACAGTCACACTCCAAACTCCACTATGGCCAAGACCAAAGAGCTGTCAAAGGACACCAGAAACAAATTGTAGACCTGCACCAGGCTGGGAAGACTGAATCTGCAATAGGTAAGCAGCTTGGTTTGAAGAAATCAACTGTGGGAGCAATTATTAGGAAATGGAAGACATACAAGACCACTGATAATCTCCCTCGATCTGGGGCTCCACGCAAGATCTCACCCCGCGGGGTCAAAATTATCACAAGAACGGTGAGCAAAAATCCCAGAACCACACGGGGGGACCTAGTGAATAACCTGCAGAGAGCTGTGACCAAAGTAACAAAGCCTACCATCAGTAACACACTACGCTGCCAGGGACTCAAATCCTGCAGTGCAAGACGTGTCCCCCTGCTTAATCCAGTACATGTCCAGGCCCGTCTGAAGTTTGCTAGAGTGCATTTGGATGATCCAGAAGAGGATTGGGAGAATGTCATATGGTCAGATGAAACCAAAATAGAACTTTTTGGTAAAAACTAAACTCGTCGTGTTTGGAGGACAAAGAATGCTGAGTTGCATCCAAAGAACACCATACCTACTGTGAAGCATGGGGGTGGAAACATCATGCTTTGGGGCTGTTTTTCTGCAAAGGGACCAGGACGACTGATCCGTGTAAAGGAAAGAATTAATGGGGCCATGTATCGTGAGATACAGAGTGAAAACCTCCTTCCATCAGCAAGGGCATTGAAGATGAAACGTGGCTGGGTCTTTCAGCATGACAATGACCCCAAACACACCGCCCGGGCAACGAAGGAGTGGCTTCGTAAGAAGCATTTCAAGGTCCTGGAGTGGCCTAGCCAGTCTCCAGATCTCAACCCCATAGAAAATCTTTGGAGGGAGTTGAAAGTCCGTGTTTCCCAGCGACAGCCCCAAAACATCACTGCTCTAGAGGAGATCTGCATGGAGGAATGGGCCAAAATACCAGCAACAGGGTGTGAAAACCTTGTGAAGACTTACAGAAAATGTTTGACCTGTGTCATTGCCAACAAAGGGTATATAATAAAGTATTGAGAAACTTTTGTTATTGACCAAATACTTATTTTCCACCATAATTTGCAAATAAATTCATAAAAAATCCTACAATGTGATTTTCTGGATCTTTTTTTTCTCATTTTGTCTGTCATAGTTGACGTGTCCTATGATGAAAATTACAGGCCTCTCTCATCTTTTTAAGTGGGAGAACTTGCACAATTGGTGGCTGACTAAATACTTTTTTTCCCCACTGTATGTCATGCAATAAAATGCAAATTAATTACTTTAAAATCATACAATGTGATTTTCTGGATTTTCTCTCACAGTTGAAGTGTACCTATGCTAAAAATTACAGACCTCTACATGCTTTGTAAGTAGGAAAACCTGCAAAATCGGCAGTGTATCAAATACTTGTTCTCCCCACTGTATACTGAACAAAGTGTGTAGTGGTCCCATGTTTCATCAGCTGAAATAAAAGATCCCAGAAATGTTCAATACACACAAAAAGCTTATTTCTCTCTAATTGTGTGCACAAATTTGTTTACATCCCTGTTAGCGAGCATTTCTCCTTTGCCAAGATAATCCATCCACCTAACAGGTGTGGCATATCAATAAGCTGAATAAACAGCATGATCATTACACAGGTGCACCTTGTGGCCACTCTAAAATGTGCAGTTTTGTCACACAACACAATGCCACAGATGTCTCAAGTTTTGAGGGAGCGTGCAATTGGCATGCTGACTGCAGGAATCTCCACCAGAGTTGTTGCCAGATAATTTAATGTTCATATCTCTACTATAAGCTGCCTCCAACATCGTTTTAAAGAATTTGGCAGTGCGTCCAACTGGCCTCACAACTACACACCACGTGTAACCAACGCCAGCCCAGGACCTCCACATCCGGCTTATTCACCTGCGGGATCGTCTGAGACCAGACACCCGGACAGCTGATGAAACTGAGGAGTATTTCCGTCTGTAATAAAGCCCCTTTGTGGGGAAAAACTCATTCTGATTGGCTGGGCCTGGCTCCCAAGTGGGTCAGCCAATGCCCTCCCAAGCCCACCCATGGCTGTGCAGTACGTCCAACCGGCCTCACAACTACACACCACGTGTAACCACGCCAGCCAGTCATGTGAAATCCATAGATAAGGGCCTAATTAATTTATTTCAATTGACTGATTTCCTTATATAAACTGTAACTCAGTAAAATCGTTGAAATTGTTGCATTTATATTTTTATTCAGTATAGCTAACTATATTTAAATAAAATCAATGAAGCTCTTAAAATTTCCCAAATTACTACTAGTCTGTATTCATTACTTTACCTTTTGTGTTTTCATAATTGGTTATGATTCAAATGAAGCATTGTGAGAATGGTTGAGAAAATAAAAAATACCCATTTGTGACCCAAGAAAATTTTGATCAGTTCTTTTGGGAATTAGATGACCTATGATTTGATGACTACTCACACAGAGTGCCACCTTCAGACAAGCATACTTCTTACAATTTAGTTAATATCAATATAACACACAAACAGTTCCAGGACAGGGTCTGAAGCAGAATTGATCTAAGACAAAATGGGTCTAAGTGTCTAAGACAAAACGGAGCACCGTCAGGGTTGGGGTAAAAAATCCTATACCATTTTAACATGCCACATTGCAAAGGTTTTCTCCTTAAAACATGCATGTAATCTTTGGGTGAAAAAAATAATTGTTAAGATCATCATTCTCCTCCTACCAGTGAGGTGTTGGTGATGGGCAGACAGATTCCCAAGTCGTTGACGGTGAGCTGCAGGAACAGGGTGCTGAAGGCCTGGGCGGAGGTCTGCTGGATGCCCGGCAGCTTGTCCACCACCTCCTTGGTGGCCATGTGAATGTCTTTGTTCAGAGCCAGACGCTGCTCGTTCCAGTTGTCATAGGCCGCCTTGTAGTTCAGCCAGAAGAGTACAGCTGCAATGATAAGGGAAACAGGGATGACTTTTCACTACATTAGAACATTTCATTTAGAGAATTAGAAAACATAGTCTATTATCAAGGCCTGACCTCTGTCAAAAGCCACAGGCTGAGCAAAGACGATTGGCCGGTTGAGCGTGATGAGGACTGCCTCTTTGTCTGAGGAGCCACTAATCTCCTCCTGAAGGGCGTTCCGTAAGCCAATTCGAGTGCGGAAGTAGGCCACCTGGTGGAAGTCTGAACCCGCCTCCTCATAAACCTGTGGAAGACAAAAAAAGGGTTATATCTAACAAAACAGGGGCAAAGACAGTACTTTATTGATCCTCAAAAGGAGGAACCTGATTGCAGCAGCCAATAGAAACTAACACAACCTATATTGATCTGCTGTAGCCTACCTGGTGCTTGACTATCTGGCCCAGGGCGAGGTTCAGGTCCACTTGGCACTTCCCAAACAGTTTAAGATAGCTGCTGCTTCCGCCGGGTTGGGCTTTACACTGGATCCTGTTGGAGAGCTCCAGCTCTATCAGCCCTGTCTCGAAGCGCACCGCTCTCATGGACGGAGTGGTGGCCGTCATCTGGATCCCCTGCAAACCACAAGTGTTCAGGAAAGTCAATTTATTTCATTTTCAATTGATTAGGACAAAATATAGGCGGGCATATATGCATATTGCAGGACATTTCTTGCTTCTTATACAGGTACCTTAAACATCAGACTGAGTGAGTAGAGCAGAATCTTGGGCTTGTCAGCGTCTGTCGAGATGTCGTGCTCATTCCACAGAGGGATGGGCTGCTCTCCTCCTGCATAGACACAAACAAGCATTCACCCAAAGTGTCTAAGCAAAATACTGAAACACAACATCAACAACTTTCAGTGTTCTTGTGTTATACAGCGGGACAGACCTGATACTTTCTGGATGACCTCGTTGACTTCCTTCATGAAAACCTTCTGAAGGAACACCAGGTGGTTCAGGAGGTCCGTTGTGAGGTTGTGCTCAAAAGAACCAATCTAGATGAAGGTGGATTGAAATCAATGAAAATAACAGAAAGGCCTGCACATTGAATATGCTCACAATTACCACCTTTCAGGGCTCTACAGTACAACCATTTTACTCGCATATGCATCTAAATATTTTGCTGTGCGACCTGGAATTTTAATTTAGGAGCACCAGTGTGCTTAGAAAAATGAAGGATTCTAGCTTTATTACCTAAAATATTTGTAATTGTTCTCCTAGATTTCTTTGTGTGTGCCTACATTGTTCAACTTAGGCGCACACGTGCTCCTTGTAAAAAACGTCAGTGTCGAGCCCTGCCCTTATTGACAACGCTTCGATCCACAAGGATCTTCGTCAGGTCAAACGGACTGAGTGCTCACCACTTCAAATACACTGAGTATAGAAAACATTAAGAACACCTGTGTCAAGAACTGCAACTATGTTGGGTATTTCACACTCAACAGCTTCCCGTGTGTATCAAGAATGGTCCACCACCTAAAGGACATCCAGCCAACTTGAGAACTGTGGGAAGCATTGGAGTAAACATGGGCCAGCATCCCTTTGGAACGCTTGACACCTTGTAGAGTCCATGCCCCTGACGAATTGAGGCTGTTCTGAAACTGGCTCTCATGAGGACCACCACAGGAATGGAAGACCCAGAGTTACCTATGGATAAGTGCATTAAGAGTTACCAGCCTCAGAAATTTCAGCCCAAATAAATGCTTCACAGAGTTCAAGTCACAGACACATCTCAACATCAACTGTTCAGAGGAGACTGTGTGAATCAGGCCTTCATGGTCGAATTGCTGCGAAGAAACCACTACTAAAGGACACCAATATGAAGAAGAGAACTGCTTGGGGTAAGAAACACGAGCAATGGACATTAGACCAGTGGAAATTTGTCCTTTGGTCTGGAGTCCAAATTTGAGATTTTTGGTTCCAACCGCCGTGTCTTTGTGAGACGGGGTGTGGGTGAACGGATGATCTCCGCATGTGTAGTTCCCACCGTAAAGCATGGAGGAGGAGGAGGACGTGTTATGGTGTGGGGGTGCTTTGCTGGTGACACTGTCGTCTGTGATTTATTTAGAATTCAAGGCACACTTAACCAGCATGGCTACCACAGCATTCTGCAGCAATATGCCATCCCATCTGGTTTGCGCTTAGTGGGACTATCATTTGTTTTTCAACAGGACAATGACCCAACACACCTCCAGGCTGTGTAAGGGCTATTTGACCAAGAAGGAGAGTGATTGAGTGCTGCATCAGATGAACTGGCCTCCACAATCCCCGACCTCAACCCTATTGAGATGGTTTGGGCTGAGTCGCATCGCAGAGTGAAGGAAAAGCAGCCAACAAGTGCTCAGCATATGTGTGAACTCCTTCAAGACTGTTGGAAAAGCATTCCAGGTGAAGCTGGTTGAGAGAATGCCAAGAGTGTGCAAAGCTGTCATCAAGGCAAAGGGTGGCTATTTGAAGATTCTCAAATGTAAAATAGATTTTGATTTGTTTAACACTTTTTTGGTTACTACATGATTCCATATGTGTTATTTCATAGTTTTGAAGTCTTCACTATTATTCTACAATGTAAAAAATAGTAAAAATAAAGAAAATCCCTTGAATGAGTAGGTGTGTCCAAACTTTTGACTGGTACTGTATATATAAAGAATAGTCGGGTATAGACAGCAATACTGGAGCTACTCTACTTGACTGTGGCAGCCTCACCTCAGCCACACAGCGCAGGTAATTCCCCTGGAGGTAGTTGCCCTGCTTCATGGGGATTGGGAAGTCGTCGGTGAAGTCTGAGTGGCCCTCGTGGTCCTCCATGATGTACTCTCCGGACATGGTAACTGGCGGGAGGTTGAGGCTGGCTGAAGGGGGCATGGCGGACATGGTGTCCACCGGAGACACCTTGGACTGGAAACACAGCTTGTGGTTGGGCAGCTCAAACGTGAACCTCGTCTGGGCTCCTACACGGAGAACAAACAAGGATGAGGAAGTCCAATTGAAGTCAATAACTTTATCAATCAACTCAGAGGAAATTAAGAAAACATTGCCATTTCACAAATAGTAACATCATCCACATACACAGTAATACAAATACAATATCCCATTACCTAAGTCAGGGGTTATAGATTGGTGCTACGCTACCTGTCATGCCGTGGCTCTTCATGCGGCCCATCTTGTACTCAGCCTTGAGGGAGGGCAGCAGGGCCGCTCCTATGGTGATGCCGTCCATCATGGCGCTGAACTTGAGGACGATGGGCTTCTTCTCCAGCCCCTCCGGCAGCTGGGGGAACTCGTTGGCCTCCACAGGGGTCTGGTTGATGCTGGATGCCTTTTCAGAGGGCTGAGGGGTGGGGGTGTCCTCCCTGTTGAGGGGTGGCCTAAAGAGAAAATAACGTAGCTCAGAATGAAGACACGTATTGCTTAGTCCATGAAGGAGATACTGAGGAAAGGAAATTATGCTTTCTTCTCTAAATGTTACGATTCACTGAAGTGCTTTCCTCTCATACAAGACCCTTTTGGTGAGGACCACAATGAGCAAGCAGTTCTGCCTACCCAGCCCCAATTCATGGCCGGGGCTCCCCTAGGAGATACCTTATATTTCAATGGGACTCAAAGTATTTATAATACAACAATTTCTTCCCCGAGACTTACACGTTGGATGGCTGGCGGATGAGGTCGGAGATCTGCTTGGAGAGCTGGTGGGAGCTGCGGACCATCATGCTGTGCAGCGTGGCTGGGTGCTGGGGGATGTTGATCATGATGGCGCCCACCTTGAACACAGCGGCGTTATTGGTCTTCAGGCCCCGCTGGGCGCTGTACAGGGCCTGGGACTTCGCTATGTTGCATTTCACAACCGTTCTGCAATAGTAGAGCAGAGTGTCAGCGTTCCTAATATTACTTTTTGACTACAGGTTAACACAGGACAACATCGATAGAACAACAACCATGTACAAAAATGTGTGTTTGGGTCATTTTTGTTAGACAACAAGCACACTAAACATTAACAGGCACACAACGACATCCATGTTATGGGGGCATAAGAACTACAGGGTTCTATATGACATTGCATTACACTGCCTAAATCATCCCCAAAAATAAAATAATAATAATATTGATCACATTTACAGGAGGAATTGCTGTCATATGGCTGATCTATAAAGATCATCTACCCGCCATACACATAAAGGAAGGCACACAGAAACAGAAGAGAAAAGGAGTGGGGGATTATCAGACTAACATGAAGAGGGAGAATAACATAACAAGAGCTGTACACTGACGAAACACTGGGGTACCACAGACTCCAGACAAAATGAAAGCTGTGCCTTAACTTAGTACTACAGTACTGTGGCATTGCTATGATGTGCCAAGGTGCAGTAGTTATAAACACATACAGAAACTCTTGTTTGGCAGTGCTGGTTGGAGATGTAGGGAAATCCTCCAGTCTATTCAAGACGATGGAAGAGAAAGCCAGGGAAAGTAAAAAAAAAAAAAAAGAGCAAATGAGATATTGAGTATTCACCCAGAGATATGGAGACAACAGACTAGATTCGAATATCTATTCACCCTCCTTCGACTGCCAAAAGTCTTTCCAGTGTTGCCAGCCGAATATGTGCAGTCATTTGAATATTTATAGGATTTGATTAGTGTGAAGTAACTGTAGATATTACTTACACAGTAGGTTGACATGCAATCAGTAAGCAGGTTGCCATTGACCAAGATTTATTTGACAAAAGCAATGTCGCAACAACAAAAACATCACTGCGGCATGTGTAATGGAAACGGCAGATAGGAGACATTTCTAAAGACCGACAACATTTTTATCCGTTTGACAGGGATGGATTTTTCTTCTTGACGAATAATTTTGAAGATACGCGGGGCACGTTATGTCATTACGTAACTATAAAGCTTCACTCCACATTTCATTCTACATTTCTACTGCTTGCAAAATCAAAATGTTCAACTATAAAAAATAACATTTCTTTGCAGAATAAGGATTGTCCTGACTTTCAAAATTGCCTGAATTGCTTCACTTCTCTGGTTGGCTGGTAAGTTTCATCATCCAATTATTACTACAGGAGTTCAAGTTTCACCATGGCACGGACTGTGGCGATACGTTCGCACAAGAATTATTAGAATATGTCAAATATTTGTCAATTATTGCATTCTATCCATGCTGGCTTCCGATTGCTATCTGAGACATGAAACAGATAGGTGGAACGGCATACAGGCCGTCGCCAATTTATTAATGCGCAATTTGCCTAAATGGGTAATGGAAACACTAAATCACAAAACGTTTATTCAACACTAGGTTTTTTGTGTTTTTTTTTAGGGGGGTCTGACGTCATTATGTCCACCTGTTTTTATCGACAAGATAGTTAAATGGGAACGCACCCTAGTAGGCAATTGTCGCATCTATTTTCTATACCGAGACACATTTTTAATGTCGACACAAAATCACCGGACATGTTAATCGAAACATAGCTACTGACACAGTGGGGTAGGAAATTAAAAAGTTGTAGCTCAGTTGGTAGAGCATGGCGCTTGCAACGCCAGGGTTGTGGGTTCGTTTCCCACTGGCGGCCAGTATGAAAAATGTATGCACTCACTAACTGTAAGTCGCTCTGGATAAGAGCGTCTGCTAAATGACTAAAATGTAAATGTAATAATGAATCTTACAGGTTACCAAAATGACAGGCAAGCCAACTACAAACAGAGGGTATTTTAGGTCTTATAATTAATTCATAGACCTAATGCACACTATCAAACTTCAAGCCTCAATGTGGTAATACAAAATGCAAATTAAACAGTTATCAACCTAAATTCGAGCAGTCCTTACTGAATGTCTGGCGTTATACCCTCCAGGAGCACAATGTTAACTCCTCCTATGTGGGCTGATGCACAAGTCTCTGTCATTTTCTGGTGCAGTATGTCTGAAAAACAGATTTTGGAATGATAATCCAGATATGGCACTGAATAATGTAATTCAAAGAGGCAGTGTATTGAACTAGTGATGTAAACCAAGAGCTAAGAGCCTCACCCTTCATCTTCTCCTTAAGTGTGAAGCTGCCGTGGATCTTCTTTAGCTCTGCCTCCATGGTCAGGCCCCCGATGTCTGCCTCCAGGTGGGTGCGGTTCACAATGCCGATGCCAAACACGATGAGGGTGACGTGCTGTGGCTCAGAGCTCACCAAGCTGCGCCGTCGGCCCCCCGCCCCGAGCCCGGCCGGAGGCTTGTTGGTGGGGGTGGTGGGCTCCTGCTGCTCGTTCTCAAAGATCACCCTGCACAGGGGCTCCGAGGGACTGCGGCCACCGTCTGCACAGACCACATAACGCACACACAAATGATCGAACGATGAGTGTGTGTTTTCGTACTTCTACACAAGATCTACACAAGTACCTAGGGGGTAGGGGCTAGAAGTGCCTGAGTGGAGGGCGAGAGCCTTACCCGAGAGGCAGTTCTCAGGGGAGCTCTTCTCCAGGATACCAGTGGGGTCAGAGATGAGGGAGTAGAAGTTGAGCAGCTTGTACATGTTCTGCCAGCACTCTGCAGAGGGCTCGCTCTGCTCTGACACTGTGATGGAGTCTGAGTCATCCATCTGGATGGCCATGTGGTCCGCCACATCCCGAGAGCCCTTCCGCGACACCTTGATCAATTGATTGATTGAATTTATTAGATACCAATAAAAACAGAGCATACATCATTTGATAGATCACTTAGAAATATACAGTCTATATGATCATTGTAAAATGAAGATACATACTGGTTGGTGTACCTTGGAGGTACGGCGCTCCGAGCGACCAAGCGTGTTGCGTCCCCGGGGCTCCCTCCTGCCCAGCGTGTCCAGTCCTGACGGGGGGCCATTGAGCGGTTGACCCCCCCCTCCACCCCGCTTGCTCTTCTGAGCCGTGTTCCCACCGCCACCAGCCCCACTCCGCCCGGCTCCGTTGGTGCTTCCCCGCGAGCTGCGGCTAAAGTCAGAGGAGCGGAAGTGACGGTAGGGCCGCGCCTTGAAGGTGGGTGTGGGGGAGGCAGAGCCAGCGGTGTAGCGGCTGAGCTTGATGTCTGTCTGTGTGGCCTTGATGTCGTCCACCATGGTGCTGAACTGGTGGATGAGGCGCACCAGGGCCATGTCCACACGCTGGCTGATGGCCTGGCAGGCGATGGTGAAGTCGCAGTGGAAGGTGTTGTAGTGGCGACGATTCAGGTCGTGAAAGGCGAGGGGAGCAGCGGCAGCCGTGGAGTTAGGCGGGCCAGTGCTGGTAGACTTCTCCATCACAACAGCGTTCAGGCTGAACGTCTCGATCAGCAGTGCAGGCTTGAACTCCAGCAGAGGGAGGTTTGGCATGCCCTGTCTTGAGAGGGATGGAGCAAGAGAAGATGACCTTTACGTGGCAGGATATCTTAAAGCAGGGATCATCAACTAGATTCAGCCGCGGGACAATTGTTTCTTGAGCGGATGGTCGGAACATAATAAAACATATATTTTTAGACTACAAATTGACAGCAAAAAGCACAAAAATATATAATATTTGTCTAAAACAAAATCATTTCAAGCCTTGATTACATATGGGGACAGTGCCTTCCGTAGGGTGCTGTCTTTCGGATGAGATATTAAAACAGGTGCCCTGACTCTGTGGTCATTCAAAATCCCATGGCACTTATTGTAAGAGTACGGGTGTTCACCTCGGTGTCATGGCTAAATTCCCAACCTGGCCACATTCCATCATGGCCACCTAATCATTCCCCTAATTCCTAATTGGCATATATCACTCCTCACCTCTCCACCTGATAGCTGATGTGTGGTGAGCGGTCTGGCACAAAAATGGTCGCCGTGCATCACTGAGGTGGGTGCTACACATTGATGGTGGATGGAGGTGAGTTCCCCCTACTATGTAAAGTGCTTTGAGAACTTCAGTCGGCAGAAAAGCGCAATGTAAATACAATTAATTGTTATTATTTGTATACGATCACATATGTCTCTTTATTATGCGTGGGAATACTTGGGAACAGATTTCCAAAATTAAAATCACTTGTAGCTGATTTCCTGGTGTTTTTACAGTCTTGAAAATGAAAATTACCCCCCCAAAATATTTATATATATATTTTATTTTGCTCAGAAAACTTGGAGGGCCAAATAAAACCACCCCCGGGCCAAATTCGGCCCGCGAGCCGCCAGTTGGGGAACCCCGTCTTAGAGATTGCACCTTTAAGACTATTGGGACTCGCTAAACATGATTTATTTTAGATACTTGGTTAATTTACCTTTTTGACCGTTTGTTTTTCCGCTCTTTGGACGTGTCAGAGTCCACAATGTCTGCTCTGAGACACTCCAAGGTGCCAGAGAAGGAGAGGTGCTCCCCGAAGTACATCTTGTAGCTGAGAGGAGTGGTGTCCTGGGCCTGGATCCCTGTGTGACTCAGCAGAGGCTTGAACACAACCTGTGTGTTGTGAGGGAAGGGAGAGAGAATCATCAGAATTATCACACACACACACACACACACACACACTCTCTCTCAACAGGTTACCTGTGCGTCTGCTAGCTGCACGGCAGCGGGACACTGGTTGCCCTCCTCAATGTCGGCCATCATTATGTCATCCTGGCTGGTGCTGTGCTGAGAGTGCTGAGACTGTGTTCCGTCAAGAGTGTTCTGGTCGCTGGAAAGCACAGTGTTGAAGTCTGACGCTGATGGGATGGTGGGGAGGTTACAGGTGTCGCCTGAGGAGCAACAGAAACAGACACTTAGGGTGACCTTATTTTTAAAAATGATTTTACTGTGAGCTTTCGGGGTTGGTTACATCACCAACATTCCAACCCAACATTCACAGAAGATTCTCACGACATTCCCCCTACCTGTCTGCATGCTATTGTGCTGGGAGCGGTTGACCGGGGACTCCTGGGGGACAGCGTTCCCTCCGCCCCGGTTGCCCACAGCGTTGGACATCCAGTTGTAGAAGCTGACGGAGGAGGGCTCAGACAGCAGGGGGTGCTCCGTCACCACATCTGGTCCCACACTATTACCTAAAGGGGGGAGCAAACATAATGTCATGTTGCAGTCCAATTCTCTACCAATTGTCTATCATGATAGCTTGAAAAGGAATCGAATTAGTATAGAAATATGGTGGAAATTCCCTATAACCCATGCTTTAGGACAATGTTCACACTTCGGGAACGAGGGTATGGAATTGGAACGCAAACCAAGTCTGATCCAGGTGTGGGCAACCCTGGTCCATCACATGGTTACATTCTAAGGATAATGTGAGCGTACCTGTGCTCTTGGCAGCGGGTTCATTCCTCTGAGGCGTGCTCTCCAGCAGGTTGTGCAGGCTGGGGAAGCTGCCTGTCAGGTAGCTCAGCAGACTCTCTTTACGGGGACTGTCCTTGGCAGGCATGCCCACGCGACTTACATGGGCAGGGGAGTCAGCCGCTGTGTCCCCGCTGGTGTAGCTCAGGGACTGGTATGGGTGGGAGCCCTGAAGAACACACACCAATATCATTAGTGTGAAAACAAATGCATTCCTATGGTATACTAACGGCAAGTGGTACCGCCCTGTCGCCCCTGTCCACCCATATAATTATAAAAAGGTACAAAGTTGAAGTAGACAATGCAGACAGACAGGTGGATATACATACCTTTACCTTTATTTTGAGGGCAGATTCACTGTGTGTGTGGGACTTGGAGAGCTTCCTCATGATCTCCACCCCGCTGACTGGTCCAGATTTGTCTCCTGTGGGCAGGGGGCGGCTGCATGCTCCCTCCAGCAGCATGGTGTGTTCACTCACTGTGGCTGGACAGCAGTTACAACATGATATAACCCATTGGCCCAACATACTGCATGCATTATTGTCATCCTCATCGTCATTATAATCATAATTATCAAATTCATTAACATGTGGGGGGACTTTTCAGTACAATTGGTTTGATAAAGTCTATCCGTCATGTATTAATTTACCAGAAACGTAATCCTCCGGGGAAAAACATATGTTCCTACCTGCGTCAAACTCAAACTCGGCCCCGTCTGCACTAGTGTCACTCTGCAGCGCAGCTCCGTTGTCCAGGCCCTGGCTCTGGTCCTGGAAGGTCTGCTGCTGGGGGGTCTCCTTGGGTTTGGGCAGCTGGTTGGGCCTCATCAGGCCGATGGCCTTGAAGCCCTGGGTCACCACAATAAACTTCATCCACTGCCGGGCCAGAGCCACCAACCCCTTCTTCAGGGTCACCAGGGCAGGCAGCCCGTCATTCTAGTGAGGACGAGATCAGATGGGTTTAATGGTTAATTAGGAGGTAGCTTAAGGTAGACCCATAAGAACTATTTCCAGCGCAGCACTAACACACCTGATTCAGTCAATCATGGTCCAGACTGAAGTTCTCCAGCCTCTAAAGACAACACACACACTCACCGTGGTGGCCTCCTCTATCACAGAGTAGTCAGCCTGCTGTAGGTAGCGATGCAGGATGTTACACAGCAGACAGGAGGGGTTCTCGTGGAGGTAGCGTGCTCTCTTGGTCACCCTGTTGTACTTGCTCCGAAAGGGGATGTGGATACTCTTTTTCTGTACAGAACAAGGGAAAGAAAATGTGTCTCATATAGAATAAGAATCACCGTTATTTGCCAAGGACGTTTACATGTACCCTCAATTTGACCTGGTGAAATGGTGCTGACAGCAATAGACAAATATACAGACAAAATACAGCCAGAGGAATTTACACAATCAACATACAATATATACAATAAGTGGAAATATAGGACAATTAATGGATAAAAGGCATTGGAGCCCTCAATCTGTGCAGTACTGACCTCCAAGGCTTCAGTCATGATGCAGCCCATGACAGCACACACTCTCAAGGTGCCCTCCATGTCCAGCTTACGAAGAGAAGACTTGAGCTGGTCGATGGGGACCAACCAGGCTCCAATCGCCGGCGTTGCTGTGCTCAGGAGATTCAGCTGCCTGGAGATGGCCTGTGAGGGGGAGCGTACATTGGTGGGGGCAGCGAAGCTGAACCAAATCTCCTTGATGGTGAGCTTCATGCTGCTGGAGTCAGGGGGCGGGGGCATGAGGAGGAGGTCCTTCTTCAGGTCGTCAGACTCCACCCCTTCATCCTGCAAGAGCAATCAACACCACGCATAAACCAATGAGAGAAGGGGAGCAAGAGAGAGAAGCATGTCTATATTTTTGTTTGAACGCTCTCTGTTACTGAAACAAGGTTGGATCAAGTACTTGTACAACAGTTCAAAGTGACGGAGAGTGACGAGTTACCTGATCGTCAGAGTCTGAGTTTCCGTTGGCATCAGAGTTGGGTCTTGTCGCGTCGTTAGGCAGGTTGTCATCAGATACATCGGTGCTGTAGCCGCTGCCCGTCTGAGAACACGATGAGCCGTTAGATTTGGACATGCCAGTCTTCACGCCCGTACCCGACTGCCCCATCACGCCAAACGCACTGTACAGCACTGCACCCGACTGACGCCCACCTGCACACAATCAGGCAAATGTGTTACAGTGATGGGGTTAATAACATCAATTTAATCAATTCAAATTAAATTCAGTCAATTCAAAGTGAATCTAAATGCCAATGTCTATATACAGTGCCTTCAGAAAGTATTCATACCCCTTGACTTATTTCACAGTGTTGTGTTACAGCCTGAATAAAAAAATAATAATAATAATTCTCAGCCATCTACACACAATACCCCAAAATGACAATGTGAAAACATGTATTGAAAATGAAATACAGAAATATCACATTTACATAAGTATTCACACCCCTGAGTCACTACTTTGTAGAAGCACCTTTGGCAGCGATTACAGGTGTGAGTATTTCTGAGCTTTCCACACCTGGATTGTGCAACATTTGCTCATTATTCTTTTCAAAAGTCTTCAAGCTCTGTCAAATCGATTGTTGATCGACAACCATTTTCAGGTCTTGCCATTGATTTTCAAGTAGATTTAAGTCAGAACTGTAACTCAGCCACTCAGGAACATTCACTGTCTTCTTGGTAAGCAACTCCATTGTAGATTTGAACTTGTGTTTTAGGTTATTGTCCTGCTGAAAGGTGAATTCATCTCCCAGTGTCCGATGGAAAGCAGACTGAACAAATACTGAACAAACAAATAATGTAAACATTTCGAAAAACATAATTCCACTGACATTATGGGGTATTGTATGTAGGGAAGTGCCCAAAAATCTCTATTTAATCAATTTAAAAAAATAATGTGTCCCTGAACAAAGGGGGGGGGGGGGGGGGGTCAAAATGTAACAGTATCTGGTGTGGCCACCAGCTGCATTAAGTACTGCAATGCATCTCCTCCTCATGGACTGCACCAGATTTGCCAGTTCTTGCTGTGAGATGTTACCCCACTCTTCCACCAAGGCACCTGCAAGTTCCCAGACATTTCTGGGGAGAGAGGCCCTAGCCCTCACCCTCCGATCCAACAGGTCCCAGAAGTGCTCAATGGGATTGAGATCTGGGCTCTTCACTGGCCATGGCAGAACACTGACATTCCTGTCTTGCAGCAAATCACGCACAGAACGAGCAGTATGGCTGGTGGCATTGTCATGCTGGAGGGTCATGTCAGGATGAGCCTGCAGAAAGGATACCACATGAGGGAGGAGGATGTCTTCCCTGTAACGCACAGCGTTGAGATTGCCTGCAATGACAACAAGCTCAGTCCGATGATGCTGTGACACACCGCCCCAGACCATGACGGACCCTCCACCTCAAAATCGATCCCGCTCCAGAGTACAGGCCTTGGTGTAACGCTCATTCCTTCAACGATAAACTCGAATCCGACCATCACCCCTGGTGAGACAAAATTGTGCGTTCCTGGTGTAACTCGGGCAGTTGTTGTTGCCATCCTGTACCTGTCCCGCAGGTGTGATGTTCAGATGTACCGATCCTGTGCAGGTGTTGTTACACGTGGTCTGCCACAGCGAGGACGATCAGCTGTCCGTCCTGTCTCCTTGTAGCGCTGTCTTAGGCGTCTCACAGTACGGACATTGCAATTTATTGCCCTGGTCACATCTGCAGTCCTCATGCCTCCTTGCAGCATGCCTAAGGCACATTCACGCAGATGAGCAGGGACCCTGGGCATCTTTCTTTTGGTGTTTTTCAGAGTCAGTAGAAAGGCCTCTTTAGTGTCCTGAGTTTTCATAACTGTGACCTTAATTGCCTACCGTCTGTAAGCTGTTAGTGTCTTAACGACCGTTCCACAGGTGCATGTTCATTAATTGTTTATGGTTCATTGAACAAGCATGGGAAACAGTGTTTAAACCCTTTACAATGAAGATCTGTGAAGTTATTATTATCTTTGAAAGACAGGGTCCTGAAAAAGGGACGTTTCTTTTTTTGCTGAGTTTATCTTTGGCAATGACACATTACCTTTGACAGTGAGGTTCTCAATGCCGCACTCAAACATGATCCAGCCCCACTTCTCCAGGGATGCGCCAGTGCGGGCCAGGTCTGCAGCCACCTGGTTCTCTGTCTCATCCACCAGGGCAAACTCATCCATTTCCTCCAGGCTGAACAGTACTTTGGACTTCTCAAAGGGGATGGCCGTGATTGCACACGTTCCTATGTCTAAACCACAGGACAGGAAAAAGGAGAAAATGTGAAAGTTGGCTAACACGTAATATTATATTAAGGCAGGAGTCTCCAACTCCAGTCATGGATAGCCTGCTGGGTGTGAAGGATGGTGTTCCAGCCCAGCACATGTAGAAAAAACACACTGTAGAGCATAACATTTAAAATAGCATATTCTTACCTGTGGAATCCAGGCCTCGTAGTTGGCTGTGGATGCGGTGGATGTTAAGCTTGGCAGCGATCTCCTTGCCCTTCTCGATGCCGGCGTTGGAGCGCAGTGAGCCTGAGGACTGCGGCTGCATCTTGGTGGCCGAGGCGTACTTTTCCAAGTTGACGGAGGGACGGCCATGCTCTGCAGTGTTGGGTGTCTCCTCCACTATGCCCCTGTGGAGACAGACGGTAGGGTACGCACAGGTTGCAATAATAATAATTTGGTGGATGCTTATATTTGTCCTATTTCATGTTTTTTTTGTTTTTTTATATCCCACTTTTGGAGAGTGGGGTCACGGCCAGGGTCAGCCATTATCAACAGCAACCCTGGAGCAATTAGGCTCAAGTACCTTGCTTAAGGGCACAGACAGATTTTTCACTTCAGAGATTTTAACTAGCAACCTTTCAGTTATGGACCCAACATGGCTACCTGCCGCCCGCAGGTTTGGTGTAACTCTGTGTGTGTGTGTGTTTGTCATAAGGAGACCCGTGCAGGCTGGTGGAAGTGAGGATACCTGTTCATGCGAAACTGTGTGGCGATCCTGTCGAAGCAGAGAGCAACCAGGGAGACGTGTGTGATGTGGCTCTTACTGGAGCTGGAGGGAGAACACTCCTCTACCGAGGCCTGGAGCAGACACAGGTTCACCTGTACAGTCAGACAGAAAGATGTGTTGGATGTTTGAGATGCAACTCAGGAAAGGAGGTCAGCATTGGACTGCAGTCGACTCCTGATGAGTTCACTTCAAATGAGCGCAAACTCTGTTTAAGCCAAATACAATTTTCTTGGCACAATGGCACAATTCCATGGCACAATTCCTACCTTGGGAATTGACACGTTGGCTTGCAGGCCCTTGATCTTCACGTTGTCTGGTTTGACCGTCAGGTCCGTTTGGCCATGGGGTGTGTTGAGGGAGCCTGTGGTACCCTCCGTCTTGGATAGCTTGTTCTCCTGCTTGGCTGAGCTCTATGGTGGGGGAAACATTTCAAAACAGGACAATCTTAGGGTTCATCTAAAAATCGCATTCTATTCTCTTTATAGCGCTACTTTTGGCCAGATTTGCCAATTGGTGAGGTTCACCTACGGATTCAGTTACTGTGGACTTGCTGATCTGATAGGCTTCATTGAGGACCTTCCCATGCAGGTCATCCAGAATGGCTGCAGGGTGACGGATACTGACGTAGTGGACCATGGACTCAATGTATCTGAAAGAACACCCCATACATTGTCACTGACTTGAGCAATATACTATTGGAGAGTGGTTGGACACAGTTGTAGTGGGGAGATACTGATTGCAGATGGAAAGTTAATATGGTTAGCATTTTCTCTGAGGAGCTGTTCTATAAGATGACCTATAATGGTATTTCTACAAAAGCCTTTGGTGGCTATGGCATACTAGAATTTTGTATAAACCCAGTAGCTGTTACCTGTCCAGAGCTTCAGCCACCAGAGGGGTGAGCACCACATTGATGGCCCCCTTCACCTCCACAATGGCGGTGGTTCTGGTCTGGGAGAGGGGCTGCTCCATGGTCCAGTCCTCAGTGGTGGTGTCGTCCGTGTTCTCCATAGCCTTCTTATCCAGGGGCGTGTAGGGCTGGCTATAGTCATAGAGAGAGATGCAGTTACAGATGTGTGTGAAACACACATCGAGCGGACCATAGAGATCCAAGTCAAGCAAAATCAATTCTAAATACTTGTTTGTGTCTCCCATCAACGAAAGGCCTCTGTCAAGTAGAGAGCTGGCAGAGAGGCCTTGTTTCACCACCTACAACATAAGAGAAAGGGTTATGACTTTAGGGTACTCCATCGATGAACAGACACACACACACAGTAACACACACAGTCTACATCAGCCATACTCAACCGCAGTCCGGATCCGGACCCAGAAAAGGATCAATACGTACCGCGGGTCCATATATATATATATATATATATATATATACACACAGGTAAAAGTCAGTAAATTAGAATATTTTGAAAAACTTGATTTATTTCAGTAATTGCATTCAAAAGGTGTAACTTGTACATTATATTTATTCATTGCACACAGACTGATGCATTCAAATGTTTATTTCATTTAATTTTGATGATTTGAAGTGGCAACAAATGAAAATCCAAAATTCCGTGTGTCACAAAATTAGAATATTGTGTAAGGGTTACATTTTGAAGACACCTGGTGCCACAAAATAATCAGCTGATTAACTCAAAACACCTGCAAAGGGCTTTAAATGGTCTCTCAGTCCAGTTCTGAAGCCTACACAAACATGGGGAAGACTTCAGATTTGACAGCTGTCCAAAAGGCGACCATCGACACATTGCACAAGGAGGGAAAGACACAAAAGGTTATTGCAGAAGAGGCTGGCTGTTCTCAGAGCTCTGTGTCCAAACACATTAATAGAGAGGCAAAGGGAAGGAAAAACTGTGGTCAGAAAAAGTGTACAAGCGATAGGGATCACCGCGCCCTAGTCAAGATTGTGAAAAAAAACCCATTCAAAAATGTGGGGGAGATTCACAAGGAGTGGACAGCTGCTGGAGTCAGGGCTTCAAGATCCACCACCAAGAGACGCTTGAAAGACATGGGTTTCAACTGCCGCATACCTCGTGTCAAGCCACTGTTGACCAAGAAACAGCGCGAAAAGCGTCTCACCTGGGCTAAGGAAAAAAAGAGCTGGACTGCTGCTGAGTGGTCTAAAGTCATGTTTTCTGACGAAAGCAAATTTTGCATTTCCTTTGGAAATCGAGGTCCCAGAGTCTGGAGGAAGACAGGAGAGGCACAGGATCCACGTTGCCTGAAGTCTAGTGTAAAGTTTCCACCATCAGTGATGGTTTGGGGTGCCATGTCATCTGCTGGTGTCGGTCCACTCTGTTTCCTGAGATCAAGGGTCAACGCAGCCGTCTACCAGCAAGTTTTAGAGCACTTCATGCTTCCTGCTGCTGACCTGCTCTATGGAGATGGAGATTTCAGGTTCCAACAGGACTTGGCGCCTGCACACAGCGCAAAATCTACCCGTGCCTGGTTTACGGACCATGGTATTTCTGTTCTAAATTGGCCAGCCAACTCCCCTGACCTTAGCCCCATAGAAAATCTGTGGGGTATTGTGAAAAGGAAGATGCAGAATGCCAGACCCAACAACGCAGAAGAGTTGAAGGCCACTATCAGAGCAACCTGGGCTCTCATAACACCTGAGCAGTGCCAGAAACTCATCGACTCCATGCCACGCCGCATTAATGCAGTAATTGAGGCAAAAGGAGCTCCAACCAAGTATTGAGTATTGTACATGCTCATATTTTTCATTTTCATACTTTTCAGTTGGCCAACATTTCTAAAAAATCCCTTTTTTGTATTAGCCTTAAGTAATATTCTAATTTTGTGACACACGGAATTTTGGATTTTCATTTGTTGCCACTTCAAATCATCAAAATTAAATGAAATAAACATTTGAATGCATCAGTCTGTGTGCAATGAATAAATATAATGTACAAGTTACACCTTTTGAATGCAATTACTGAAATAAATCAAGTTTTTCAAAATATTCTAATTTACTGACTTTTACCTGTATATATATACACACAGTGCCCTCCACAATTATTGGCACCCCTGTTTAAGATGTGGTCGAGGACTTCCAAAAATTCTCCTTTTATAATAATTGTGGGACACATGATTTCAAGTTTTTTTTTTTCTAAATGTGTGATTTTTTTTTTTACCACCAAAGTAATGTACTTAAATAAAAGGTTGGATTTTTCTCTTTTTTTGCATTTGGGTTCTATGTTGCATTTGGGTGCCAATAATAGTGGAGGGCACTGTATATATATATATATATATATATATATGATTTCCTTTTAAAATATATATATTTTTTAAAGGAAATCAGTCAGTCTTTTAACTTACTGCTGTTGATAGTTGTAATAGTAGTAGGCACAAGGTGGAATTTCTAAATGTGGTAGTGCATGGGCCATTTTCCTCATGTCATTCACTGACAGACCTTGTCAGAAATTTCCAGTTGATCAACTAGCGCATGTTAGCTAGGTAGGTAAGTTAGGCTAACCAGCTATCTAAATCTTGTAGTTATCATGGCCAGATTACGTGCCCAGGGGCCTCGACCCTAAGGGGGCCCATAATGATTCTGTTGAGTCACTGTGTAGGGTGTGTAGGATTGCAGGAAATTTGCTTTAAAACTGCAAAATGTTCTCTCTACCAACAAGAGGGGTGTGAACAGTTTGGGGTAAAATGCGTTGCAATGTGGGGGTTTGTTACGATGCCGAAAAATGACAATATCCATCCGGACCTTTGCCACCTAGGAAATTTTCCTGACCGGACCTTCTCAAATAGTAGTTGAATACCCCTGGTCTATATAGTATGTGTTTCTTACCTTAAAGCTGGGAACAGAGAGCTGGTCGAAGGAGGCAGAGCTCTCCTCACTGGTGGGCGTGTCCAGGTCCAGGGGGCGGTGCAGCGAGGACTTGGAGGTCCTCTTATTGGTGGGCTGCTTCTGAGACCAGTTGGACACCTGGGGTGTATTCAAAAGGGTAAACGGTCAGTAAGTTGAAGATGTAATGAATAGAGCTAACATGATTCCCTATTCTACCTGACAGACAATCATACAGGGGTGTCACATTGATGCACGATACATGTCTTAGTTTTCCGATCAAATCGTATAATAATAATAATAATGAGAGTTCAGGGATAATACACTTGTGTCCCAGCCTTACCTGGTAGTGGGCCAGATAACTCTGGTAGCAGGCCATGACGTGGGGCTGTCGCGTCACCAGGCCTGGCTCGGGGGTCTTCTCCACCTCCACTGAGCCCTCCTCCTCCAACCCCAGCGCCGACACAAAGGAGGCCTGCGACTGGTGGCTGGGGATGGGGTGGGCTGGCAGCGGGGGCAGCATGGGGGGCATGGGCAGGGGCCTGGGCTCTGTGATGAGATCCCCGTTCAACACATAGGTGAGAGGTCCCTCCACACTGTGGTAGATGGAGCTTCGGCTGGAATCAAATTCACAACAGATTGGTTTGGCTACTGTAATCATGTGTTGTTTCCCTTTATTTTACTAAGTAAAATGACTGAGTTTACTAAGTAAAATGACTGAGAACACATTCTCTAAGAAAGTAAAAACTTAGGTGAGAGGGGGTAGGGTCGGAATGGAGGGGCAGTCATTTAGCAGGTAGAGTACACACCTGTAGTGGTCCATGTGGTAGGACTGCTGCTGGGGCTGATACTGCATCTGCTGCTGCCTCCTCTTCTTCTTCCTGCCAGGGTAGGTGCCTGGACCCTCGTCTGCACTGCTGATGGGCTCAAAGTCCTCTGTTGCTGAGAAGTAAGCCTCGCTGTCTGCCACCGACATGCTGGAGTCTGCTGAGCGATACTGGTGGAAGGTGCTGGAATCTGCGGACGGCGTGAACGGGAAGGAGCTGTAGCTCCGGCGCTGGCGAGGAGAATCCAGGACGTTCTCGTCGCTACGGGAGACCTCACTGCTGAACTGGACGCCAGAAAGGGGCGGCGGGGGCTTGTCGGTGAAGACTGCCGCCGACAGGCTCTTGGTGCTGCCCAGCCGGCCAGAGTGCACAGAGGACTGGCGCTTGATGGGCGAGCAGAGAGGGGAGCGGAGGGAGGAGCGCTCCTGGGCACTGTTGGGAGACACTGGGGAGCCCTCAGGGACTTCTGTAAGAGTACTGTGAGGAGAGAAGGAGGGGTTGAGAATACCAAGATAATGCACTTTGGAATCAACAGAAAGTCAGCTACTTCACTAGTATATGGGCTGTTGGTGAATTGTGAATATGTGTAAACACTGTGTATGCCTGTTGCACGCCTGGTGCACTCATCTGCTACTCACTCTGCAGTGCTCTTGCCGTTCATGGGGAACATGCGTTCCTCAGTGCTAGGAGATGGGCTGTCCCTCTCCCCGGCCAGTAGGGGCAGTGCTGCGCTGGAGGAACTATTTTCCTCGGAAGAGGAGGCCGAACTGTGGGAGCGCGGAGGCACCTGCAGGCTCAGGTGTTGGCCCCGTATTCCGAGCTCCGGGGCCGGACTGGGGGTACAGGTGTCCCTCTTCACCCCCACACCCTTACCTATAAGAGGGAATACACAGTATGTCACAGTCCTGTCGGTTGGGTGTGTTCCAGATACACAGATCAAAGCTAAAATGGAACAGACCAGCAACCCTATAATTTAACACAATTTTCACAGTGAACCCAGATATGACCTTTGTGTCGGTCTACAATCCCAGTGAACAAAATGTTTTCTTTTGATAAATACATTGAAACACTCATACCGTTAGACAGCTTGGGCGTGTCCTTGGTGACGATCCACTCTCCAGGCTGCAGCAGTGATTGGCCGTAGCACATATCTGACTCAACGCTGGAGGAGGAGAAGGCTGAGCTGGAGGAGGGGGTCATCTCCTCCAGACGGAAGAAGTCCAGGCCCGTGTTGGTGCCCCCGTAGAAACGACAGCCCCCCAGGCAACCACACTTGTTCCTGCTTCGCTTGTTGCGACCAGTCTCATCTGGCCACAGGAACCATAGCCTGGGAGGAAGGGAAAGAGAGAGAGAGTGCTCATGTCTCTGTGATCTGATGTACACTACCGGTCAAAAGTTTTAGAACACCTACTCATTCAAGGGTTTTACTTTATTTTTACTATTTTCTACTTTGTAGAATAATAGTGAAGACATCAAAACTATGAAATAAAACATATGGAATCATGTAGTAACCAAAAAAGTGTTAAGCAATTCAAAATATATTTGAGATTCTTCAAACAGCCACCCTTTGCCTTGATGACAGCTTTGCACACTCTTGGCATTCTCTCAACCAGCTTCATGAGGTAGTCACCTGGAATGCATTTCAATTAAAAGGTGTGCCTTCTTAAAAGTGAATTTGTGGAATTTCTTTCCTTCTTAATGCGTTTGAGCCAATCAGTTGTGTTGTGGTAGGGGGGGTATACAGAAGATGGTCTTTTACCAAATAGGGCTAAGTCCATATTATGGCAAGAACAGCTCAAATAAGCAAAGAGAAACTACAGTCCATCATTACTTAAAGACATGAAGGTCAGTCAATACGGAACATTTCAAGAACTTTGAAAGTTTCTTCAAGTGCAGTCGCAAAAACCATCAAGCGCTATGATGGAACTGGCTCTCATGAGGACCGCCACAGGAATGGAAGACCCAGAGTTACCTCTGCTGCAGAGGATAAGTTCATTATAGTTACCAGCCTCAGAAATTGCAGCCCAAATAAATGCTTCACAGAGTTCAAGTAACAGACACATCTCAACATCAACTGTTCAGAGGAGACTGTGTGAGTCAGGCCTTCATGGTCGAATTGCTGCAAAGAAACCGCTACTAAAAGGACACCAATAAGAAGAAGAGACTTTGGTCTGGAGTCCAAATTTGAGATTTTTTGATCCAACCACCGTATCTTTGAGACGCGGTGTGGGTGAACGGATGATCTCCGCATGTGTAGTTCCCACCGTAAAGCATGGAGGAGGAGGTGTTATGGTGTGGGGGTGCTTTGCTGGTGACACTGTCTGTGATTTATTTAGAATTCAAGGCACACTTAACCAGCATGGCTACCACAGCATTCTGCAGCAATTTGCCATCCCATCTGGTTTGGGTTAGTGGGACGATCATTTGTTTTTCAACAGGACAATGACCCAACACACCTCCAGGCTGTGTAAGGGCTATTTGACCAAGAAGGAGAGTGATTGAGTGCTGCATCAAATGACCTGGCCTCCACAATCCCCCGACCTCAACCAAATTGAGATGGTTTGGGATGAGTCGGACCGCAGAGTGAAGGAAAAGCAGCCAACAAGTGCTCAGCATATGTGGGAACTCCTTCAAGGCTGGTGGAAAAGCATTCCAGGTGAAGCTGGTCATCAAGGCAAAGGGTGGCTATTTGAATAATTAGTTTAACACTTTTTTGGTTACTACATGATTCCCTATGTGTTATTTCATAGTTTTGATGTCTTCACTATTATTCTACAAAGTAGAAAATAGTAAAAATAAAGAATAACCCTTGAATGAGTAGGTGTTCTAAAACCTTTGACTGGTAATGTATGTATGTGTGTCTGTCTAGTCTATGTCTATGATTGCTACTGGTGGTGGCAATACCAATTTCCTCTAGGCCTCCATTTCTCCTAATTTTCTTTGGGATCAATAAAGTGTATTTATTCCTTCCTTCCTCCATTCCTACCTCTTGGTGTGAGCATCATGGAGCTCCAGGAACTGCCTCTGCACCTCGTACTTGGCCGGGTGGTCTGCAGCCAGCGCCACGTCAGCTGTGATCAGGGCGAAGTTGACCGAGCCAGCCTCCAACCAGAAGGATCTCCGCAGTACAGCGGGCTGGCCCAGCCCTAACCCCTGACCTGGAGAGGGCCCTGGCCGGACCCCGTCTGATTGGGGCTGTTGCTGCTGTTGTTCAATGTACTGATGGATATGGACGTCCTGCACCACAGCACTGATCCCTTCTCCCACCGCCTGGTTGTGCAGGTTGCAGTTGGCCAGTCGGATGGCACCCGTCTAGGTAAAGGCAGAATTGGAGCAGTGTTTCTCAACTCCTGACCTCAAGTACCCCCAACGTTACTCATTTTTGTTCTAGCATTAAACATTTTGTCCTAATGTTTAAGACTTGTGTTACCTTGATGTTGGCTGCACAGCTGTGCTCCACTATGAAGAGGTCAGCCCTGTCCACAGCCAGACGGGTCATGGTATACTTGAGCTCCTCAGACGTCCGACAGTGTCCAGGTAGGCAGGCCATCTACGAAAGTAGAGAACAGAATAGTTACAATGGTTTATTATTGCCTTCAGAGGAGGCCAGACTCACATTTTTACACAAATATACAAAACCAGTAGATTTTACAAACTACAGATTTTCAAGTGTGTGATTTCCATGCGCAGAAAAAGTGGGTAGGCGCTACCTTGGAGTCACACACGCGGCGATCCACCCCGTGCTGGCAGATGACAGAGGGCTTGGGCTGCTCCAGCTGGAACTCCCGGGAGAAGACGTGGAACATGTACGTCTCACCCCACTCCATCACACTGGCCAGCTGAGGAACAACACATTCATTAGATATACACAAAATAGAAACATGTACACACACACACACACACAAATATATGACAAACAAGCAGACACACACACAGAGCAGTAGTACACACAGACCTGTGGCACGGTGACTCTCCCAGTGAGGGCCCCAGCCTGCATGTCTATGAGCCAGGCGTACTCCAGGGTGTCTGTGCCTAGAGGCAGCCCTTGGGCTGAGAACATGGCATGGGCACGCATCTGCAGGCCAGACAGACTCATGTGGCCGTCCCTCAGAACACCATCAGACGTGGGCCGCTGTGTGGATACAGGTAATAATAATAATAATAATAATAATAATAATAATACACTTTTTGCAGTGTAAAGACAGATGTGATTAGCTTCAAATATGCATATATACGCATCACAAAAACAGACATTTTGTGGTTCTACATTATGCATGCACATGTAACAAAATAAAGGAAACACTTGAGTAAATGAGTGATACAAAGTATACTGAAAGCAGGTGCTTCCACACAGGTGTGGTTTTCTGAGTTATTTAAGCAATTAACATCCCATCCTGCTTAGGGTCATGTATAAAAATGCTCAGTTGCACATTATTTTTGCCACAATGGCTAGAAGAAGGGATCTCAGTGACTTTGAAAAAGGGGTCTCAAAGGAGCATAGGGGGTTTAAATGGTGTGTGTGTCTCCGTCACCAGATCTCAACCCAATTGAACACTTATTATGGGAGATTCTGGAGCAGCGCCCGAGACCGCGTTTTCCACCACCATCAACAAAACACCATATTATGGATTTTCTCATGGAAGAATGGTGTCACATCCCTCCAATACACTTGAAGAATTTATGCCAAGGCGCATTGAAGCTGTTCTGGTGGCTCGTGGTGGCCAAACGCCCTATTAAGACACTATGTTGGGGTTTCCTTTATTTTGGCAGTTAACTGTACATCTATTATACATCCATCACAAAAAGACCTCTGCAGTTTGACTGTCAAATGGTAGTATTGTGCAATGTGCTTCTTTGCCATTGAAATCTTTAGCCAGCTTAGCCACATTCACTGTACTCTCAAAACATTGAGCCACATGCCCACAACAAAACTCAGCGGTCTATTATCCTCAGTGGAACTCAGTTCTGAAGGTCATTGCATGAGGGAAGAGATTAGCAGGGCATTTCAGGTAAAGCTGTAATCTCTTAGCTCTGAGGCTCCCGTAATAACAAACCCATGGCTACGGCTAAGCATACAATCATAAACCATGTCCTGCGTCATATCTACACCAATCCAATGCTTTTAAATCCTTGTGAACATGAACAAGTGCACACTTTGGAGTGAAGGAGGAGGGCTCCTGTATGAATGGATCCCTAAAGATGCTCCCATCGATTGTGGTCGACTCACCTGGTAGTTGTCACTGATGAAGATATGAGCCGGGGAGAGCACAAGCTGGAGCATGGTCTCCTTATAGCCCTTCTTCATCTCAAAACACAGCCTCTCTAAGAACCCAGAGGGGCCCTCGGGACTGTCGCTGCCGCAGTGCTGTCCAGACACACACGTGGAGAGAGTTAGAAGAATGGGTGGGTTTAGGGGTATCTCCAGCCCTAGAACTGGTACAAAGTGGTGCTGGTAGACCTATAATGTGTTACTGGTTGATAAAGATGGCTGGTTGTTGGAGGGGTAGGTAGAGGTGGACTTACCATGGGCAGGCGTCCGTGCACCTTGTAGAGGTTGATGAGGACGGTGATGTCCCAGGGACGCAGGGCTAGGGGGTGGAGGGTGGCAGCATCCCTCCTGTCATCATCCAGGCCCAGTGGAGACCAGCCCAGGATGGAGGAGGAGGTGGACAGGTAGGACAGCACAGGGCTGGACACCGCCTCCTCAAAGTCGGTGTACATGTCATCCTCACCAAAGTAGTTCTCCTGCAGAAGGGAGGGGAGGGAAGGGTGGCTGGATCAATCTTATGACTCATCCCTCAGATTTTCACTCAAATCTCCCATTTACCCTCCCTGGGAAAGTTTCAGGATGAGTAATTCGAGTCTGTGCAGCCTTTGTTCTGTGTTTTGTGTCCCTGACTGTACCTTGATGGAGACAAGGGCCTTGAGCAAGGGCCCGTAAAGGATGATCTGGGAGTCGGGGGACATCTCCATCTCCACGTGGAGCCTGTCAGAGGGCAGCTCCGAGGGGTCTGTGGTCACTCTGCTGTTAGGGGCAGAGCGGCGAGGCGGAGGTGGTTGGGGTACAGACGAGTGCTCAGGGGGGCGCAAGGACGACAGCATGGCATCCTCCATCTCCGACACTGCAGGGAAGGAGAAACACTCACATACATAAGCACAGATTAAGACCATATAAACCAGTGGTCACCAAACGGTGGATCGCGATCAACTGGTCTATCTCCAAGGCGTTCCTAGTCGATCACAAAACATTTATTTAAAAAACCAAACGATAAAGCCTTGCCATCAGCTCAAAGACAGTGTCCCCTTTTGGTCAGTCTTAGCGAAGAGGGAGAGCTGAGGGACAATCAGACGGTGAGAGGTGGACCCTCTGATGCTCTCCTTCCACTGAGACTTACCAACAGATGCAGGCACCATCAGTCCAGTAAATTAAAGAAAGCAAATTGTTTCAATTTATGCTCACTCAGCTGTGTCTCACAAGTAATACAACAAATTATGATATATTACCAGTGTGATCATATACTTCAAGTTTTTAAATATAATTTTTAAATGGCCTGAGAAGAATAACATTGGCAGGGCAATTCAAGCATGGCGAATATGCAGTGATAAAGTACTGGGCCTACAGCCTACTACACAAACCTCATTGCTACAGAACTGTTTTTAATAGGTTAATGTTACATAGGCTTACATTTTTTTTGTGATGTTTTTAAAACATTCTGAGCAGTAGATCTCTGCTCAGCAGTAGACTCAGAAAGTGATCTTGGATCAGAAAAGTTTGGTGACCACATATAAACAGACAGTATACACGTACAGTGGGGAAAAAAATTATTTAGTCAGCCACCAATTGTGCAAGTTCTCCCACTTAAAAAGATGAGAGAGGCCTGTAATTTTCATCATAGGTACACGTCAACTATGACAGACAAAATTAGAAGAAAAAAATCCAGAAAATCACATTGTAGGATTTTTTATGAATTTATTTGCAAATTATGGTGGAAAATAAGTATTTGGTCAATAACAAAAGTTTCTCAATACTTTGTTATATACCCTTTGTTGGCAATGACACAGGTCAAACGTTTTCTGTAAGTCTTTACAAGGTTTTCACACACTGTTGCTGGTATTTTGGCCCATTCCTCCATGCAGATCTCCTCTAGAGCAGTGATGTTTTGGGGCTGTCGCTGGGCAACACGGACTTTCAACTCCCTCCAAAGATTTTCTATGGGGTTGAGATCTGGAGACTGGCTAGGCCACTCCAGGACCATGAAATGCTTCTTACGAAGCCACTCCTTCGTTGCCCGGGCGGTGTGTTTGGGATCATTGTCATGCTGAAAGACCCAGCCACGTTTCATCTTCAATGCCCTTGCTGATGGAAGGAGGTCTTCACTCAAAATCTCATGATACATGGCCCCATTAATTCTTTCCTTTACACCAGGGGTGTCAAACGTCCGGCCCGCGGGCCGGATCAGGCCCGCAAACGGGTTTAATCCGGCCCGCGAGATGATAAAAAAAAATATATACAAATATATATATAAAAAAATAAATAAAAACTTTTGTAAAGTATAAAAATGCGCTGCAATTTTTCAATAAAATAAACTGCTGTTCCAATTGCGTCCACTGGACGGTGCAATAGCAATTGTGTTAAGCAAGCAAACTGTTTATACCGGGGCAGAGCAAGTAGGTCAAGCACGTGCAGCCAATGAGCTACTTTGTTTTGCCCGCGATATTTATTACGGCTTCTACTTTTAACATTATGTGCTTTGGCATCCTCATTGCCCCAATATGTCTCTGTCAAAAAAGAGAAAAGTGGACGCAGAGTGCAGAGTGTTCCAAGAAAAATGGTCATCCTATTTATTCACGGAATTGAATGGGAAAGCTGTATGTTTGGTGTGTTCAGAGCATGTTGCAGTGCTGAAAGAATATAACCTTCGTCGCCACTATGTGAGTCTTCATGCCGACAAATGTGACAACTTTCAAGGACAGCGGAGATGAGAGAAGGTGAATGAACTGTTGGCGGGTCTGAAGAAACAGCAGTCTGTGTTTACTCACAGCCGAGACATCAGTGACGCTGCAGTGAAAGCTAGCTACCTCATTGCTAATGAAATCGCAGTGGCTTCAAAACCATTTAGTGAGGGTGAATTTGTAAAAACATGCATGATGAAGGCAGCGGAGATTGTGTGCCCTGAAAAGCGGCAGGCTTTTGCAAATATCAGCCTGACAAGAAACACAGTTGCAGACAGGATTTCCGATCTTTCAGTGGATTTGGACAGCCAGTTGAAGCAAAAAGTAAAGTCATTTATTGCGTTTTCGGTTGCAATTGATGAAAGCACGGACATTACAGATGTTGCACAACTGGCCATTTTCATCCGCGGAGTTGATGACACATTGACCGTCACCGAGGAGTTCGTGGAGTTGGTGCCGATGACAGATACAACGACAGCAGCTGATATTTTTACCGCACTCGTCGGCGCGCTGGACAGGGTCGGAGTGGACTGGTCCCGCGCTGTCAGCCTGGCTACAGATGGTGCGGCCTCAATGATCGGGAAAAAAGCAGGCGTTGTGACAAAGTTCAGAGAGAAAGTGCAATCTGCAAATGGAGGACGTGATTTTTTGACTTTTCACTGTATTTTGCACCAGGAGGCTTTGTGTTGCAAGTCATTAAAGATGGATAACGTCATGAAGGTGGTCATCCAAACTGTTAATTTCATCCGATCCAGAAGCCTGAATCACCGTCAGTTTGACAGCCTTCTCAGAGAGAAAGACCACATCTATGGCCTGCCATACCACACTGAGGTAAGATGGTTAAGCCGAGGTGCTGTGCTGAGGCGTTTCTTTGATTTACGAGAAGAAATTGAACAGTTCATGGAAGAAAAGGGCAAACCAGTGTTAGAATTTCATTCCGCAGAATGGATGCAGGACCTTGCATTTATGGTGGATGTTACAGAGCACCTGAATAACTTGAACAAACAGCTGCAAGGGTGCAACAAAGTTGTCACGCAGTATTATGACAGCATACGTTCTTTCAAGTTGAAGCTGTCATTGTGGGAGACGCAACTTGCCGGTGGTGATGCAGCTCACTTCCCCTGTCTGAAAAATTTGTGCGCGACCCAACATGTGGCAGACATGAAGCGGTTCAAAGATAAAATAACGGGACTGTTACGGGAGTTTGAGCAACGCTTTCAGATTTATGTTTATATGTTTTTATGTTGATGTGCTATTGTTTTTAATTGATTTGATTTTATTTGTATATTTAACCTATTCTTGACTCTGTGGTTCTTGCACTTGTTTGGGGAACAGGATTTCATTATTTTTATCTACATTTCTGCCTGAGAAATGACACCCTGACATAGTTCTGTGATCTGTGATATACTTCTGTGAATCACTGAGGCATTGTGTGTTTGTGTGTTCTTTGTCCTCAGAACTTTCAAATAACTTGAGGTGTTTTATGATTAATAGTGATGTTGTGCTTTTGGACACTGTCCTCAGGCTCCAGCTTTATGTTTATATGTTTTTATGTTGATGTGCTATTGTTTTTAATTGTTTTTATTTTATTTGTATATTTAACCTATTCTTGACTCTGTGGTTCTTGCACTTGTTTGGGGAACAGGATTTCATTATTTTTATCTACATTTCTGCCTGAGAAATGACACCCTGATATAGTTATGTGATCTGTGAAACAGTTCTGTTAATCACTGAGGCATTGTGTGTTTGTGTGTTCTTTTTCTTTAGAATTTTCAAATAAACTTGACGTGTTTTATGATTAATAGTGATGTTGTGCTTGTACTATTTTGGACACACTGTCCTCAGGCTCCAGCTTTATGTTGTATGTTGATCGTATTAAAACAAAGAAAAAAATCTGAAGTTGTTGTTTTTAAGTTATATATACCATGATTTTTCCGGTCCGGCCCACTTGGGAATAGATTTTCCTCCATGTGGCCCCTGAGCTAAAATGAGTTTGACACCCCTGCTTTACACGGATCAGTCGTCCTGGTCCCTTTGCAGAAAAACAGCCCCAAAGCATGATGTTTCCACCCCCATGCTTCACAGTAGGTATGGTGTTCTTTGGATGCAACTCAGCATTCTTTGTCCTCCAAACACGACGAGTTGAGTTTTTACCAAAAAGTTATATTTTGGTTTCATCTGACCATATGACATTCTCCCAATCCTCTTCTGGATCATCCAAATGCACTCTAGCAAACTTCAGACGGGCCTGGACATGTACTGGCTTAAGCAGGGGAACACGTCTGGCACTGCAGGATTTGAGTCCCTGGTGGCGTAGTGTGTTACTGATGGTAGGCTTTGTTACTTTGGTCCCAGCTCTCTGCAGGTCATTCACTAGGTCCCCCCGTGTGGTTCTGGGATTTTTGCTCAACGTTCTTGTGATCATTTTGACCCCACGGGGTGAGATCTTGCGTGGAGCCCCAGATCGTGGGAGATTATCAGTGGTCTTGTATGTCTTCCATTTCCTAATAATTGCTCCCACAGTTGATTTCTTCAAACCAAGCTGCTTACCTATTGCAGATTCAGTCTTCCCAGCCTGGTGCAGGACTACAATTTTGTTTCTGGTGTCCTTTGACAGCTCTTTGGTCTTGGCCATAGTGGAGTTTGGAGTGTGACTGTTTGAGGTTGTGGACAGGTGTCTTTAATACTGATAACAAGTTCAAACAGGTGCCATTAATACAGGTAACGAGTGGAGGACAGAGGAGCCTCTTAAAGAAGAAGTTACAGGTCTGTGAGAGTCAGAAATCTTGCTTGTTTGTAGGTAACCAAATACTTATTTTCCACCATAATTTGCAAATAAATTCATTAAAAATCCTACAATGTGATTTTCTGGAGAAAAAAAATCTCAATTTGTCTGTCATAGTTGACGTGTACCTATGATGAAAATTACAGGCCTCTCTCATCTTTTTAAGTGGGAGAACTTACACAATTGGTGGCTGACTAAATACTTTTTTCCCCCACTGTATTAACACAGTCATTAATTTAAAACATATGAGGAATCTGTTTACAGGACTGCTTGAGCTGTTCGTCTGCTTTCTGTGGATAGATGGGGTGCCAGGTGTAATCAATGATGAGCAGGAAGTTTGGGACAGTCCAACAGTCCACCCAGCCAGCCCTGGAGAACAAGAAACTAATTATTTACTTAATTAATCAAGCACCACTAGGCGCTACCACACAACTTCTTAGTAAATGATGGGTAAATACTGGTGGAATACTGTACAAAATAAAGGGCTAGTGGGTCTAACTCACTCTGCGTGGGTGATGTTCCTCCAGCGGGACTTGTTGAGTTTGGACGGGCCGCTATGGCTCTGAACCTGGCTCTCCACGGGCATGCACATGTCAGGGGGCAACTTGCTGTTCTGGTAGTCCTTGGCCAGGGTGAGCAGGGGGTACCTGCTGGGGTGGCAGTCTGGCAGGGACAGCCGCAGGTCTGTGTCTTCAGCCTGGGGTCAACACAGAGACATAGACTTATGAGTGCCCACATGGGTTAAGTACTGTAAAGGCGTCAGCATGCTTGAGTTCGGCTGGCGGCTAGGCGTAGTCGGCTAGGCAAACCGAATTAGTGTGCTCGCATACTCCCTTAAAATGAGAAAAAAGCAGCAATAGTACTGTTTGCCCATTAAATTATCCATGTGCATGCCCGTGGAGAGCCAGTATACACTTATTCAAAATAGTCCTAGTTAATCTAAGATAACTCAAGAAATCTTTCATTAATTTTGACATTTTTGCCAAATTTGACATTAACTAAGATGTTCGGTGCAGTATTTCTCATTAACAAAATTAGCAGGAAAATGAGTTGTCTCTCATTGAATGACAAAAAATACTTTCTTGAAGAATCCCTACAGTAGACCAATCACGGATGAATGGGCATAACTTCGGCTCCTGAACTTCGGCTGGCCTCGAGAAATTTTTGTGTGTGCCTGAACAGCTGAAAAAAACATTACCGAAGTCCAAAACAAACAAAAACATCACAAAATGTCATTATAATATATGTACAAACTCTTCTGAACTGTTTTGGCTGGGAGCATGCGGACGCCTTAAGGCAGGGGTTCTCAAAGTGGAGTCTGCGGAGGTACTGCAATATCTGTTCTTAACCTTGTTCAACATGGGTCTGGGAGGCTCACAGGGATATTGGTATCCACAGTAGTCCTATACTCCACCAATTATACATTTTTCAACTCAATACTTCTTGTATAGCACTGTAATTTAAGCTTTAAATGCACTGTAATTTGAGCTTTAAAACCGCAAAGTTCTCTGCCTCATGGACAAATGTGTAGAATTTCAGGATATTAGCTTTAAAGCTGCAACAACAAAACATCTCGCTGCCACATAAATCTGTAGATTGCAGAACATTTGATTGAAAACTGAAACATTTCTCTCCGATGCTAAGAGTCAGGCCTTTAAAATGTTAATTCCCAGGGCCCCGAGACTTGGTTCGTCCGGCCATGCACTGCCGAAGTCATGGGCTCCCGAGTGGCGCAGCGGTCTAAGGCACTGCATCTCAGTGCTTGAGGCGTCACTACAGACCCCCTGGTTCGATTCCAGGCTGTATCACAACCGGCCGTGATTGGGAGTCCCATAGGGCAGCGCACAATTGGCCCAGCGTCGTCCGGGTTTGGCCGGTGTAGGCCGTCATTGTAAATAAGAATTTGTTCTTAACTCACTTGCCTTGTTAAAATAAAGGTAAAAACTCCTTTTATAATATTTTTTATCTCACTCGAGTTGTGTTCTGATTATGAGGGGTTCCATGATACATTTGCTATCACAAAAAGGGTCCAAGGAGCCAAAAAGTTTGAGAACCCCTGTTGTAAGGGTATTCTATACTTTACATAATCAGAAAATCATGAAAAATCCCATCTGCTACTCACCCTCAGACAGAACTTTGTATTGCAGGTGGTAGGGACATACTCATTAAAAGGCAATGTGAAATCAATGATCAGAGTCTCCCCACAAGCAGCCAGATACACTGAAAGACAAAAGGATAATATCAAAAGTGTATACGTTCACTAAATAAACTATTTTGTATACTCCTTGCGAATTATTGAGTTTGTTCATCATTTAATTCAAACAGCTGTCTCACCATTCTCCTGTTGCTTGGTGGAGCAGTCGATCCAGTTGTGCTGGTTGGCAGCCCAGATCATCTCAAACTGATGGAAGAGGACCTTGAACTTCCAGGCGTAAGGGACAAATGAGTAGATATCTGGGGCGCTGTCGCTGGCCCAGTCCCCGATCAGGTCTGGACAGAAACAAACCAAATGCATGACGTTAAAGGGATAATTCAACCTTAGAAATTATGGTATGGACATACTCTGAGTCTATATATTTACGCAATAATAAGGAATTCCCCTTGACCACGCCCACAAATTGAGGAAAACAAACATTTTATCCCATTGACCCAATTGTAAAAGAGCCAACTTCGCCGTAGATTTTTTGTTATACAGAAAATACGGAAAACTTGCCAATAAGCTGCTGTGTTGTTCAATGTACGTGTAACTAGGAAAAAAATCCCGACCTACAGTTCGCAATGCTCCCACGTTGGGAGCCTGCGAGAAGAGCCCTGTGGCTTCTGACTTTTCGGTATACGTGGGAGAGTTGGAAATATATATATATTTACATTTTAGTCATTTAGCAGACACTCTTATACAGAGCGACTTACAGTTAGTGAGTGCATAAATTTTTCATATATACACATACACTTTCTTACAGTTTTTCTCCATTGGTTTGGCTCATTTCTTGAAACAGAAATTACATTCTCAAAACTCTAAGATCATTTGGCAAAACAGTCTTACAGTTCAGCACAACACTATAGCTCACTTGCAAAAGCTCATATCTCTCCTAAAACTGTTCACGCATGTGTCAAAACTAAATTTCCTTCTCATTTAAACAGTCAGTGCCCCCAAAATGCTTCGTCCCTTTGGCATTGTGTAAGCACTGCAAGTCAAAATGTTTAGATGTTTTGTCACTATGGCAGAGGACCATTGAAATATCCCTCATGTCCACCTTTCAGTCTTAGCCCAGTCCTTCATTGACAATGGTTACTGTACTGTTTTTTGTCTAGCTAACAGAATACAATTGTGTATAAAACTGAAAAAAATAAATAGGATTTTAGGGTAAGAGTAGCCTCCAAGGTTTGACATCACACATTGCACTCATACTGCCAAGGAAATTGTAACCATTATCATTCACACACATAAAGTAACTTCCATACATCAGAGTAAAAAGAAAATGTATACAGCATAATATACTGTAATATAAACACACAAACAAAAAACAATGAAAATTATATGCAGCCTACAGTGCTGTAAATAAAGCTGGAGTTTCACAACTAACAGTTCTTCACTGGTCGCTGTCCTCACCCTCCTGGCCATCCACACGCTGCTGTCTGTCTGGCCACAGATTCTCGTCCACATCACAGCGTATATTCTCCCTTGCGATGCAACGAGGGAAGAAACGGCGTGCATGTCGCAACCATCCCCTACACTGATCTCCTGTAATATCCTCACACGCAGCGTCCATTGCATGGAGCAGGGACCTCTGATCTTGAGCCCGATGCTCATACACTCTCCACCTCCAAGCGGAGAAATACTCCTCAATAGGATTGAGGAAAGGAGAGTAAGGTTTCACCTGACTGTCAATTGCTGTAATAAATTTATCAAATGTTCCAAGGGATTCATATATGGTATTCATGGTATTATGTTCTTGACTAATTTTGACAATTGAACAGACTATTGTGCATGTGATGACTTATACAATGAAATGACGCTGACACGTTTTGGAGCGAACAACCATTAGACTGAGAATCAACAATCAGTTTAGATCAACAAGATCTATTCACTTGGAAATTGTGCTAAATGTAGGCTACCTGTACTTAATCATTTGCAAAGATGTACTGAGACATTGAGACATGTACTTAGACATTTGCAATTTGATGAAATGAATGAGAAATTCAATTCTGTTGTGAACAATTGCCAAGTGGTTTGGAGGTTTGTCCATGTAGTTTTGAGAATGTAATTTCTGTTTCAAGAAATGAGCCAAACCAATGGAGAAAAACTGTAATATAGATTTCCCTTTATTACTTTCCAACCCCCACCACCCCTTTCCTAATTGGAGTAAACTAGTGAACAACAATGCTTAGGCCTCTACGTCCAGCTTATACGTACTATATACATTTTATGGACACAGTCAATTTTACAATAATTATATTTTGTTTGTTTTTACTCCTGAACTTCCTCTACCCTCAACCTCTCCGATCATTTTCATGATGTCCATCCGGTTTGCTTCTATATGCCATATCTTTCTAACAGTGCTCTTTCACAAAAGCTCTCAACCTATAACCTATATACTTATTATGGACACAGTATGCTTTACATTAGTTATCTTGTTGTTATTAGTTGTTGTTAATTGTTATTAGTCCCATCCTTCAACTCTATTCAACACGTCCCATCTATCTCTTAACACCATCCATATTGGATTTCTATTTGCCATATATTTTTCACCTGTACTGTGATGTTTTACAAAAGTCCTGAACCCTTCTATTCTCATTGTTTCTACAGATTGTAAATTGAAAATAAGCATTTTTGCTAAAAGTATTATTATATTATTGATCGATTGACTATGACTTTTCAGATCACCCCGTAGTGCTATCTGCAGGGTAAGCTCCAAGTAAATATTGGAATCCTTTAGCCATTCCTGGACCTGTGTCCAAAACCAAGCTACAAATGGACAGTACCAAAACAAACGATCTAATGATTCTGTCTCTTCGCAGCAAAATCTGCAGAGCTGGGAAGATTGTATACCCCATATAAATAACATTCTATTGGTAGCAAGAATTTTGTATAATAATTTAAATAGAAAATTATAAGTTTTGAATCCGGCGTCGTTTTGCGTATCAGTTCATAAACACTATGCCATGGAATTGGTAGGTCAAAAATCGCATGTGCGACATAGCTCCACCAGTCCTACCTATGATATAATTTACAAAGATTATACCTTTATTATACATTTTTTTATCAATTAGTATATTTGAGTTTAACCACAACATTTGTTGCATTATTTGTTCTGTCGTTTCTGGAGGATTAGATAGAAATTGCAACCAACTTTCTATGGCTTGTTTTAGAAATAGTGATATTTGGGAGATTATTTCCTTTTCAAATAACTGAAAGTGAGAGGTTGTAATCTGAATAAAGGGAAAAAAGCCATTCTTGAACATGGGGTGAGACCATCTTACTAATTTGCTAGAGAACCAGTTCGGATTTAAGTATAACTTTTGTATGACTGAAGCTTTTAGTGATAGGTCTAATGCTTTAATATTTAATAATTTCTGTCCTCCGAATTCATATGACATAAATAGGCCCGTTTAATTTTGTCTGGCTTGCCGTTCCAAATCAAATGGAATATTTTTTTCACATATAATTTTAAAAAACTGTTCGCTAGGCGTAGGCAAGACCATAAGCAAATAGGTAAACTGGGATAATACTAAAGAGTTAATCAGGGTGATTTTTCCACAAATTGACAGGTATTTACCTTTCCATGGTAGCAAGATCTTATCTATTTTTGCTAACTTTCTATTAAAATGTATTGGAGTGAGATCATTTATTTCAATTGGGATATGTATTTTGAGTATATCCACATCACCATCAGACCATTTCATTGAAAAACTACATGGTAATGTAAAAAAAATGTTTTTTAGTAATCCAATACAAAATATAGTACATTTATCATAATTTGGTTGTAAATCCAGAGAAGTTAGAAAACGTATCTAGATTCTCTATGAGGCTGTGGAGGGATTGAAGTTGTGGATTTAAAAGAAAACATGAATCATTAGCGTACAATGACACCTTTGTTTTAAGCCCTGGATTTCTAATTCCTTGATATTATTGTTGGATCTGATTTTAATAGCTAACATTTCGATGGCCATAATAAATAGATATGCCGATAGTGGACAACCTTGTTTCACTCCTCTTGACAGTTTAAAACTTTCTGAGAAATGGCCATTATTTACTATTGTACACCTAGGGTTACTATACAGTGAGGGAAAAAAGTATTTGATCCCCTGCTGATTTTGTACGTTTGCCCACTGACAAATAAATTATCAGTCTATAATTTTAATGGTAGGTTTATTTGAACAGTGAGAGACACAATAACAACAACAAAAATCCAGAAAAACGCATGTCAAAAATGTTATAAATTGATTTGCATTTTAATGAGGGAAATAAGTATTTGACCCCTCTCAATCAGAAAGATTTCTGGCTCCCAGGTGTCTTTTATACAGGTAACGAGCTGAGATTAGGAGCACACTCTTAAAGGGAGTGCTCCTAATCTCAGCTTGTTACCTGTATAAAAGACACCTGTCTACAGAAGCAATCAATCAATCAGATTCCAAACTCTCCACCATGGCCAAGACCAAACAGCTCTCCAAGGATGTCAGGGACAAGATTGTAGACCTACACAAGGCTGGAATGGGCTACAAGACCATCGCCAAGCAGCTTGGTGAGAAGGTGACAACAGTTGGTGCAATTATTCGCAAATGGAAGAAACACAAAATAACTGTCAATCTCCCTCAGCCTGGGGCTCCATGCAAGATCTCACCTCGTGGAGTTGCAATGATAATGAGAACGGTGAGGAATCAGCCCAGAACTACACGGGAGGATCTTGTCAATGATCTCAAGGCAGCTGGGACCATAGTCACCAAGAAAACAGTTGGTAACACACTACGCCGTGAAGGACTGAAATCCTGCAGCGCCCGCAAGGTCCCCCTGCTCAAGAAAGCACATATACAGGCCCGTCTGAAGTTTGCCAATGAACATCTGAATGATTCAGAGGAGAACTGGGTGAAAGTGTTGTGGTCAGATGAGACCAAAATCGAGCTCTTTGGCATCAACTCAACTCGCCGTGTTTGGAGGAGGAGGAATGCTGCCTATGACCGCAAGAACACCATCCCCACTGTAAAACATGGAGGTGGAAACATTATGCTTTGGGGGTGTTTTTCTGCTAAGGGGACAGGACAACTTCACCGCATCAAAGGGACGATGGACGGGGCCATGTACTGTCAAATCTTGGGTGAGAACCTCCTTCCCTCAGCCAGGGCATTGAAAATGGGTCGTGGATGGGTATTCCAGCATGACAATGACCCAAAACACACAGCCAACGCAACAAAGGAGAGGCTCAAGAAGAAGCACATTAAGGTCCTGGAGTGGCCTAGCCAGTCTCCAGACCTTAATCCCATAGAAAATCTGTGGAGGGAGCTGAAGGTCCGAGTTGC